TGTTGTTCATTTAGTTCCCTCATTTATCTCTGTGTAGGCTGTTTTAAGGGGCTGTGTACACGACACCTTTTTCAACTAAAAACGGAAGACTTTTTATGCGTTTTGGATGTTAATTTACACAATAACAGCATTTTGGGTGAATGAAAACACAAGTTTTTGAAAACTGTCTCTGTGTAAACAAAACAAAAAAACGCAAATCTGTGAAAATGATTAAGTCAAGCTCATAAATATTGCGTGTTGTTCAATATAGCATTTCATCGCCATCTAATGACCTGACAGCAGAATTGAGAATCGTTTTTAGTCATTTTCGCAGATCTGCGCGAACAGGGATCATTTTGACAATGTATGTGGAAAACTAAAAGGAAAAACATCTCAGTTTTAAGGCTATGTTCACACAGAAACGATTCTGTAGAGAAATCGCAAAAGTGGCGTTGCGTTATCACTTTTTATTCTGCTTTTAGACGAGTGTTTTGGGTGGGAAATCCGCGTGCATATTGTGACACAATAGTGTGTAAAATTCAATGTAGTATGCACTCCAGGCGGCTAGGTGGCAATGTGGAGCACTGCCACACAACAACACCAAGTCCGCGCGCTTGTGTACAACCTTCACTGTCAGGCAGACTTTTGCGTTTTTACCGTTTACACTGGAACGCGACGGTGGAGCGCTTTTAAGATTTCCACTCTGGAGGGTGGTTTCACTTTTTTGCATTTTTAAGCCCCAAAAACGCTGTCGCTGTGTAAACGAAAGGCACAGCCGATAAAATATTTTTACGTTTTCACCCGCGAGCGTTCTCGTGTAAACAGGGCCTTAGTAGACTATATCGTTGACATGTAAAAAACCCTTAAGTCCTCAGTTTGTTTTGTTCAGTTGTCCATTCTCCATCGCGTACGTGTAGAGGTTGTTTTGTTTCATTGTGTTCTTAGTTCTGTTTATAAATAGCCTACATACTGCTGCAATACTACAATTTTTTTCATCTTCATTGCAACTCAGGTGTGATTGAACCATGGTGGTTTAAACCATTACTTGTATTATAATTAATTTATTCATACATTTTTGTTATCATTATTGTTTAATATGCTGTTACAATTGTTTAATAATGCTCTCGACTGTGCAAAGCAAAATACACAAACTTAGTATATTTTTAAACACATTTTCTCTAGGTAGAGCATCTGCAGTGTTCTGTGACTGTGACCCTTTACTTTTGTGCAAACCCTTTTCAATTCCAACATTTTGACCAGGTGAGAGGGAGAAATATAAAGCAAGTAAGGCAGCTCTCGGTTGGTTTTTGAAAAGAATGGCTACCACTATATTTTGTGAGCATTTTAAATTATACTTTTGAATGGTGCACCCTATGTGGTTTGACTTTTAAAATTTATTTGAAATTAGCAATATGTTTTAACACCATCACTATGTGCATGCATGTGATAAAGATGTTGCATGTATGATTTTGAGCATATCTATAAATGTGTGTGTGTGTGTACATTGAGGGTGGTTTAGGGCTGTTCTTGTCTCGGCAGCAGCTACAGGCTTTTGTACAGTGAATGTAATGGAGTGGAAAATGCACTCGGCTGCTCTTTATTCGACACAACTACATCACCAGCGGGAACTCTCCACTTTCATCTGTTTCTCCGATACACACATGAACTTCACCACCTGCCCACAGATGAACTGACAACCAATGCATTGATATGTCTGCAGCACTTGCATTTCATCAAGAAACATGAACAAACTCACACAAAGTATACTGATCAGTGCCCGCTGACATTTGGCCTCATTCACAAGGAAACTTAACCAGCTCAATATTTAAACCTTAACATTGTCACGGTGTGATGCAGAAGAAGAGGAGTCCAAAGTTCCAATGCAAAACATTTACTTACAACAATATAACTCAACAGACAGGCAGAGGAAACACACAACTGGTAAGATGTGACACATGAAGATAGGCAGACAAGTCCAATGAAAAGAAACTAAACAGAACACAACTGTGACATTACTCCCCCCTCCAGTAGGACGCGCCATAGATAGACCAACTGCGGAGGCAGGGGAGGGTAGACAGAAGGCAGGGGATGAGCCATGGAGGAGGCAGGGCTGACCATAGATATCATATAGAGACTAGATACCCTTGGCCGCTGGAAACCGAGAAATCCGGCCGCCATCTTGAACCGGTCGTATTCGACGAAGACGATTAGGTCACGCCGCGACCGGACGGCTATCGAAAACAGCGTGCATCACTCTCACAGCTCCCTCAGCAGAGGCGGCTGAAGCAGTGTAGTTTACAGCCAACGAGCCCGTCACACGACCCGCTCGTACCCAAAAGCCGTTTTTATGGCTACTCTCAAAAAGATCTCATCATGTCTGTGTTTCTGGCTCATGCCGAAGGTGTCTTAAATGTAGGAAAAGTGCTCACTTCCTAGTGCCCACCTCTACACATAAGCACGTCCCGTTTCCCTCTACTAGAGAGAACCGAGGTTACGTTAGTAACAGAGTGTCGTTTTTCCACAATGCTGTGATTTATCAAAAGATGACTTAACGGGAAGCAGGGACGTCCTTCATCACACCGCTCCCCCTCTGTGTTTTTGTCAGACCCTGTCTCTTTTTTTCCATCTGCTCCAAAATGAATACCCCCTACCTTTCCATTTAAACACACTCACACTTAGATGTAAAACGCTCTCTGCAAGTGGCCAGTCGGCAGATTACATGTTGAGCAGAGGCAATTTGCTGACAGACAAGCCAGAACATTTCAATCATCTCTAGAAAGACGGGTGACAATACTTCACACAGACTCGCGCACCTGACCCTCCGGTCCTCTCTTCTCATCCTCCTTCAATGAGCCTCAAAATTGAATCCGCACAAATTTGTCTCGTCTTTTCTTACTACAAATGATGACATTCATGTGGGGATGGTGTTGTCTGATCTTTGAAACCTTTCATTTAAGTTCAGGCTGTCTCTCTCTCTCTCACAGATAGGATTTCATTTTGATCATCACATTGAAAACATCAGGGTGGAGAGTGAGATGAATCTGTTTTCAAATGAGGCAGCCACAGCATCTCACTGCACCTTTTAGTTTTGAGAGGGGTTCTGGGATCATGCTGTGACAGGCGGTCAAGAAATGTACTCTATGTTTTACTCTAAGTTTAAGAGAATAGTAATAAACCTTCCACCTGCTTCCAAAAGGGTACCAAAAAGATTTACCATTACATACACCCACCTAACGGATTATTAGGAACACTTGTTCAATTTCTCATTAATGCAATTATCTAATCAACCAAGCACATGGCAGTCGCTTCAATGTATTTAGGGGTGTGGTCCTGGTCAAGACAATCTCCTGAAATCCAAACTGAAAGTCAGAATGGGAAAGAAAGTTGATTTAAGAAATTTTGAGTTTGGCATGGTTGTTGGTGCCAGATGGGCCGGTCTGAGTATTTCACAATCTGCTCAGTTTCTAGGGTTTACAAAGAATGGTATGAAAAGGGAAAAACATACAGTAGGCAGCAGTCCTGTGGGCAAAAATGCCTTGTTGACGCTAGCAGAATGGGCCGATTGATTCAAGCTGATATGAGAGCAACTTTGACTGAAATAACCACTCGTTACAACCGAGGTATGCAGCAAAGCATTTCTGAAGCCACAATACACACAACCTTGAGACAGATGGGCTACAACAGCAGAAGACCACACCGGGTGCCACTCATCTCTACTACAAATAGAAAAAATAGAAAATAGAATTTGAGGTAAACAGAATGAGAACATGGATCCATCATGCCTTGTTACCACTGTGCAGGCTGGTGGTGGTGGTGGTGGTGGTGTAATGGTGTGAGGGATGTTTTCTTGGCACACTTTAGTGCCAATTAAGCATTGTTTAAATGCCATGGCCTATCTGAGCATTGTTTCTGACCATGTCCATCCCTTTATGGCCACAATGTCCATCCTCTGATGGCTACTTCCAGCAGGATAATGCACCATGTAACAAAGCTCGAATCATTTCAAATTGGTTTCTTGAACATGACAATGAGTTCACTGTAAAATGCCACCCACAGTCACCAGATCTCAACCCAATAGCAGACATCCCAAGTCTCCCGGAAGTCTCCCGCATATTGATAGCGTAGCCGTAGCGTCTCCCTGATGCCCGCAAATTAGTTAAAATCTCCCGGAATCTAGAGCGAGATAGAACAACATCTTAATACATCTCAAATACTTCATTTATTTTAATAATTTAAATAAATATGCCATATTTATATAAAATATGTTAATAAATTATATGGTCACTAATATATATATATATATATATATATATATACACAATTGCAGTTCGCAGTTACTATAGATTTGTTGGCTGCAAATCCATAATACGAATCTTCCATTCCATCACATCCCAAATGTTGGGGGACTGGTATTGAGATCTGTTGACCGTGAAGTTTATTTATACAGAGTATAGTGCCATCAGAAGACAGGTCATGAAGAAATGGACATGGTCAGCAATAATTCTCAGGTTGGTTGTGGCGTTTAAATGATGCTTGGTTTGTACAAAGGGATCCAAAGTGCAAGAAAATTCTTTCCACAACATTACACCACCACATGGATCCATGCTTTCAATTTTTTTTTCACCACATTCTGACCCATGTTATCGCAGCAAAAATAGGGATTCATCAGACCAGGCAACATTTTTCCAATCTTCTATTGCCCAATTTTGGTGAGCCCATGAAAATTACAGCCTCGGTTTCCTGTTCTTAGCCGTCAGGAATGACACCCGGTGTGTCTTCTGCTGCTGTTGTAACCCAGCTTCAAGGTTCGATGTGTGGCGTTTTCAGAGATTCTCCTCTGACTTCAACAAAGCATTTATGCCCACAGAACTGCCACTCATTGGATATTTTCTCTTTTTTTGGTCCATTCTCATGTACACACACACACACTCTCTCTCTCTTTAATCATCCGACTGATCAAAGCAAGCATAAAAATAAAACTGCAAATCATGCGAGATAAATAAAACCACAGCAAGCCACAATAAATTCTTAGTTGTTTAATTAGTACTACAGTAAGCATCTTTATACACGAAATGCATCTATACTGCCAGTGGATATAACTGAAGCGGTCGGTCCATTGATATACAGTATATAGGCATAATATATTCATAACAAATATATTCTCAACTATTTTAGTAATCATTATTCACATTCAGCAAGTACAGTAATATTATTTCAAAGCAGGAATATTACGATAGCCACTGAGAAGGAAGCACCTTTCATTTACTAGTAGTACATCAAATACATTTATTGTAATACAATACATCAAGAAAAATTATTTCCAGTATTTCTGTTTCCATATATCAAAAAGGAAAATAAAACAACACCGTAATACAATAGAATCAATTTCCATGGAATGTTAATGAACGTTGGGGGACAAAAATGTTTGTGACAAGCGACAACGTACAGCAAAATCCACAGTTGACGATCAATAAATAAGGATTTGGTAGCTTTCCTAATGTCCACAGTCCCAGACCAGAAAAGTTCTGTCAGCAACACTGAGCAGATATGGGGCATATGGTGGCACAAGGGTGGGCATGAGGTGAAACAGACCCGTCCCTGCTTGTCTGAGGCGGAAATAAGGACTGATTTAATTCAAGCAATCTGCACAACTGCTTGCCATCTGCACCCCTATACCAAATGATTTCAATTTGGAAGCCTCTTAAAGGGCCAGGCCACCCTTTTGAGTTTCATTACGTCTAGCCACACTACAGCGATCACATATAAAAAACATGGTTTAAGTCTGTAGTGCATAGTTTCTTTAAGGAAAACAAGTTAGGGGTCCTCACTGAGGTCAAATGGATTTACTCACAGGTTAAACATGTAGTAAACCCAGATCACGTTACCTGAACTAAATAGACCCATGTTTACAACAAGACGCCTTGCAGCCCAAAAACTTGCCTGAAAGGAAAGAAAAAAGACATCAATACTGCTCTCTGTTGTAAACAACTGCTGAAATAACATTACTAGAACATGATTTTTAAATTATTTTAAAAGCGCGGGACATTTTCTGGCTTTTGTTGTGAGCGTTTGTAGCATATCCCCTCTCGGTATCACCAAAAAAGTATTTTCTGGATGGTGGCTTGTTCACAGCTTTTGTGAAATGTGTTGATAAATGTCTCTGTGATATGCTGCAAAGCAAGTATAAATGCATCATCAGTACACGTCTAACAGCTTGATTCTTATCCAAGATAAATCAATATTTTCTATTTTTTGTTGCGTTTCTTGTTTACAACTCACACATATGGACTGCCCCGAATTCTTCCCTTTACTATTAAACCTTATGTTCTAAAAACGTAATATTATGAGGTTATCCGGATATCATGTCATTGAAATGGTCTTGCTGACTTTCAAAACCTCAAACAACAAACAAACGCAACTTTTACAACGTTTATTGAATTGGAACGTGATGGAGGAGTTTCTCGTGGGAAATGCCTACAGTGACAGTCCCTGGATGTGCTGATATGATGAAATAGATTGTTAGATGTGTTTGGGGATGACAAAGATAAAGCTATATACTGTACCAAAGAATGGATCAGAGAATCAAGATGAGCTTCAGTTGTTGATGAAAACATTTCGCAACTTGATATAAGGCATACCGAAAGAGAGACCAAATAGAGTCATTGTGAAGGCGGCATCTAATGTTGCACACAACATGCAGAATCAAATATATACAGTTTATATGTAAAAATATACAGAACTCTTTTTGGCCAGAGAGCTACATAAGCTTAAATTCAAATCTACACTCAGTGGACAACAGAGTGTAGTTCTGGACAGTATAATATACTATACAAATACAGCAGATGTGATGAATCACTATTTACTGATAGGATATCGTTCAAAAATACAAATATGGCCTAGTTTCCAGACAGGAAGTCAGGCTTTTGAGGGAAAAACATTTTGTAATTCAGGTACCAGCGGGGAAAATACTTTGAGTTTCCAGCAAACAGTTGGTTTAATGGTTTAACCTTAAATCCAGAACATTCAGTAACATATCACTGTATATGACTCATATAGACATATGAGCATTAAGTGTCATTTTATAGCCTCAAAACATACATGGCCAGATTTCCATACACCTTCATTAAGGTTAAAGTGACATTGTATCGAAATACGAGAGGTAAAATATGGGACTGACATTTACGGTAAATTAAGATAACAGATTTGGGAATTGTTTGTCATGTCTTGGGAATAACGCTTGGTGGACGCAATGACAGAAGCAGATAAAATGTCCCTTTAAGATCCAAGCTGGAATTTCATAAAATGGCACTCTCAACTTTCTACCCAAGAGCAACCCAGTTACACTTTTGAGGAAGTATGGTGTGTACAGACTCACTCCATTGGTACAGTGGCTAGCTGAATTTGAGTAGGAGCCGCAACGTGCAGAAAACCTTGATGTTTGAAAGCTCTATTCCTTCAGATTTTCCAGCATTGTCCAGAGAATCCGAACCCTTCAAAGACAGAAGCACTGGACCTTCAGGAGTTGTTGTTCAGAAGTTTTGGAGTTCAGGCAGGTTCTTGTAGAGGTCCAAAGAGTCTGGGTTTGAGAAGGCCCCTCGCTGAGTGACTTCCTTACCTGCGACCACCTGCTTTACTGCAACTTCAACCTTCTTTCCGCTAATAGTGTACTACAGGCGAAGGAAATGTAAAGTCAATCAGACGGAAAAGCTCAGAAAATAAAGCAGAGAAAGGACAAGTGAGAGAATGGCTACAAAAAAGAAGAAAAGTGCAAGTGTGCTTACCGGGATGTCTTTGGTTTCCAGGATCAATGCTGGGACATGTCGGGCAGAAAGAGCTACTCTGATAGCCTTGCGGATCTTCCCCACCAGCTCTTCACTGAAGGTCTTATTGGGTCCCATCTTTAAGAACAGAATCACTCTCTCTTCTCCGTCACTGTTGTACTGAGGGACACAAAGACTGTCGGACACTTCCTCGAAGGCTTCCACTGGAAGAAGAGAGGACATAACAAGGGTTTTGAACACTGTCAAATTATGATCTTAGCACATTCTAAAATAATTATATATGCGATAATTATTTTCATGTCATGGCTGCTGATAATCGATTTTAAAATTCCGACTTGTGTATTTCTAATTTGGCATCACAAAAATATAATGTACAATACTTGTTTTAATATTTGGTTTTATTAAAACTCTTGTGCTTTTAAATTTTAACTTTAGGTGAGATTTGGTGACAGCAAAGGTAATGTAAAAATAATTGAAATAAGCATACAAAATTAAATATTTAATATCGACCAACATCATCTGACATTGGCCAATACATTTCAATATACACTACCGTTTTTTTTAAAGAAATTGACACTTTCAGCAAGTGTTAAAATGTGATCAAATGATTTCCATTTCAAATAAAACCTGTTCTTTTCATCAAATAAAAAAAAGAAATGTTTCACAAAAATGAAGCAGCATAAATGTTTTCAAAATTAATAAGAATAAATGTTTCTTGAGTACCAAATCAGCATATTATAATTATTGAAGGATCATGTAAAACTGTACACTGGAGTGATGGCAGTTGAAATATCAGCTTTGCCATCACAGATATAAATGACATTTTAAAATATATAAAAAAAAAATACAAAACAGGTCATTTATAATAATACTTCATAATATTACATTTTTACTGTATTTTTGATCAAATAAAAATGCAACCTTATAAGAATAAGAGATCTTTCAAAAACATTAAAGTACATACTGACCTCAAACTTTTGAACGGTAGCATATATGAACTTGTAACCATTATGATACCAATATGTGGTCTATTTTGAAAGGGCTTGGTGGATGTCAACATACTTCATATACAGTGATGGGAAAGTTCACTTTCTACGTGAACTAGTTCAAAGTTCAGTTCACATTTTAAAATGAACTAGTTCAGTTCATAGTTCATTCTTCAAAAAATGAAGTAGTTCATTCATAGTTCTATTTGTCCATATGTGTGAGCTTTTTTATTATTATTATTGCCACAGCCTAAATACAACCACATACAACAATTATTTTATCGACGGGTAAAGTTTGCAAAGAAATGTAAGATTTTTCTATCCTCACTGACCTCGTCATAACCCGTCATAACCCATAACCCATCATAACCCGGCCGACTCTGGTGTCTTGTGTTGCCAGATTCTGTGTTTTTTCACTACATATTAAGGCATGTTTACGTGTTTTAGCCGGGTTTTCGCCTGGAAGGCTCTATAGAAATCTGGCACCCTACTGTACGAAGTCAAACTGAGAGAGCGTGCGTTCACAGACACCAGAATGAATGTGTTCACAGTAACGTTCATCAGGCAGTAATACACTACGCTGAGTTCACGTTCGCCCAAAATATGAACTGTTGTTCATTGAACGCGTTCAGGCACAACACTGTTCATATAAAACAATCTACTGTAGTTAAAAAGACTTGTGAATCTAGTCTGCTCCAAACCAGCTCAAATTAGTCTACTTATTTCAGGAAGAAGTGTGATGTTTATTTCTCACCAATGTTATAAATTTCGGAGCTCCCAAACCGAACACCATTAGGATTTAAAGTTCCATCACTGAAAATAAAAAAAGCAGTATATGATTTAGGAGCATAACTAATCTCAGAGTATCACCGTACAACAACACAGCAATATTATAAGAATCCAAGCAGAAACTAGAGAAGATGATCAAAATCTGCAAAACAACAAAACAAAGTGAAACGTACCTTCGCCCCAGCATGACGACTCCTCCCGTTTTTGGATTTATCTTACAGTAATCGCCATGGGCCCAGAATCCTGAATGAGGAGGTACAATTAAACGCATAGAGAAGGATGAAACAAATAGCTAGAGAAGGCATCATCTATGGTGCATCTAAGCAGAGATGTCTGACCGCTGGCGGGCTGAGAGCGCTAATGAAGCTGAACTGCCCTGATTGGCCTTTTCCTACTTCTCCAAACTGACAGCAATAAGGCTTCAAGTAGATTTTTCTGGTGCTAACAAAAGCTGTCAGGTTCTTTTTTCTCCCTTTCGCCCTCAGAAATCATTTAATCAATACAGCGGAAAAGCTGCAAGTGGCATGTTTGTTGCCTAAATCAAAGGGACGACTTGTTTGTTTTCTAAATCAGTCAGAAAACGCAATTCCCTGTGACCACTTCTCAACTCAAGCGCTTTGAAGGAAGATAGCCGAGTGCATCTGTGAGTCTCTCTAGGCAATCAATGACTGCTTGAAGCAATGCATTCTGGACTGCTGCCTAAAACTGCTGTCTGTGGAGGCTGCTCACTAGGTTTTGAAACAGATATAGAGTGATGTCATGTGAAGGGTTACCTGGGAAGGTGGAAAAATAGGCTTTGTGGTATTTGCTGCCATTCTCGTCGTTCCAGAAATGAGTGGGCTGGCACGGGATGGGCTTCAAACACACCAGTTCGCCACTCTCTCCCCAAACAGGCTTACCTGAAAAACACACCATACAAAACAGCATTATTGAACCTCCAAAGGAAGGGTTTTTAGAATGGTTAAGTTGTAACGTTAGGCAAAACACAAAGTACGGTATGTAAACCTTCTAAACGTTTTTTAAAAATCACAAATTTAATATACAAACTATAAAAAATAAAAACAGATTTGGAAAGGGCTTGAACCCAGCTTTGATATGGTCCCAAAACCTGTAATATGTCAAATTTCACCATGTGGTGGGTTTTTCCAGATCGCATCACATATACAGTATATAAAATGTCTTGAGCATAGAATCAGAGATAAACATGAGCTTTATCTCACCTTCACAGCTCCAGGACTCCACGGCCATACCCAGATTTCGGGCCTGAATTTCTCCTCTGTAAACGGGCACCGTCATGTTCTGACCCATGAAGCATGAAATGATGTCTGTGCCACCTGAGGAAACAGTAAAGATGTTAATATACAGTTTTAAAGGTGGTCAACATGTTCCATAATATAGGAAAGACACTTCTAAAACAAAGGGAACTGATGGGATGTTTTCATTCATGCAAACTTCTTGTCGGCATAGTTTTCTGGTAGCTTTGTTCTCCTGCCTTCATTTATATATAGATCGCAGTTCCCATACTGCAGGCCTTCCTTATTGATTTGTTTATCAGACATGAACAAAAGGAACAAGCTAAACAAAGGTGCTCAGTTTGGTCCAACAACCTCAGGTCTTTCTTTAAGAATGAAACTGGTCCACATGATACAAAAAAAGCTGTTTTGGTAGCCAAAAAAAGTAACTGGGAAGTAACTAAATAAATTCTAGTTAGGGTTAGGGTTATTAACCCTATTTATCAACCCAATTAATGTCATAATAATGCCAGCATAGACAAAAGTGGAGAGAGAGAGAGAGAAAAAAGATACTTGCAAATTGATATTGCGAGCCAAAAGAAAAACCGAGACAATCAATATTTCAAAATAATGAGGTTTCGTGAAAGAAAATGGAGAGGAGATGTCAAAAAGACACCTGTGTAGATAAAAATAGGTCTCAGTAATTGACAAATGTAATGTTTGTAAAGTAAGATCATAAAAGACACAGAAAATGGGAGAGAAATTCAAAAAAAGACAGAGAAAGGTTGCTGAGACAATACATGTATGCGTGTAATGTGACAGATGGTGGGTGATACTAGGGGGTCTATTGGATTCAGGTGATTCTGGGTGGCTGAAAGTGCTAAAGTTTCCTGCCAGCTGCCCCTCTGCACTCAGGAGTCTGGCTGGCACTGTGACAGGAGCAGCAGGAAACAAGCCTCGTCACATATGCTGCTCTGCCTGACATTGGGGTCAAGGTCAAATCTGCCTCGGGTTGGCAGAAGTCGCATATCTAAAGGGAGGAAGGGTTAGGACCCTGAGCCTGGACAAAGCGAATATCTTCTCAATATTTCACAGGCTATCAGAGATCAGGACCGAAGACGAGCATTGTGTATCTGAGCTATTGTTTTCCAGCAGGCATCTTATGTAGCCTGACATTTCAAAAACCTCAGGAGTCAAGAAACGTCAGTCAAAGCCTTTTTCTGAAAAATTATGAGGCTCATGTGCTCTGCAAACATGTCAGAATTCAATGAGATTTGCTGTCATGGTATCGAATATGAGCCAAATGGCAAATCAAAAAGACATGCGCAAAAATGTCTTCTGAATGCATCAAAATCTCTCTATCACTATTTAAGAAAATAAGATTACATTGTCTATAATTTCAGACTCGCATATTGATCACCTTTTAACAGAAAAACGGAACATTTGATTACCATGGAAACCCTTAATGCCTGGTTCAGAATACACTATTTTTTTTTGTCTGTTACGATAGTCACTGTGTCAGATTACGCGATTTTGACTCCTAAAATCTTGAGTCGTGGACAAGAAAGATGTCTGACTACACGTTGCTTCCTGACCAGTCATCGCATGCCGTAACGCCGCCCGTGATGTCATCTAGAAGGCGAAACTAGTAGCGAGTGACTTTCGGAAACCAACGTAAACAAACAATGGATGAAGCGGTGAGTGTTGTATTGGCTGTCAGTGTTCAGAAAAGAAAGAAAACCCGATGGGCTGTCAATCCTCCAAAGAGAAATTGAGGTAAAATAACGTTTTCTTACATATTTTACTTTTAGTTTTAACGTTAGCACCATCGTCTCTCTTTCGTTTCGCCATTTTTGAAAGTTGTGTACGGAAAAGCTTCTGTGCTCCTATTGGTCAACCTCATACATATGACGGAACCGTCCTGGACGACCGTTAAAAAAATTATTCATGCTAGTCTTTTTGTCGTGATGTCGTGAAGCATCGCAGACGTGACGCAGGTTATCGCCCACTATGACACACTATACGAGATGATACGATCAAATCTTGCGTCCCAACGCCTGTTGTCGTTTACGAATTCCCACGACACCCTAAGTCAAACGGATTGTACCAAAATCAGGCTAAAATCGTGTAATCTGAACCAGGCATAACGCTTAAACTTCTGTTGAGTGATGATGTACTGTTTTTTCGTAAATGAAAAACGGCTAATGACCAATCAGCATCAAGGACTGGAAAGCAGACTAAAAGACTAAAAATATCATGGCTGCAACTTAATATGTAATGATTCGTGCAGGAACAAGCGCTGCACACAAGTTGTTAAATAACAAATAGCTCTGAAAGGTTCAATCTGAATAACATGACTGTAGCAGGCTGCCGCTGACCTGCCATAAGAGCAAAGCTCATCTGGTGAAACCGCAGGGAAAAACTGGGCACAGGTGGTGTGTGAGAGAAACATGCTGCGAGACCCCAGTCACAAACACACACTCATGCACACAAAATCAGCAGTCCACCACAGCTGTTAACGCTGATGCTAATTTGTTTCCACAGGGCCCTGCAGGCATGAGATCACACTGTGAAACACACACACACACACACACACCATACTATCAAGAAGAGCTGGAGTGCTGATCATTGGAAGGAAAATTAAGAATGGGCTGATTAGAATAGGATAGAAAAATAGTGAAAGATTATGTGTATTTTCAGTCATCTTTAGTCAGATGCATTTACATTGCGACAGTGCCTCAGATGCAATTAACTCTAATCTGTGTCTGTAAAAAAAGGTGAACCAAATAACCCATTCAGAGGTATGGCCCATAGTCAAGTCAAGTCTATTTGTGAAGCGCTTTTCACAATACAGATTGCATCAAAGCAGCTTCACAGTATCAATCAAAACATAATAATGTTCATTTCTTAGTGGAAAAACATCCAAGTTTGGTAGAGCTGATCAAGGGTATTACTGATTGGTTAATTAATTTGAATATCCCCAACTGAGCAAGCCAAAGGCAACAGTGGCAAGGAACCGAAAAACTCCATCAAGTGACCTAATGGTGTCCTAAACTCCATCAGGTGACCCAATGGAGAAAGAAAAAACCTTGGGAAAACCCAGGCTCAGTCGGGGGCCAGTTCTCATGTGGCGTTTATGAACTAGAGGCCGGATTTACAGTAACTGTAAGGTAAAAATGTATATGAATGTCTCTAAACAGTCTTTAAACGTGAACCTGCGATAAACGCTGATTGCGTTCACATCCACATTAAGAATTGATTCTACAGTTATGTGCGTTTAAATATATAGGCGGAGGTCTGTAAATCCCTACAAAACCATCTCTGAACAAACTACTTGTCTTGTCTAAAAATTTGATACAGAATTTTGTTTCATTTTATCTCTTTGGGGTAGAAAGATGAAACGAAATACACCCATAGAAACTGATGCGTGTGAATGACAAGGAAACAACATTGCTCAGAGTAGATTGCACTGTAGATCAATCTCCTATGGGAGGTCCTAACAGTTTACTATGTGGCCCTTTGGTCTTCATGTATAAAGTTCTGTCACACAGACAGAACTTTGGGTTAAGATTCTTTGAAGGCCGACACGCTAACATCGCTACTGAAGAACTGTGCAACACTAATACCTTCAACAAATTCTTCTCCCCACAAGAACTCTGGTCAAGCTTACTTATCTTATGTATAAGAGAATCGAATACATTTGCGAGCCACCTTAACAACACTCGGCCAAATACAGCAAAATCTAACAATAGGATAGGACAGGACAGGAAGGAAGGAAAAAAGGACAGAAAAACAAACAAAGTAAAATAAGGAAAGTAAGGAAGTAAGAAAAGAAGGAAGTAAGGAAGGAAGTAAGGAAGGAAGTAAGGAAGGAAGGTAGGAAGGAAAGCAGGTAAATGAGGGGAGAAAAATAAAATAAACAGGAAATGGAAGAGGGAATTAAGGGGGGGAGGGGGGGCAGGTTATTTAAGGAATGAATGGGGAAGTTGCAATCCAATGCAATGAAATAAAAGGAAAAGAACAGAGAGCCCACCTGATATGGATCCCAGCAGCACATTGTTCTTAATACAGCTGTACACATACTCGTAGCTCTGGGGCTTCAGTGGAGATCCTGTAGACAGGAGTGTGTGAAGTGTCTGCAGGTTGTGTGTGTTTGCTGCAAATGGACAAGTACAACAAAATGTATAAGTGAAAAGATTAAACAATAACAATGTTAACTAAATTCAGCATTTACTGAAATACTACACATTGCAAGGCATCAAAAGAAGACGAACAATATTGGGCACACACACACACACACACACATACACACATATATATATATATATATATATATATATATATATAAACATTTAAATTCAGAATAGTAGATGGTAGAACAGTAGATATATAGAATAACCATACATATGTCTATGCAACCTCATAAACCTTTTAAATTAAAACGATTTAAAAGTAAAGCGTTTTAATAGGCTCCGATTTCTGAAATCCAAGTATAATTTATTTAGACAGATTTAGTCTGGACGCAGATGGGTATGGCTCGCAGTGATCAGAATTATAAACCACATTAAACTGTGCTTAAATGTATGCAGGAGACATGCCAAGCCACCCATCTGGGGTCCTGTGTAGAGAGGGTCTCTAGCCCCGTTATCAGAGCCACTGCCACACCCCACAGGCTAACAGGTGTCGCTCTGAAATGTCAAGCAGCCAAAGGGAACAGCAGAGGGCCAGGAAGCACATCTCTGACCTCCAACACACACAGTCCTCTGAACCACATGCATGCAAAACAAATAAATCCCCCAACTTCTCACACACACCAAGAGCTTCATCTTTAAAGATGACATCAATTGCCATTCAAAAAGCATTTAACTTCTACATTTCATGTAGATAAAGACAATATTTAGCAGGAAATATTGTAAGGCATGATTTGTTTTTATTTTTGATATTTAATTGGACTGTGAAAAGATTTTTTAATGAGTTGATTTGTAATATTTATTGTTTTAATTGAATATAAATATAATTTAATATTACTTTAATTTATTTCTTTTCCACTGCACAAGTTATTTAATTTATTTACTATTGATTTAAATGTCATTTTAATTTAATTTATATGAAATTACTGAAATATTAATTTAATTTACATTTATTTGCATTAAATTTAATGTTCAAAGCAACAGCTGTGTATAAGGGGTCAAGGTTTGGCTGGTTAGCATGGGCGTAACTAAATCTTTTTCCACAGATAGACATTCACAAGTAGCAGTGTATCCTGACTTGAGGAAAATAGGGTCGATTTTCATTTCAAGTTTTCGAGCTTCATTTCATTTTCAAGTTGTTGTTTTTTTAAATCGCCCTCATGGCAGACATTACAGATAAACCCCGTCTTCCACTGTAATTTGCATTTTAATTCACTTTCAGTTAGTCTCATTATTATTGAATATTCACAAGCACACACAAACGATATAGTGAATGAACCAGTAGCGTCTAGAGACTCCTGGGAAAGTGAGGAACAGCCTTAATTCTGAGCACACTTAAAAGTAAATTTGTAAATGTCAACAGGCAAGACAAAAACAACTGATGTGTCAAAAAAACAGAACTTTGCATTAGGCATTGCCATGGTAATGTAGCTTAATAGACCTGACATTGTTCAATATATCATTAAAATGTAACAAACAACATTATTGGCTAAAAATCTTGAAGTAATGTTTAATTGAGAAATATTGGACTGCTGTGTGTAATGTTTTTTTTTTTTATATATATATATATATTAATATATACAATAGTTATATTAAACTTCACATAAAGCAGAGTGTTCAACAACATATTAATTTTGCTGCGGTATCAAAATTGATATTAAGAAATATGAAAAAAAAAATGGTATTGGTAATGGCTACTGAAATATTGTATAGTGCCAACCTTATTTACTCATCCTTTACTTTACCAGGAAGGCCCATTGAGAGGGAGTCCTGGAAGGAGAGTCCTATTGTGGATATTGGAAATTTTTTAAAAAAAGAGAGCGATGAGAGATGACAATTGTTCTGCAGCTCACCTGGTTTCAGATTTCTCTCCTCCAGAACAGAAAGCCATTTTGCTCCAGTCCCAAAAATTGTGATTCTGTGAAAAAGATGGATGTTAACATTAACAATAGTGTATATTTTGAATGTAAAAAATTAAAAGACAAAAAGGGCAGTTTGCAAAAAGGAGGTGGGCCAACGTCCTTAAAGGGATACTCCACCGTTTTTTCATATTAACCTATGTTATTGCCTTAAAGGGATACTCCACTTTTTTTGGAAATAGGCTCATTTTACAACTCCCTCAGAGTTAAACAGTTGAGTTTTACCGTTTTTGAATCCATTCAGCCAATTTTCTGATATTTAGAAGAATATCAGTAACCAGACAGTTTCTGGTCCCGTTGACTTCCATAGTAGGAAAAAAATATATACTATGGAAGTCAATGGGACCAGAAACTGTCTGGTTACTGATATTCATATCCCTTTAACTAAGACGAGTTGATACATACCTCTGTCGCCTCAGTGCGTGCACTCAATCGTTCTGGCGCGCACACTTTGATCGCACTTAACTAGCCCAGTTCATTCAATATGGGCCAAGCAGAGAAGCGACCAAACACCTCCACGTTTTCCTTATTTAAATACAGTTACACGAGGAGTGTAACTCGAACTAGGACGGTGACACAAAATAAAACGTTGCGCTTTTCTAAGCGTGTAAAGTGGATAACTATATTGTATGGCGGAATACCACAACAAGTGCTTGGGAGCACATCGACTCGGCGCAGTAATATCATCACTCGTGAAAAAGCGCCCCCCACCCCCACTCTCCAAATGATGATATTACTGCGCCAAGTCTCAGTGCTCCCATGCACTTGCTGTGGTGTTCCGCCATGCAATATAGTTATCCACTTTACACACTTAGAAAAGTGCAACGTTTTATTTTGTGTCACCGTCCTAGGTCGAGTTACACTACTTGGCCCATATTGAATGAACTGGGCTATCAAAATGTCTCGAGCGATTGAGTTCACACACTGAGACGACAGAGGTATGTAATCAACTCGTCTTAGTTAAGGGAATAACATAGTTTAATATGTAAAAACAGTGGAGTATCCCTTAAAAGAACATGAGATGCATGTACCGCTGGTTGAGAAATCACTGCACTAGGCCACATCTCAGACAAACATGAAAACCACCGCAATCTAGATCTCCCCGCTTTAGAACAAAAAAGCAGAACACTTTCAGTGTCAATGAGGTGGAATTGATCTAAATGGTCTGTTGACCTGCAGAGGCCTCGGTCAGCCATCTCTTGATGGAATCACTCACGGCCAGAAATCAGAGGTGGGGGTCATGGCAGTGTAATATCTGAAGAGCACAGACAAGCTTAAATGCTGTCAACATGGTTGTGTTAGTGTAATCTCCATTTGTTTAGCACAGAGTTTCACTGATTACAGCAGAATTACAGTAGAACAAACGTACTACCATACAGGTTGTATAACACATGAAACTGCCAACCCAAATGTAATCAAATCACAACTCTAACTGCAAAACATTTCAGAAAGCTGACGACAACCATGAGACCATTTATCTATAAACCCACACATCTGCAAATCCACAGCATTATTTGAAGAAGCGCTAATTGGACATTTTTTTTTTTTTTTTAAATATATATATATTTTTAATTCTCCTTTAATGGTCCATGAAAGAAAGAAGGGCATACGGCATTAAAACAAAAGGGTGGGTAAACGTTGCCTTAAAAGGATAGTTCACCCCCAAATTAAAATGAAGTATACATCAATTACTCCTTTTACGTTCAAAGAGGTTATCCATTCAAAACAGAGGGACACTGAGAACGTGTGGAATATTGTCAGGTAAAACTAACCTTTGTTTGTCTTAAAAAACATTATAAGCAGACTTAAGGGCAAAACCTGAACAAATAATGTGCAAAATATCAGAGGCTGCACATAAATGTAGTTAAGTATCCATCTAAACTTATTTGTCATCCTCTGTTTTTCTCTCTCTATAGTTTCCAAAAAGAGACATCCTCGGTCTAGATAGATGTCATGACAACGCAACGTCCTGCTGGCGCGTGATTGGTGGCAGCTGGCAAGGCCTGGTTAGTAATGGGTCATTTAGGATGTAGAAAGAGCATTCGATACAAAATGAAATAGAACGTGATTTCACAACCAAGATATCAGTCAGGCGGTGGAAAAATGGAAAATCTGACAGTGCCCATCTAATGATATGACCAACCACTGATGTGTTCCTTCCATTTGCTTTCAAGTCATGAACCTCTGATTTACTACATTTGCAACCTCTGATTTAATTTTTCTAACATTCTGCAGTCAAGCTTGTCTAATTATTCAGACAGTTCATTTCCTACAAGCCATGGCTACTTGAACATCATTTTGGAAATCAAAATCGTACAACCTAGCAGCTTGGAACAGTTTAACTACGTGAAATCCCACGGCCCACAGAGAAGGAAATCAATAGTTGAATAAAGTCGTTTTTTTGTTTGTTTTTGTGCGCACAAAAAGTATTCTCGTCGCTTGATAAACTTAAGATTGAGCCACTGTAGTCACTCAGACTATTTTAACAATGTCTTTAATAACTTTTGGGCCGGCCAATTTTGATCCCTTAAGAAGCGGAGGAGTGATCCAGCGCTCAGATTTAATAAAAAAATATATTAATTTGTGTTCTGGAAATGAACGAAAGTCTTACGGGGTTGGAACAACATGAGGGTGAGTAATTACTGACAGAATTTTCATTTTGGGGTAAACTAACCCTTAAACAGTGCAGACCTCTACAACTCAAGTCCTGGAGGGCCGTGTCCAGCAGTTATCAAACACTCATCAAGGTGTACAGAATAACTTTCTAAAGCAAATTACAGTTAGGTATGTTTAATTAGACATTAAATATGTTTAATTAATTTGTTTTATTAGCACTGGTGTAATTGTTCACACACTCCACTTCGCGTCGTGCCTAACAAGGCCATTCAGCCGTGACTTATTCACCATACAAAACAGAGATATTGACCAATCAGAAACAAGGATTGGAACCAACCATTTTATAAACCTTAAATAAACAATTTAATAATCGATTATAAAGGAATTTATACCGGATGATATTATTCTGTACCCACATTGGACCAGCGGTTTGGAAAATGGATGGATGGATGATTTAGCTGCATCTTCTGGCAGGACACGGGAATTCATTCTACACAACAATCGCAGTGCATTATGGGTATTCTCTAGCCGTTGAGTTCACATCAGTTGTACACTGGTTTTCGTGGTGCATTTTGGGATTGAATGAGTACTCTATGACATCCACTATGGTTTCGAGCACCACTACAAATGGCAGTCCCCTCAAATAGTGCCATATTTAAGGATATAGGGAGTGATTTCGGATACAGGATCACTAGAAACTTCCATGTGCGTAGGAGCTAAACTCTGCAAGAAGGTGACCTCCAGGTCCAGGATCAGGATTTGACACCCCTGATGTTGATCTTGACAGCAACATAAAAGGGTTACACCAGCGCAGTAAAGGAAACAATAACAAATACAATAATTCAGAGAATGAGATATTTACATTATATCGACATTACTTAACTCGTGCAATCATAGCTAGGTAACTTCAGAAGATTGGACTCAATGAATGTAACTATCTGGATTGAATTTAAAACTGAATTGAAGAACTGTTTCTGGGTTCACATCAAAACTATGGGGAAAGCATTGCTTCTATTGTCTTCAAAACAATAAATATTTAGTATGGTCTGTCTTATGGAAGACCAAAAACAGGAGCTATTTATTTCCCAAAAGTGACCATATATGTGACAAAGAAAGAGTTGTCTAGCATGACCAAGTTTCACAATGGCCCTTTGTCCAGAACAGGTTTCCCTAACACATTGTCCTTCATCTACATGGACACCAAATCTGCCCTCTGATTGAATATTGATCATTTGTAAACATTAAACATAATTAATCTGAAGTGGGACCAGGCGAAGATAAAAGCTAATCCAGGATCAGTATATTTGAACAACTAAACATAGAGGGACAAAAGAGAGAACATGTTTTATTCATTCATCTGCAAAAGAGGGGCATATGGGTTGATTCAGTCTGTTTATTTATTTGTATCACAAACATTCAGACTGCATAGAGTACACTACACAACTGATCACAGACCTGGGCTGAAGTGATGATCCCATAATACATTCCCTCACAAACTTACTTAAAGCAACAGGAGAGGTGTTTCTTGTCAGTATAAAAAAAGGACAGCATAGAGGAAGAGCTTGCGATTGTTTTTATACTGAATTGCAGAGAACATGAACAATAAGAAAAAGAGTTACAAATATAAATATGAAATCATGCATGGTGAGAGCGGGGAGGCATTTTGATGTTTTTCTATTTATTTCTTTTTTGCTCCAGATTCTCAATGCCTTGATCTGGATAGTGAACACAATTAAAGATGGCCTAAGTCTTAAAACGAAGTTGAAATCTGTCTTTCCACCTATAGTACGAAGTGTCAGTACATGTCTCAGAAGTCTGGACACCTCAAGGGTATGAATCAATGGGTATTAACTACGATCTGCAAATGATTTGCAAAAGACCAAAAATATTAAGCTTGAGTCTTCCAGTTTTAGGTGTACCAAACTTTTGCTGTGTTGCTAGTTTTGAAATGAGCACTTTACGAGCAGAATAAAGTGTTTTAGGCATGAATATGGTCGATCTATAAAACACTTTATTCTGCTCGTAAAGTGCTTCAATTTGAAGTTTACAGGAATGGAAAACAATATTGTACTCGCTCTTTTGAAATAAAACAGGTTACCATGTAAACATTCTCATAGTCTAATAAAAAGACACAAAAATTGGGCAGCACACAGATGGTGAATTACGAAAATTACAGTCGTAGAATGCAGACAGCCAAAATATGCTTTGGGCTTACAAAATGGATAATGGTTCATGGATGATGTTTCATGCTCATGCTGACTTTACATGACCAGGACTAACAGGTAAAAGTTTGTGGGTTTGATCTATACTGAATTTGTCACATGTTTTTGTGTTTCGTGTGTGGGCTTGTTACCTGCTTCTATTTAAAGTTGACTTAACTCAACATTAGTATTGTGCCTGATGATGGTTGAAACGTTGTGCTATTAATAAATTCATATGGAGCAGCTATTTTCAGTGTGTGGAATTCAACCGTCTTTTTTTCTTTTATGTTACTTTGTTGTCCTGCACCTGAGCCCAATCTGGGTGTTAGGGACGTGCACACCAGTTTTGTATTTTTGATCTATACTGAACAACAGCATATCCTCTAATCTTTTTTTTTTTTTCATCACAGTGAACTCTAAATAAACCCTATACAGCCTAGAGGAATAACTTGCATAACAGACTCTCAGATACAAACCAGAGCTGCCTTTTAAAATTAGGACAGTTCATTTAACACATTCATTTAAATAATAATATGAATTAAAAAAATAACGTGATAAAAAAAAACAACACTATTTAAGCATGCCACCTGACCCATAAGTAAACTCCACATTAAGAAATATTCCTATGATTAAAGCAATTTAAGCTTGAAGCTCAGCTGCTACTACAGGCAACACGCCTCGCCAATTCACATTTACCAAAAACAGACTGCACAGAATCTGATCTCGCAGGACGCATTGTTGCATTCAGAACAGTAAGACAGAGTGCAATTGCATGGAACTGAACGCAGGGGCTTTGAGACATGATTTAAAAGTTGAGAAATGGCCAAAGACAAACATGCACATAGACCAACACTTAAAAAATAGCGTGAATGCGAGAATGCGTCATGCATGAACATTCAGACTGACTTCACTAACCGACTCAATTGGCTTTATGCACAGATGCACTACTTCCTGAACTTCAGCCAGCTCCTGGTTTCCTGTCTGCCATTATTGGACAAACTTGATTAATTCAGGTGTGCCTGATTATTGTTGTCGTGTCTACTGAGGTCAGACACACCTGGATTAATCAGTTTGTGATAAGCCAATTGTGATATAAATTGCTGTGGACCAGTAGTGTGATAGGCTTATGGAAGTATTTTGTACAATTTTACATGAAAGTAATTTTTTGTAATGTCTCTTCAATACTTTACTTGTTTACCACAATGTTTTCTCTAAATTTTCGCAATTAATTTCAAAAAAGTCTTTAAGGAGTTTCTTCTGATCACCAAGGCTGTTTTTTTATTATTATTTCTTCATTTATGGTTTATAGAAATACGCATACTGTGTGTAAAATACAGTAAACAGTCATATTTTAAATATAATTACAATTTTAAATTTGTATTTTAAATAAACGTATATAAGTTTTCTATTTTCTATTTTAAAATGTATTTTTTTTTTCCTGTAATGGCAAAGCTGAATTTTCAGCATCATTACTCCAATCTTCAGTGTCACATGATCCTTTAGAAATCAGTCTAATAGGCTGATTTGGTGATCAAGTAACATTTCTTATTTTCAATGTTGAAAACATTTATATTAATATTTTTGTGAAAACTATGGTGGACATTTTTGTTCCGGATACTTTGATACGTAAAAAAAAGCAGCATCTATTAAGAAAAACAACTAATTGTAACATAATCATTTTAATATTACTTTCATTGAGATGAGTTTCATTTCATTTCATTCAGTATTAACTATTGAATGGCAGTGTATTAAATTTATACTTTTAATCAATTGACAGGCCTAATTAAAATAAATATTTAAAAAGAAATGTCTCTGAATAATTCAAGCAGCACACAAAAATGTGTGCATGTTTTGGATTTCCCAAAAGCTGCTGCTGAAAAAGGAAATGTCTCTATTTTCTTGCTCTTGGGAAAAGGTGAGACAATGAAAGTTAAGAATAGAAGCTTTCACCAGCAGCCAAGAGAGACTGAAAATGAGTGCACGCACACACACACACACACACACACACACACACAGACAGACACAGACAGACACACACACACACACACACACAAAACTCCATTGTCTGTTGCACTTCGATTCTTTCTGATCAATAACAGGTAAACTCTGAAAGGAACTCGATGTCACATTAGAGGTGGCCAATTAGAGCGGTCTCTTTAAATCAGGTTGCCGTGGTGATGTGGTGTCATTTACACAAAGGGCACAGCAGATGCTAGTGATAAGCGCTGCCACACCTCGACCAATTACAGCACGAGCATGAGGAAAAAGCTCCTGACTGTTACACCTTCATTAGAGAGTCTCTCTCACACAACACAAACTTACCCCAAACGGTCTACGAGGTCCCAGAGCACATTGGCACTGGGAATAAGAGGAGAGCCGTCGTACAGGACCACAGAAGCCCCAACGGCTAAAGAGGATATAAGCCAGTTCCACATCATCCAGCCCGTCTGCACATAAAAAAAAAAGAGAGCCCCTGCTTTTAGATTGGGTTTTTATTGATAGAAAGACATTTGGCATTTGCAGGACCCACAAATATTCCCCCATTGCATTATTATACATTATATTCAACATTATATAGTGGTTTAATGTAGTTCTGACTCTAAAAACTTTTTTTTTTTCACACAATAATTTTTATTTTGGGTGAACTATCCATGATAGATACAGTTGAATTTTTGTATAAACCCCTAATATATATATACATATATATATATATATACAGTATATATATATATATATATATATATACAGTATATATATATATATATATATATATATATATATGAAGAGTTCAGATGCAAAAGCCTCTAAATGCCATTTGAAATTTTCTTCTTTAATGATGATTTTTATCAAACTTGTATATTTCACTTAAATAACAATTAATAGGTAATTATCATTGCCATTTAAGTGAAATCACTGAACTTAAATATACAAGTTTGATAAAAATCATCATTAAAGAAGAAAATTTCAAATGGCATTTAGAGGCTTTTGCATCTGAACTCTTCATATATACATACACATTTTATTATCAATATATACATTTTTGTAAACCCTATTATATATATATATATATATATATATATATATATATATATATATATATATATATATATATATATATAAAGAATGCTGAAAAAGTATTAGTTTCCACAAAAATATTAAATGTTTCTTTCAACCAAAACAGCAAATTAGAATGATTTAACTGGAGAAATGGCACTGAAAATTCACAGAAATTAAATGCATGATAAAATTTATTAAAATAGGAAACAGTTATTTTAAATTGTAATAATCTTTCACAATATTACTGTTTTACCACATTTTTAATCATTTAAACTGACGAGCATTGAGGTTTCAAAAACATTACAAGAATCTTACTGACCCCGTTATTTTGTTAGTGTATATGTTGCTTGCAAAAAGTATTCAATTTACAATACACTGCTACTTTTAAATGGACGACACTGGACAAAGATACCGTTTTCCCCCATGACGGTGCGGTTATGGCATCAAAGGTCATAGATACATACCGTAGTGTAATATATGATGACATCATTGTAGGTCATGTTGCCATGGAGAATGTGTTCTTTAAGATGTTGGATGAGAGTGCCCTGGGGAATGGAGAACAAAAGGGTCAGACAGGAAACTGGGCGTTGAACATGTTCATAGTTAACATGATGAACCACACCTGTGGTTACTCTGCAAGGACATCTGTGTGAATCTGAGGGGAAATGACTTAAAATCACCTTGACACAGGTTGGTGGAAAAATGGCTAAGAAAAATCTGTAATATTAGAGGAGGCATAACAAAAACATTAGTTGAGGTTTGGGTTTGTTTTTCTGGATGTTCTTTCTCTTGTGCTGGTGTCATACGTTCAGATGGATTCTGGCTGGCAGGGAATGACCTAATTACCAAACTAAAGGATCAGCAGCACTGCATGGATTTAAAAAAGGAGAAAAAATAAAACATCACAAACCCTGTAGTATGTGCCTAACCTGTGTCCTAGTGAAATCATTAATTATGAGCGTGTTCATTCATTCTCAAACTGCTATAACCCAACACAAGTACTGTTTTCATAAAATCAACTGAATAATGATCATCCATAGAGCAAGACACGGCTGCATGTTCACACATGATAGTGTGTTTTCATTCACACAGCGCTCTAATTTTCTAACACACAAGAGAGGTGTCAGACATAAACGCTGCAAAGGCTGAAGGGAAAAGCAATGAAAACGTGAAACTAATAAAACAGTGCTATACACACACACACACACACCAACCAAGCACATATGAAGTGTTTGTGAAGCACAAAAAAAAAAAAAAAATTAAGCATTGCTTTTCAGATGAATTTTCAGTGGAACATGTGTATTTGTGGGAATGAGTACAGGAACCAAGGTTGATTTACATCTGCTGTGTCCCTAATGTTGGGATTATACAGGAAATGCATTCAGAACGGATGGGAATGGTGCACATAATTGCTCATCCCATCTGGCTTATAGTGTCGTTCAGGTCTCTTATTGCCATCTAGTGGTCTATGTTGCCGATTCAACAGATTTTGACCAACTCCTTTAACTCTTTTTATTTAATGTGATGTTGGCACTTGGCACTAATGTCCAGAAATCACAGCCAAGAGAAATGATGCAGGAGTTTAAGAAGCAGACCAAGTGAAAAGGTTAAGGACTCCTTAAAGGGACATGGTGATAAAAAAAATATGGGTTTTGGGATCAAAAAATAGATTTAAAGCTTTGCGTTCACCTATATCATATGATTGCAATAGTGTATTTATTTGGTTTAATGTTTTATCTGTCTCTTCCCTGTGCCTTTGTTAATACCTGACTAAAGCATATACAGTACGTCAATAAAAAACATGAAATCTCATAGAACTCATAACTTTGTGTTTTCTGTCCGTGAGCTCCCTCTGTTGCTCTGACTGAAGGGATAGTGAGACAGGAGAGAACGCTCAAACCTCCATTTCGTGAAAAATGTATAGAAATGCTCATTCTTTCCAAAAAATGTGACGTAAACATATTTTATCTATATTTTTCTAAGGGTGTAAACCTTAATGAAGTTGTTTTGTGCATTCCTGTGATGTTAAAATAAATGGAAGCAGGTGCAACTGAATAGGTATGTGTTCTCTTTTTATGTGAAACGGTAAATACCAGTTTGATTCAGCATGATTGATATGCACTCCTGACACAAATTAATAAATTGTTGTCACTGTAAAAAAAAAAAAAAATTACTGTCAAACATTGGTCAAATATCAAAGCTGGAATCTTAAGTTTGTTTCAGTCATGCTCATTTTGCGATCTAGGTAGATTTCAGTCAGCTGGTGAAATGGTGACGTCGTCCTATGGAGGTGTGTTTTAGGGTAGCGCTGCGCCTTTTCTGAACATTTTTATTTAATTTATTTTTCAGTTTTTTTAGTAATTTTAAGTACGAAAATGAAAAATGCTGCCTTATGACTAACTAATATTTATATTTTATTTCAGCTTTTTAATGAGAATGAGTTAATAGGTTTAGTTAACAATAACAACACTGTTTTTTACATGGTAAATTTATCATTCAGCTGTTGATATTTGTATACATCCGAAACAAATGCTACCATCGGTATTTTCTTTCTTTATACGTCATGTTCGGGGAATCGGAACGACGAAAAGCTTCAAAAATGAATCTGAAAATGAATGCCTCAAGTGGGTATAATTGTACAGTGCACAATATATCATTTGGACTCTGCATAACACACACTCACCCCAGCAGAGTGCACCATGCACTTGGGAGCTCCTGTGGTGCCAGAAGAGTACATGATGAAGAGAGGATGAGAGAAGGGAAGCTGCTCAAACTCCAGCTGAGGGTCCTGATCCCCTTCTTTCCCTGTGGCCAAAAAGTCCTCCAGGAACACACTGAAAAAAACAGTACAGGACACAGAGACTCAGGACTGACTCTATCCTAACCAGACAATATAAAACCCATATAGCATATGGAACTTCATAGAGAAATTTGGAATTGATCTAGTCTTTTAAGACATTTAACATTGATTGATTTAGACAAAGTGATTCCAAATGGAATTCCACAACACAATTGATTCAGACAAAAGTTACCTGAAAAACTGACGGTCCCACTTTATATTAAGTACTATGTACTTACATTTTAAAATAAGTACAATGTACTTATTGTGCTCATGTTGTATTGTAAATCACTTTTGCTGCTATTGAGGTGTGGTACGGGTAAGGTTAGGGACAGGTGTGGTGGTATGGGTAGTTTTAAGGGTGGGTTAAAGTGTAAGGGATGGGTCAGCTGTGTAATTACAGATGTAATTACATAAATCAGTTACAGCTGTAATTGCATGCTGGTATTTTAAAAATATAAGTACAATGTAAAAACATGTATGTACAAAATAAGTCCATTGTATCAAATTATTTGTTTCAATGAAAGTATATGGTACTTAAAGCCACTTAATATAAAGTGGGACCACTGACCATTATCATAGCCAGGGGTTACATAACAGTAAAGAAGTTTCATAGAATATAGCCAAATCACATTTATTTTTTAATATTAAATAACACAACAACAGATTTTTATCAACAAATATTAGGCGTGACAGATTAAAAATGTAATAATTCATTTTATAATACACCAATGTATTATATACAAATGTACACACTACTGTTCAAATGTTTGGGGTTGGTAAAATGGCTGCATTTGTTTGATCATAAAAACATTAATATTATATAATAAAGTGACCGGCTTCTGTTTTAATATATTTTAATATTTCATTTATTCTTATGATGGCAAAGCTGAATTTTCAGCATCATTCAGCATCAAAGTTTTATTTTGTACCATTATATAAGGTCGTAACTTTTGATCAATGAAATGCATTCTTGCTGATTAAAATCAAACTTGTATGTATAATGTGATTGTTAGCACACACATAGATGCACAGACCTGTTGGGAATCTTGGAGAGGTCGGTTTCTTGTCGAGAGCGAACGTATGGAATGACCACAACCTTCTTCAGGTCAGGGAGACCTGAGAGAGATGATGGGGAGGGGAAAAACAAGTATTTGAGGCTCAATGAAATGCAAACATATCAACAATACGACATGATGGGGAAAATCTAGCTGTGCGTGAGCTGAAACTCGTGTGCTTTATACCTTTAACAACGTTCTGGAGTTTCTCCATATGGTCGTGCTGCTTGCCGTTATAGACAACAGCTGCTACTGAGAACATCAACTTGGGCTGGATCTGAGAAATTCTGTCCAGCACTCCCTGAAGAGGAAAAGAGAGACATGAAAGACAGGTATAACACAGGAGCAAAGATACACACACATACACATAATAAGCTGTATTTTTTTCTTTATATATTATTATATTCAATATATCACAAAAAAGAATTATATACACACACTACATAGTCACTACTGTTCAAAAACTTTTGGGGTCAGTAAGATTTTTGTTTCTTAAAAAAAAGTATGTTTATTTAGCATGGATGTATTCAATTGATCAAAAGTGACAGACTTTGGCATTGTTACAAACGATTTCAAAATAAATGCTGTTCTTTTAAACTTTCTATTTACAAAAGAAAAAAAAATATCACACAGATAATAATAATAAATGTTTCCTGAGCACATTAAAAGCATTTCTGAAGGATCATGTGACACTGAAGACTGGAATAATGTCTGCTGAAAATTCAGCTTTACAATCAGAGGAATAAACTACATATATTAAAAAAAAAAAATTAACTTGTGATAAAATGTCACAATATTATCTGCATTTTTATCAAATAAATGTAGCCTTTGTGAGCATAAGAGACTTTTTCAAAAACATTTTTTAAATATTACCGACCCCCAACATTTTGAACAGTAGTGAATAACCGATGCAGCAATGTGATGTAGTACCCAATCTTAACCACAGGGGGCAGCAGTGTATGTACAGAGTTCATTTTAGTCAATAAGCCATGGTGAATCTATGTTGCTTTAGCTACTAAAGGCAGTCCTATTAATGGAATAACCACAGCCCAGGGGGGCTTTAGACTTACTTTAATCTCCTTGTAGGAGAGTGTATGTGAGAGAGATACAGAGTGGCAGGAGCGAGAGGAACAGTGTGTGCATGTCTGACAGAGTATTTGACATAGCTCACAGGTCACACACACATTTGAAGACAGTGAGAATTGATGGTAAGATGGCCTACCTTTTTGTACGTGGGAGCCGACATGTTGCAATAATATGGCCAACTCAATAACTATTTATATTTAACACTTTTGCTTGTGGGATAAATAGAGTGCATTTAACAGATAAGACCACAATACAGTGGAAGCTCATGACAACAACTGCACCAGTGCAATACAATACATGATACAAAAAGAGATTAATGCTGTTCTTTTGAACTTTCTATTCATCAAAAAATCCGGTTTCCACAAAAATATTAAGCAGCACAATTAGTTTATTTCAACATTGATACTAATAATAGCTCTTTCTTGAGCAGCAAATCAGCATATTAGAATAATTTCTGAAAGATCATGTTACACTGAAAATTCAGCTTTGCCCTCACAGGAATAAATGAATTAATAATACATGTTAAAATAGAAAAGGGGTATTTAAAAATACCAATATGACTGTTTTAACTGTATTTTAATCAAATAAATGCAGCCATAGTGAGCATAAGAGACTTTTTTTTAATCTTACCAACCCCAAACTTTAAAACTGTACTGTTGTACATAAAAAAATAAAGTGGCCATGCATGTGTGTTTGAAATCTGTCATCATCATAATTTCACACTTTCTAAATCACTGTGAAAGTGAAATACCTTTCTGACCTGATCTAGCCCGTATAGTATGTTAAATGTTCTGATGATCCAGAGCTCAAAGAAAAAAATAAGTTGTTTCTATACACTAACTGCATACTTCATACAATTTAAGTAGTAGTAGTAGAATAGTATACTATACAACCACTACGTATGTAAAGCTCTTACATTGACACCAAAATCTGGAGAGGTTGAACTCCAGATGGCGCCGATACTTGCTGCAGCGAGCATGGCCTCAACAGCATGAATCCCATTGGGCAGATATCCTGAGGTAAAGAGAGGGAGAATATATCAGAAATAACTAAATTACATTAGAAAAAGCAATACATCACCGGAATTGTGCAAGAATAACTTAAGATATGCAAGTTATGTTAGTGAGCACTCATCAGGCAAAATATATTACATTTTCTTCAGAAATACTGTGCCTTTACAGGCAAAAGAGACGATAACTGAAAATATTACACAACGGGGGAAATTATAAATACAGCATCTTAAAAGTAACACTTACATACAGTCACAGTTTTACTAAAAAGGAAGTATATTTCAATACACTTTCAATATACTTGACCAAAGTGACTCGTGGAGGCAATAATATACTGTAAGTTGAGCATCAAATTTTCAGCCAAAAGAAGTTTAGGAGAAACAGTTGTGGTTGCTTGGCTAGGTTAAAATCAAGATTTATAAAAAAAAAATAAAAAATAAAAAAAAAGATTAGAAAATAGCTTGAATCATACATTTAAAATAAAGCTGAAGCAAAGATTAAGATTAAAGATTAAATTAACTATAAATGAAATATTTGGTTTAAATGTAAATTATATTGTGTATTGAACAAAATAGAGAGAGTAAAGATACAGAATCGAAACCCATTAGCTAAATGATACTGCGGCAATGAGACCTGGCCTCATCAGCAAAGTGGCCATTTATTCACTCCTACTCCTACTCATACACGCACACACGCTGTAAATCAAGGAACAGACAAGGACATTTTAGTTGAGAGAAACACACTTTACACATGAGCACACAAAACCGCACACCCTAACAGGATCAGTATACTCAGCCTTTGTAAACTTCCATGCTTTTATTTCATACAACACACACATACTCAGGAAAGACACACCTCAATGAACACAGTTATGTTTGCATCCACGTAGACATTTTTATAGAAACAGTAGAGTAAACATACCATTCCCTAAACCGTCATAACCACTTCTGTTTTTAAATATAGCTATATATAATTATCATTATTATAGACAAACTGTATTAAACTGAACGCACTTTATTGTCCTGCTAAGGGAAGTTTGTGTTTGTGTGTATGTAAATATTTCGATCTGGAGACCATGTGCAGGCCATGGGAGATGTTCAACTTTCATGTTCATCAAACCATTCTGTCAGAAGTCTTGCTTTGTGTATTGGTGCATTATCATGCTGATACACGGCATAAACTTCAAGGTACAATGTTTGAACCATGGTCCATTCTTGGGTGCACATGCTCCTCCAGAATGGTTCAGTAGTTTTTGGCAGTGAAATCGCACCTGCCCAAACATCAAGGATGGAGGACACATCAGATAATATTATATGTTTCACATTGTCCACAGCCCAAGATTTGCACTATTGGCACCATTGAAACCGACATTTAGCACTGGCACGAGTGACCAAAGGTTCGGCTATAGCGGCCAGATCATGAATATGGACTCTGTGAAGCTCCTGACAAACAGTTTTGGTGGAAACAGGAGAAAGGTAGGCAGCTGTGGTTTTAGGATTTTTGGAAACAATCAGAGTAAGTACCTGAACATCCATTTCAGACAGATTCCTCTTGCTTCGACAGTTATTCCTGCTTAATGTGGTTAGTCCTATGTGATGGTATGCCAACATTACCCTGGATACCATAGCTCTCGATACACTACAAAGACTTGCTGTCCTGGTCACAGATGAGCCAGCGAGATGTGCGGGAAAGCTGTGCATTGATTTAAGTACAGCTGTGCTATCACTCTGTTAATTCAACCTTCACACTCTGCTCTTACTGATTGAATGTAAAATCAGTGAAGATTGGCCACCAGGCCAAAACATATACAGGTATGAAACACTATACTGGCCAGAGTTTTAATTTCACTGTCCATCCCATGTATGTGTATATAGCCTATGATGGATTATCTCGGCAAAGGAGAAGTGCTCACTAACACAGATTTAGACAGATTTGTGAACAATATTTGAGAGAAATAGGCTTTTTGTGTACATAGGAACTTTGAGTTCAGCTCACGAAAAATGGGGGTAAAAATAAAAGTGTCGTGATTATAATTTTGTTCAGTGTAGATATTTTTATCAGTTTTTCTTTTTAATAGTCAACTGATTTTTTTTAGATCATTAGTCATCAACCGTGGTAAACACTGGTCACAGGCACAAAGATGTACTTTTAATTTCACCAAGCTGATTGATTGCTCACTGAAAACCCCCACAGTCATGTATTCAGGCCATTTCAAGTTAGATATTTTAGTTAGATATCCACGTGTCTGCATTAGGGATGGGCAACGATTAATCGCATCCAAAATAAAAGTTTGTGTTTACATAATATGTGTGTGTGTAGTGTGTATAATTAATTTGTATATATAAATACACACACATGCATGTATATATTTAAGAAATGTTTGCATGTATATACTTTATATATATTTACACATAATTAATATTATATAAAAATATTTGATATATTAATAACACATTTTTCTTAAATATACACATACATGTGTGGGTATTTATACACACAAATTAATTATACAAACTACACACACATATATTATGTAAACACAAACTTTTATTTTGGATGCGATTAATCGTTGCCCATCCCTAGTCTGCATCGTTTCTTTACTTTTTAATTAGTCTTCCCATTAACGCCATAATGTTGTTAATTCAGACCGATTTGCGCATGCGCATAAAAACAAGTTTTTTTTTTTGCACAAACCAATAATTTCCAATCATATCACGGATGCATTGCATTGCCTCATCTCACATTAATTCTCAATTAGAAGCATTGCAAAGGTTGCTTCTAATTGAGGCAAATTGCATTGCCTCATCTCAATTCATTCTCTCCCTCATTAAACCCAGCACAAACTTTAGGGGGCCTGTTAAAAGTCAATGGGCTCAGGGGAGGCACGGTGTCCCACTGTAACTTCCTACCTAAGGGTGTTACTGATTTTGACAGAATTATTTTAGAAAAAAAAAAGTAATTTATACACTTTTTAAATGTCAAGTTAAAATCTAGTTTATAGTTCATGATACTTTTACTTTACTTTCAGAATGTCCTCAATAGAATGGATTTTCAAATAACAGCATAATGTATCTCTATGTCATGCAGTCATGTGACTCATAAAACAACCTTAAATATCTCTATGGAGTAAAACTGTAAAACATTCTGTACCATGTTGCTCATTCCCCTCTATAGGGACTTGTATGAATAAATCTATGGGTGAATATAATCACTGAAATGGCCTCCTCCCATTTACAGCCAATACAAGTCAGAGATGATCAGCACTGCAGATAATGAACCCAGAATGACATCAGCCATTACACAGTCTCCTTTCCCCCCTCTCACATCACTCAAATAAAGACACCATTACTCACACACACGGTCACAGTAGAGGGCAGAGACAAATCTGGCATCTGAGCTTCTAACCAACCTCTAGCTTCAGCTTGGAAATGTCTGAATGCACTTAAGTTTTAAATCTGAAAAGACTAATTACCACTGCCATGGTATAACTGCACACTGCACTTAATTCTCCAATCAATAGCCATGAATGGCCCTGGCTGAACCCCAAATCTGAGACAAAAAAAGGGGAGTTTGTGATTTTAGGAGCGACTGTCTGGCTCCCATAGTTGGAACACTTATAAAGACACAGGAGGACAGAAAGAATAAGCAAAGAAAGAGGGCAGGAAAAACAGGTTAGAGTGCCCAAGCCTGATGCAATATTAAACAGTGTATTAGATTTTCTTTTATTTGGCCAAGAAGTATTGGCATGCATTTCCTCATCCCACTACTGTCATCTGGGTGTCAAATGGGTGACTGAGAAAGCACAACACAAATACAGAGACACATTGAAGGAGAAAAGGAGGTGACACTCACCTACGACCCTGTCTCCAGTTTTGATGCCCATCTTCCTCATGGCGGCAGCGAAGAGAGCGACATCACGCCTCAGCTCTCCGAAAGTCACCTTGACGATCTCCTCATTCGCCTCAGCTACATACACACACAAAAAAAATCACTTTAAGAAACAAATCTCAATCATGGCAAAAAGACATGACAGCAAATAAGTTAATAATAATAATAAAAATAAACACCATCATTAAAAATTATAGAGTCAGTAAGATTTTTAAAATGTTTTTGAAGGTACTAAAAAAGTAGGCGATTTTGGACAAAGCCAAAGTGTTAAATTTAATCAGAATCCTTTCAGGTAAATGATCCCCGCCGTTTCACGAAGACAAACCAATGACGCAGGTACACTTCTGACAGACGCCACTTTGGTAATTACATCCGCTCAATCCTGGAGCACATCAGGACAATCACAATATAAAAGCACAACTATGTGCACCCCGCCCCATGCCCCTACATGGACACTAAAATCACAAATCAAATTACAGACAGCATAATTCATTTAGTGTTGCATTACCCAGAGGTCTGCAATGACAGATTCTATCAATGAAGATAAAACACATGCACACAGTGCTGTTGCTATTTTAAAGTAGCCGTTTGTGTATAAGGTCAAACGGACAATGGCTCAAGGAGATCAGCAGAGTCATGTTTTGAATCAGGAGATATTTGTGTGGATTATAAACTGCATTGTTACCAAACCAGGGTTTACGTAGGTCTTAGATAAATAGTATTGCTTGAGGGTGCAGTTTGAGAGCGTGGAGTGAGTCACGGTCATCAGTTTTTATATCACCTGAATTACTGCCACCGCATTCAGGTCTACTGAATCTGATGATTTCATTATGACTTCAGTCAGTGGTGGTGACGTCCAGGCGTCCAAGTCATTCAATGAAACTACTGAATATACTGTTCACAGCTGCAAATAATGCAGAACTGAAATTTTAATTGGAAGTACATAAATAGTGAATAGACATATATATTTATTAACCCTCAGCATAATGAAGCTTCAGATTTTCCACACTGTATTCACCAACTAAGGGACAGTGTACAGTTTATTATCACAAAATAAACCGAACGTGAGTATTATCAAAGGAAAAAAGTTGTATTTTGCAATAGTCACCAGCTTACTGTCCACAGCTTAAAGTACATTACTGTTCAAAAGTGTACTGTTCAAGTCTCTTTTGCTCAGCAATGGCTGCATTTATTTGATCAAAATACAGTAAAAATAGAGTAATGTTGTGAAATATTAAAACAACTTAAAATAATCAATAATCTTTAAATAATAAATGTTTTAATACATTTAAAATGCAATTTATTTCTGTAATGCAAAGCTGAATTTTCAGCATCATTACTCCAGTCTTTAGTGTCACATGATTCTTCAGAAATCAATCTAATTCTGATTTGGTGCTCAAGTAACATTAACATTAGCCATTTGATAATTTTCTTCTTTGATAATTAGAAAGTTCAAAAGAACAGCATTTATTTAAAATAGAATAGGGTATCTTGCAGGGTTTTAAAAAATCCAATTTAAGGATTTAAGACCTTTTTAAGACCCAAGAACAATTTAACAGTTCAAAAACAGAGGTTTTGAAATAATTACTCACTGAATATAACCCAACAGATTACTCAGATCATAAGGATCACATTAGCTAGAAATACCAAGGGTTCACTCTAAGCACGGAGAGTCTGCTTTTAGCTTATTATGCTATGAACCAGCTTCCGGAGGAGATCAGATGTGCTCCTACAGTAGTCACATTCAGATCCTTCCTTCCCATAGTACTATGGAAGTCAATGGGACCAGAAACTGTCTGGTTACTGATATTCTTCTAAATATCAGAAAATCGGCTGAATGGATTTGAAAACGGTAAAACTCAACTGTTTAAATGAGGGATTTTCTGAGCCTATTTTCAACATAAAAAAAAAAGTGGAGTATCCCTCTAAAGACTCTTTAAGGACCCCTGATAGAAATATTTTGTAACATTATAAATGCCTCTGCGGTCACTCATGTTTTACTGAATCCTTGCTGAGGAAAAAAACATTCTTTAAAAAAAATATTACTGACCCAAACTATTGAACATTAAACAGTAGTTTAAGTTTATAACTGGATATGCAAAATTAATTTGAGATACAAGAAGACAAAGTGTGATAAGGCCGGGAGACATGAAACTAGCAAAGTGCAGAAAGTGTGCTTACCAGGGACATAGTCAATTACAGAGTTTGTTTAAAAAAAACAACAACAACAAAAAACAGTTTGGACACAGAATGTAATTCATGTAAATTGTAATAAACTAGTTTTCATACTTGCAGCATAGAGAGCCACTTTGTCCTGGTCTTTGTGTTTGAGAAGGTTCTCTGCATAATTCAGTCTGCTGCCTTTAAACCACTCAGGTGCATCTGATATCCTTTTAGAAACATCAACCACCTGAAACAGAGAGTGAGCAGAGTCACACGTCATCCTGTTTAATACAACACATTTTTCGTCATTTTGAGACAGTAATATTTTAGTGTTTTTACATACTTATTAAAGTTTCCCCTAATATGCGTTTCAAATATTCCCTTTCACGCAGTGTGTAATATAGCTGTTTGTGAAAGTAAAATGTCGGACAATTTAACATTCAATTTATGTAACAATGTAACAAATTTGCATAATGCCAGTCTATGGTCTACTTTGAACCGCCCTAAAACACTGTAGTTATTATAGATGAGGCCTGGAAGAGGATTTGAGAATTTGGTTTGTATTGTTGACATGTTGAGAAGACGTTGTTTTCAGTTCTGCAAATCTTTAGATGAGGACTTGCACTAGAATTTATACGGGGGAAAAAATGACAGCATCATTAATGTGGTGAGGAAGCTGAAATTCAGATATGGTAATAAGCGTTTAGTTTACGACACGCTAAGCGGTAGACCAATCACAACAGCCTGTTTATTTATACTTTTTACATTTTTTTTATTTCAGCTTTATTTCAATGAACAAAAAAAAAAAGTGGTTTAATAGCACTGGACTGAGAGAAGACTACAGGTTAACTACCTTAGAAAACTTGTTGCAATATCTTGGCTACTACCCTACTATCGTGATGTAGGCACACACCGTTCCCCAAAAAAGTATCCCACAAATTACTGATAATACAACATTACAGCCATTGCTGTAAACCAGTGATATTAGTTCATAAAGTTTTCATTTGGATATTTTTCTTACAAAAATACATTGCTTCCCTTCAGAAGGCATTTATTAACTGTATGGATTACTTTTATGATGGATGGATGGATGCGCTTTTTGGACTCTGCCAATATTCAGTGCCATTATAAAGCTGGGAAGAGCCAGGAAATTATTCAATATAACTCTGATTGTGTTCGGCTGAAAGAAAAAAAAATGATATAAACATAGGATGGCTTGAAATTCTTTTACTACACAAACCTGCCACAATCCATGTTGTCATACATGTTATCGAATAATAAAACAAACTTTGAGTCAGCAAATAATCAACAGAGAGCATGCAGTAAAAATAAGGTAAAGTAAGAAGGTTGTAGATAGAAAGCCATAAATAGACTGTGTTATTTTTTATGATTTATCTCATGACACTCCTTAAGCAAAATTAAAGCTCTCTTAGACGGAAAAGCCCTAACACACCTTCTCAGCCAGAGATATGCGCTCAGACAGTAGTACTAAATAGTAATAAATTCATAAATGTTTACTAGTTAGGATCAATCTACTGTATATGATTCATATGTGACTAATGAATTGGTCCATCATCTATGTCATATATTACACGTATACCTCCACATAAATAAGATAAACAATAATTTCTTTGTTATTTATGCTGAACCTTAACTCTCATAACACAACAAGAAATGACAAACAAAAAAAACTTTTAAATATCTGTATGTGTAAATCTGAAAAAGTTTATTAATACTGTATATATAAAGAAGGCCAAAAGGTTGAAAAAAATAAACCAACCTCCTCATACATCTTTGAGCAAGCGATGCCACAGAAAGTCCAAACCTGCGCCCAGAACTCCGGATAACTGTCCACGGACCACTGATACAGGTCATTATAGTTAGCTTCAAGATAAAAGAGACATTTATTGAATTAAGGTACCATTTGACATAATACATGCCATTATTTAATTTAGTTTAGCGATGATAGAAATCAGGACTTGGTCCATACAAGATTCAGATTTGTGGTCAACTGTTACTTTTGGCCCCTTACTTTTTGTTTTGATTTGTTATTTTTGACTATTTTCTTCTATCAATTTTATGCCAGCGTTATTTGAACAAATAAGGAAAAAATAGGGATCAAAATATAATCATTTAAGAATTAACTATTGATTTTTTTTACTATTCTGAATATTGCATGTTCCCTTTACATAGACATAGACTGAAAGGGTAGCCTATATCCATACAATATTCAGATGTCAACCATTGTGGGTGTTTACATTGATAACATTTTTTAAATATTTCCTAGTATCAATTCCAGTTTAACTGGTATCAGTTGAAGATACAAGTATGGAACCTACAATATCAGGGAGGTACTAATGTGAAGACCTTTCATTGGCCTATAATACTAATCGAAGTGAATAGCAAATTAGTAAGTACTAGTAGTATGTCATAAAAGTTTGAACTGTATCTTAATAGTAACTAAAAACATGTTCTATAGTATAATATGAGTACTACTAACAATAGTTTTAAAGAATAAATGTTAAAGCAGTTTGTCATAGATGAAAATGGTGGCATACGTGCTGAGATGCATGTAATTGATGATACAAACATATGGTGTGACAGCCAGTTAGAGCTATTCCATGTCTGATCTGAAATACTGGTTTTACAGCTCTGTCTATACATTCAATGCATTGAGAATCAGCAGAATGGCATGCATGAAAAACCAGTAATATGTGGTCAGACATCCCTTGTTGGGCAATTGAAAGAGTTAAATACACAAAATGGATCCTGGAGAAAATGTAGAGGGCCAAAAATTGCATCTGAAATCATGGTTAAACTACCCGTTTGTGAATAAATGTGGCCACCATGATATACAGTATAAACTATGACAATCCCAGGATGAGCTATTAATGAGATTAACTATATAGTACTATGCTTTGTTTTCCTGTAGAATAAGGGTGTGTTGTTTGCTGAAATAGTCTGCCCTCATTCTAGCCCAGCCTGACTCTACTCACCCAGATTCAACCCGAAGTCCCGGTTCACTAGAGTCCGGAATCGGTCCATCTGTGTGTTTCGTTTCGAGTCCGGGTACCAGAGCACCTTTGACTCCATAATCTCCTCGCTGTTGGCCTCCGTGTCTTTAGACATGATCGGATGACACGCGCCGGTATGTCGTGAATAACCTATAAAGACTGAAAGAAATGCACTACGGGAGTTGGACGAGGCGATCCGGTGATCGTGTATTGGTGCAGGTCAGACACATGGGTCATTTCCGAACGTCAGTCTCACATAATGAACCAGCAGCCGCGGAAGCCCCGCCTACCGCGCAACCGCACACCACCCTGCCAATCTCCACATGTTCTTCCGCTGCTCATGTAGTACTAGTGCTTAGTTTTTTTACACAAATTAATCAATTAATATATGATTCGGGAACAATTGCGTGTTTATTTATTAATAAATATTTAATTAAGATTTCATATTTTATAAAAACGAGCTTTTCAATTTGTAAGGGGTCTCTGTCTCATATATCAGATTAGATTGTAGTGATAAGAAGGAAGTCCGCCTGATTTCTGCTAATCTTCTTTGGAACAGAACTAATTTCTGAGAACCTGTTTATTATGTAGGCCTACTAGGCCAAGCAATAAGGTATGAGAGGCTGCCACTTGCCTCGAGTGCCTTATTGCTTTTATAAAACTGTTACCATGGTTGTAATACGATGTTAAACGTTTAAATGAACCATTATGAGCACATAATATCCACATAGCACTTTAAATTAAATTAATATAGTAGCATTCCTGAAGTAGCATCAAAGGGCTTGTTGTCATTTAATTTGCCCCAGTTTACTTTGTCGCAGTCATGATCTCACTCATTTAAAAAATAATGTACTTTAAACGTAACGTGGATATAAATAAAAACGTTAATGAAAAACTATAATAAAAAGATACTTTGATCAAAAGTTAAAAAAAACTACATTCAAAAATGTCATCAGTTCAATATTGAATGATTCGGACAGATTCATTCAGCCCCCTTTGGAAAAGAATCGTTTATGGCGGTGTTTGTGAACCGATTCATGTGTTTGATTAAAAAGAGTTCACTCCAAAATAACTTTATTGAACTTTATAAGGCGATGAAGTGCTGTCAACTGATAAGGATAAAAAAAAATTAAAAACAGAAGCACAGACATAAGTCTTCAGTCAGTTATTTATCTAATTATTTAACAGTTAAAACTAGCATTAAAGCCGTAGTTTAAATTTCAGAATTCTGTCTGCCTCTAACTGGTTAAACTATATCTGGTTAAAGTAGAACTTAAAGTACATGCTCTTGACCACTGACATCTAAAGAGTCTTGGTTAAAGCTGTTAGGTTTTGGCGGAGGAATATCGGACTGCTTCGCAATTAGCATTTCTTTTATTCCATTGGCTCGTAAAGCTGGCCTCACATCAGCCGAGACCGCAGAACGAGAGAAAGCGACATGGACAGACGGAGAAGCGAACCAATCAGAAGTCACACAGCCTTTCCACCAATTCGGCCCACTGAAGCGCCCAGCCAATAGAAAAAGGGATCATATAGAGGTGTGCCCAATCCAGAGCCTGCAGCCTGCCTGCAACATGATCTGATGGGAAAGGAAAAAATGTGATGGAAGTGTCACTCTGTATTATATTTTACATACATTTTATGCAGTCTATTTATTTATTTTAAACATTTTAGCACCAAAGCAAGGTATGATAGTATAGAAAGAGCTGCTGAATACTTTTGCAGAGTCAGTGATTGTCAAGGCCGATTTCAATATTTGTATAACTTTGGGAAATAGGAGTTGCTCCACACATTGACAATGTAAGCTTGTTTGTTTTGGGATGAAACTTCACTATATTCATTAAAATTGCTTTTATTGTATCTGCCAGTCTGTCTGTTTTAGTAAGACTCAAGTGCTTTCATAAAAGCAATGGGAACGGGGTCATGTCTGCACCCCCTGGGCACAACCAATAAAAAAGCAACAATGCTCAACATTACAAGCCAAATATGGGTATCTTAAAGGCACAGTGCTCCTTTTGATCGTTGCATAAGCGGATCAGCTCTCACAGATGAGATGCATCTGGAGAAATACAATTTGCAAGAAAATTCCAGTGTCTTTGACAAAGTAAACTGAAAAAAGATATATATATATATATATATTTTTTGAAACCTTCACCTGAGTGACATTTTTAATGTACAGTATGTTAAATTGCACGAGGGTGGCAAAACCAAATGCCAAGTACAGCTAACATTACAAGCTTTCACCTCTGGGTTATAAATGAGTTGCAATGCCAGCATTACAAAATGTTTTTTCATTTGTGCATTTGATCTAGTGGACGGACTTCAGCACCTCTGACTGTCTCATAAACCGTTTTTGCAAAGCAAACAGAACTCCTTCACATCCAAACTGCACATGCAGCTTTAGGATACCTGCGTAAACCCATCCATTTGGCTTGGCTGTCTCAGACCAGACATGATTTTACCCTCTCCACTTATTAGAGCTTTAGAGAGTTCATATGAGGCCATTCGAAGAGAAAAATTAAGCAATGTTCAAACAAGTGTCTGTTGTGCCACACATAACCTCCTAAATCCAAATTAGGTGAAGCAACTTTTTCATAAATGTTCAAAAAGCTCAAACTGCAGCGTGAGCAAATATAATATAAATTACACTATTACTGTCAGTCAGGTTGAGCCCTCAAAATTGTAATATCTTTATATATATATACATTTTTAGAAAAAAGTTCCCAAGACTTGTTGGTCAAATTGTATATTACATTTATTAAATCATTTTTGGACCACCGTTTAATCTCAGAGAAAATCATTTAAGTTTCATGACACATACAGCGCAAACAATACCACAGAAAGCAACATCACAGGTGAACGACCCTGATAAAAAATTATACAGTACAAAAGCAAACCTGATATAGATATCTAGGCATGGTGCAAATACACCAGGTAATGTCTAGACTTCACAAAGATTCAGTGCTTTCTAATACAAATCAGTTAATGATGCAAAATCCTCAACACACAATAATTGGCACTGGCGCATTCAACTGGAGTGACGGACAATGTGAGAGATAACTGGGTCTTTGCAGTTATTGAGTCAGTACATCTCCCTTATGTTTGATATATATTAAAAAAAAAAAAAAAAAAAATTTCCACAAATTAATTTTGGACATGACATAGTGCTGGAACTTTCAACTGAATTACAGGTATGAAACAGTTTGAGAAGGAAAATATCAAATTTCACCTTAAAATCATATCTAACAATACAACTTATTTTCCATGGTATATTACTGTGGCTTCTCATTCACAGATATGCAAGGTCAACATTACTATTTTATGTTTGCTGAAACATGTATAATGTGTAATTATTCGTATTGTCCATAGTACTTTTACAATAATGCTGGTACATTGCAATTACACGCACGTTTGCTATTTGTAGATTCCTTAAAAGCTGGTGCTTATTTTGTATGATTTATAAACCAGGTAACATCCTTCACATATTCATACAATAAAAAAAAGGGCCTGACGATGGTGCATGCACTGATTTCCAGTAGGCTTGAGTTTCACTACAGTAGTCATTGGCAGGTCTAAAATCAGTGAGGTGCAGGACGAGTCATCTATGTTTTTGGCCTATTTTCCTTGAAGAGAAAGACTTTCTGTTTCTGTTAAAAGTGAATTTTGAATGTTTAAAAAGAGTTGAGATGGCAGGGACTAAAAGCCACAAAACTCTCCCTTTGAATTCATGACGACTTTAGAATAACAGACTGGAGACAAACATAATACTAAAATGATAATTTGTTATCAGAAATTAACAATAAAAAAAAAACACTTTACAATGACGCAAAACAAAAACATAAAATGTTCCCGGCTTTTAAAAACACACTACAGTACTGTTCAAAAGTTTGGGGTCGTTAAGATTTATTTGACCAAAAATAGAGTAAAAACAATAATGTTGTGAACTATTTCATTAAAATAGTTCAAAAATTGTTTCAAATGTAATTCATTCCTGTGATGGAGTCACAGTCTTCAGTGTCACATGATCCTTCAGAAATCAGTCTAATATGCTGATTTGGTGCTCAGGATTATTAATGTTGAAAACAGTTGTGCTGCTTAACATTTTTGTGGAAACTGTGATACTTCTTCTTTAGCATTTTCTAATGAACAAAGTTCAAAAGGACGATTTTATTCAATTGAATTCTGAATAAAAATATCCATTTCTTATAGAAACCCTCCAAACTTTTGAACCGGAATGAATTTACTTAAAATATAGCAGTGCTAACCGTGTAGTAAAAATAAATCAATTCATGGTATATCATGGAACAAAGTTATACTTAAACACTTAATAAAATTTCTCTTTAAATGTAAAAACGTATAAAAAGAAGTAAAAGTACCGTAATCTATGGAACAGTGATTCAATGTTCAAATGATATGTAAAAAAAACATGCAAATTAGTTTTAAATACAAAGGTTTACTGCAAGGAATGAGAGGCAACAGAGAAGAGAGAACCTGGGTTCAATTAGTTGCCAGGAATTTCATTTTCAATGCCACTGTGGATGAAACCATAGAGGCCACTTTCTTAAAAATGATTAACTAAGCAGCACTAATATGTAGTGGGATTAACACACTACTCGATCAATCCCTTTCTAAAAGTACGTTAAAATGGTACATACAAGTGATAAAATGATCTCATGCTGAGAACAAAGTGCATGACCAGGTTTCTCCCTGTACTTACTTATCTTAAGCACATGAGAACATCTCTCTCTCTCTCTCTTAGCTGAAATTGGACAGAGATACTGGTGTAGATTGCAGCGCCGTTATTTTGCTGCCAGAAACACTGGTCAGATATCCTCATGAATCTGATGACTAGCTGCTTTCTGAAAGCGATTTCCACATACATCTCGATCCCTGATAGTGCCAATCGGTCCTGAACTCAGAGTAACCTCTGGTGACCTCAAGAAGAGACAAAGGAGAGATGAACAAAATGCAGTGATACTGACTATTCTTCACAATTTGAGTGTTTCTAAATCAACTCTCAATTGCATTGCCATCATGATTTATAAATAACACACACACTTACAGAAAGTGCCCAAACAAAGCTTATGATAAAGGCATAACACTGCGCAATGGAATAGCACACACACACACAGACTCACAGCATACAAAAAAAGTCCTGATATTTACTAAAAAAAAAAATGGATGGCTACAGTAGAAATGGACACTAATAATACATTCTACGACAACAGGGCGAACGTAGTGGACTAATTTCGGTTTATCAATTGGAGAATTGATCAAATTTTCTTACAATTCTTGTCTTACTACATTGGGACATCCTGAGAGAAAAGGGGACAAAAAAAACCAAAAAACTTTTTTCTCATACCATCTCACAAACCCCAGCTTTAACTCTTAGCCTGGGGTGAAAAACTTCATTGGTCACTGGAGCGCTCCAGGTTTTCAATCACTCTGCTCAAGCGGATGTTGAGGAGGCGGATCTGGGTATCGAGCTGGTCGATTTTCTCTTCCAGAGTTCCAGATCCGCCCCCTTTCCGCCAGAACGCACCCACCGGTCCCGTCATGAAGTACACAGCCATGATGAAGCACAGCGGCAGCACCGCCTTCTCTGGGTCGCCCTCAAATTTCTGCAGGATGTACAGGCACGAGAGGGCGAAAAGCGCTACGCGGGCCAGCCAGAAGAAACGGCCGAACACCGCGTGAAGGATGTAAAAGAAGCCACTCAGGAACAAGGACAGGAACCAGTAAGCCACCAGCAAGGCTGCCACTAGGAGGAGCGCGCGAGCAGGAGAACTGGACACGGACGATGGGCTGAAGTAGTGCGTCAGGTTAGAGGCTGAAGAGAGAGAAGAAAATGGATAAATTAAGGACATTATTTTTGCATTATAAACAAACAGTGACGATATGACACTTCGGATATATCCAACATAATATGACATAAGTGTGATCCAGACTTACAGTCAATGCCCATAACATCAAGCAGATCCACCCAGAGTTTCCACAAAGTGTCCAAAAATGAATCGACTCCATGAACAAACCTCTCTGTAGTTTTTGAGAAGAACTGCAAAAAATACATTTTTTAAAATAAAGAAAGAATGCAAAAGATGCAATGACCTATTAATTATGATATTAATGTAATATCAATAACACAAGTACGGTGACAAAAGAAAATCACTCGATAAAAAAAAAAAAAAAATCTACCAATCTATACATTTTTATTTTATCTAAATTTAATTTAATCTAAAGTAAATTAGATTTATTTTAGTTGCAAATCATTTTATTTTAGATTAGATTTATATCTTGCACTGACAATATTTTTTTATATAATTTTTGTATAATATTTTTATAATATTTTTTAAGTAAATATGCTTATCCCACCTTCTGTATCATTACCATAATGTGTGACATTTTAGTTTTTTTTTAAATTATTTATTATTATCAGTGATGATTCATTTAAAGTTATCTATACTCAATTGCATTTAAAATATTACTATAATAAAACGTTAACAACTAAAATCAAACTGCAGTACATCAAATTCTACCATGATGTACAACTCCACATATTTTTATATTAAAATATTTTTTATATTACATATTTATTATTATATTAATTTGCTTTACAGTAATACGAATAACGTTTTTTTATTTATTAAATGGAATAAGGGGTAAAATGTGCACAATTGCAAAAAAAATAGTTGTCCATGTGTCCAATGTCCATTAAAACTGCATAATATACGTTCATATATTTTATATATAATAATATATGTAAATATTTATATAATTAACATAGGGAAATTAATAACAAACATTTAACTTAATAATTTTAAAAGACAAATAATAAATTATAAATATTATTAGGTGTTATATAACATTAGACAATCCATTATGAATTCAGTTATTAATTATGAAGCGTTCCATTAGTGACCTATAAACAGAACGATGCACTTAACAGAATGCCCTCGCTCTAGGTAGGCAGGTCACTAGGTTTTGAGACACGGCCATTGACAGCTTGAGATCTCGGTATGCTCGAGTCTAATGCACCTTCAAAAAAAAAAAAACCACACACACACACACAGAGTAGCATTACAATATAGCGTGATCTTGTATGTACCTTGTACAGCGCCCTAATGTTCTCCTCTCCGAAAAAATTGCTAAGGGTTTGATAGAAGCCGCTGGCCGCCCTCCTGAAGCTGTTCTGGTTACTAGAGTCTTTCCTGCTCCGCACTGCCTCGGTCAGCAGGACGAGGGCCAAAAACATGCCCAAAACCAAAGCTAGTTTCGCTCCTTTCATTCTCAAAAACGACCTGACAAACGGTGAGATGCAATGGAGAAAATGCTGGAAAATGCAGCCGTCGGATATAGCTTATAACAGATTGAATATAGTGGTGTGGTGAGCCGGAAGAAGATGCAGCGCGCAATGCCAGTGAAGAACTGCAACCGGAAGCAGCGCCGGATTTAAAAAAAAATGTTTTGCAGTGATGGTTGAAAATTTAAAAGCAATGTTTTTTTGTTTTTTTTCCTTCTACCCATAATAAAAGATAAGGAATAAAATGTAAAGCTTCATAAAAACCATGAATGCAAAAAAGGATACGGTTTATCAAAATAATAAACATTGGATAAGTAACATATTGGTTCTAAAAAACGTTTTCATTTTTCAGGGGTCCCAATTTAACCATCTAATTTTTGGTTTTACAGACAAAGATAAATGAAAAATGAAAGAAAAATGAAAAATGCATCTGACGTTTTCGGAGTTCTGACATCCAAGCCTTCAGCGGACACTCAGCGAGATCAACCCCGGCTGGAACAGCTTATCCAAAAAAAAAAAAAAAAAAAAAAAAAAAAAAAAAAAATCGTTTTTGAGGTTTCATAACTTTATGGCTATTTAACTTTAATAACATTTTTTACATTATCTCCACTATATGAACAATAAAATAAAATGACATAACCCTGTCTCAGTTTGATAAATGTCAATAAAAATCAATGTTTCATATTTTTAAAATGAAAACAAAAAGATCATGTTTATTTTGTTATAAATATATGCAGTGAAGAGGATCGCGTTGCCATTTGGCTAATGTTGTTGTTTTTTTGTCAATGAAAAGAGCCAGAGTGGTGTTTTATAACATATTTCGTTTTATTGTTGACGAAAAGATGCAGAGTTGTAGCAAATTTCGTTTTATTGTTGCCTAAAATATATACAAAGAGATAACCGGAGTAGCCAGAGCGTGCTGAGTGACGCGAGCAAGTACGCTCTGTTCCATTTGCAGAAGAACAGGACTTGCGTCCTCCTCACATCCTCGGGAGTTCGTTCTCCTGAGTCTAACTTGGCAAGTCTGAACTACCAAGGATGCAAGTCCGAAGTTTGCGTACTTGGTATTGAGAAACGGATAAAGAATACGCGCAGTGTTGGTGTGCCGCCAGGAACAGGGTTGGGAAACAAGACGTTTATAAAGGCTACTTAAATGTCCTGATTCAACTTAAAATAAGCCCTTTCTGTGAAACCAAACCAACTATTAAATAATACAATAATATTGTTTTTACTGTGTTTGTGATCAAATAAATGCAGCCTTTGTGAGCATAGTTCTTTAATAAAACTAATTTACCTACATTACCAACCCCAAACTTTTGAACAGTCCAATATTTTAATATTACAAAACACTATTATTATAAGTCTATTTTAGATTTAAACAAAATGTCCAGCTCTTGTGTATATGACTTTATCAAAATGGTTATTTAAAGACACGTGGTTTATTAACAACATAAAACATATCTGACATCCTTAAAGTAATATTTCACAGAAAAAATAAAAATTGTCAAGAGTTACTCAGCCTAATTGTTCCAAACCAGGGGGACCTTGTTTCCCAGCATCCCCTTGGAGTGAGTCATACAGGTTTGACATGAGGACGAGTAAATCATGGCAGAATTGACATATTTCTGTACTACTGAATACAAAGATATGGTTTACATAGTTATTTTTAATAATAACTTTTAATAGAACTATATATAAAAAAATCTGATTTATAAACAGACACTTAAGTGCTTCTGTCCTCAGTTGGGTTTAAAGTATTTCAGTATGTTGTTACACTGGCTGCCTTTAGCAGCGTTCTTCTTGTCTTTGGTATTGGAGGTTTTCTGCGAGTGTTTGGACGGGATTTTGAGGACCGGTTTCTGTTGTTTCCACTCTGTCAGTAACTCCTTTTGCACATCAGCAGGAAGTTGTGTGAACACATAAGGGTCCACATTTGCAGGGATATCTGTTTGGGAGGGTGGGATATCATGACTTTCCGTGTCTTTAATGAGCCCAGAATGTAATTCCATTGTGGACTGAGCGGATGAGAAGGTCTTGTCGAGTTCATGGTTATGAGAAGCAGGATTTTTGCGATAATTCAGTGGTGATTTACATCGTTCAGGTGTTCTTGGTTGGTTAAAAGTCAACGTGGGATTATCCGCTGGGTCGTCTTCAAACGAAGTGTCAGCAGATCCGTAAATGAGCTCTGCGGAGTCTTTATTTTGAAAACTGGTAATCAGCTCCATCTGAATGTGCTCAGGAAGGAGTTTGAATACTTCCGGATCGACACCTGGAGGCAGCTTGGGACACAATGTCTCCTCTGGAACGTTGCTCATACAAGACTCTCTAATGTTCATGTTTGTAACTCGTGAGTGCTGCATGGGAGATATGGCGTTGATTGAAGTTGGCTGTGTTTGTGGTTCTTGGGATGGAGATATCAACGTGTGTTCTATTGGTTTAATGCTGTTCCATGTTTTATCTTCTTTATGTAAAACATCTGCCTGAGTAAACTGGGAATTTGCTACAGACTCACAGAGATCTGGTTCCACCTAGTGACAATTCAAAAGACACATAACACGTAACTGTCAGTTAGCAAGACCTATTTGTGTGTGTGTGTGACGTGTGTGTTTTTTTTTTAAATGTATGAAAACACTACTGTTTATAAGTTTGAAGTAAGCTATTAAATTAATCTTAAGTGACAGTACAGATTTAAAATGTTAGAAAACTATTTAATTTCAAATAAATACTGTTCTTTAAAAAAAAAAAAAGATTTAGAAGTACAATAACCTTTTAATATGATAATAATAAGCACCAAATCAGAATGTTAGAATGTTTTCTGATAGATCATGTGACTCTGAAGACTGGAGTAATGGCTGCTGAAAATTCAGGTTTGCACCACAGAAATAAATAATATTTTAAAATACATTACAATAGACAACAGTTATTTTAAATTGTTATATTAATTCACAATATTATGTTTTTTACAGTATCTTTTAATCAAATAAATGCAGCCCTGGTGAGCATAAAAAACATTCTTATATGTAATTTTATATTTTATAATATATAAAAAATAAATGGTTTATTTTAAACAGAATTATTACAAATTATTCCCTAATAAGCTTTAATCAAAGTTATTGAGATCTCTAAAAGTTCAGAGATGGCTTTGGAAAAAAAGAAAGCTTTAGCATATCTATTTTATAGTTATAAATGCAGATATTTATTGTGTTTATCAGAACTAATAACTATAATGTACTGACCTGAGATGTCATTTGTGTTGTAGGAGATTTCTGTGTGAAGAAAGAGGCGATGGAGCTCTTGCTGGAGCTTTTAGCCTGCAGGTTACTAAAACACACATTCAGCAGGGTCAGATGGAACAGTTCGCGTGTGTCCACCATTTTATGAAAGAGCTTCACTGACAATGACAGTAACTGGGGCACAGCCTCACTGTTTCCTAAGATAAAGTAAAGTGAATATGAATAACAGCACAGCACAATCATCTCTCATTAAATTGTGTACATACAGTAAAGGCATTATGCAGTTAAAGCATGCAAAAGAGCAAAACTGCACCGCATGTGATCTTGAGCCCGGTGTGGTTGGGTATCGGACACTGTCGGCTCTCTCGACTGAACCAGCGATTGGTGACCGTGTATCGGCGAATCGTCAGTCTGAATGTGTGTGGCTGCCTGCCGTCTTTGTGCATCCTATATAGAACAAACAAACTACAGGCATGCCACACAAGTCTATTGTGTTTTACTTTAATCTGATATTGTAAAATATAGTTTTTACCTCTCAGTCAGGCTGGTGAGTAGTTCCTCAGTTTTTTTCACAACTTCCTCTAGTGTTGAAATTTTCTTGAACGAGTCCTCGTCGCTGAGAGACTGAAATATATCATTTATTTTACAGATGATTTTATCTTTCATGCTGCATCATTCTTGCATTGTTTGGGAATCAGAGCTTGTAAAAATTGTTATGCTTCACAAAATTGGATATACTGTATAGACTGCCGTTCATAGGTAAGATTTTCTTTAAATTAATACGTATTAATTATTAATTAATTTAATAATTAATTTAAATAAATTAATTGATTGTTTTATTAATAATATTTAATAAAACAAATTATTTAAAAAATATTTTTGTTTTATTAATTTTCTTTAAAAAATAATTTAATACATTTTTAATTAATTGAAAATAATAATTCACCATGGATGCATTAAATGAATCAAAAGACACAGTAAAGACATTTATATTGATAATGTTACAAAAAAAATGTTTTTTCAAAAATATGCTGTTATTTTGACTTTTTTATTAATTTAAGGAGTCCTGAAAGATACGCATCACAGTTTCCGCACAAAAAAAATAAATACAATTTTTTTAAAAAAAATAAGCAGCACAACTGTTTTAAAAACTGATAATAATAAGAAAATGTTCTTGATCGGCAAATCATCATATTATAATGATTTCTGAAGGATCATGTGACACTGAAGCCTGGAGTAATGGTGCTGATGCTGAAATACATTTTTTAATATATTAAAATAGAATTTTGAATTGTAATATTTCACAATAAGATTGTTTCTACTATATGTTTAACTCATAAGAGACTTATTTCAAAAACAATTATGTTTCTACAAAATAAATGTACAATATTTGTTGAGTAAGCTAGAGTGATAAAGAAGCTCAAAAGTTCAACTTTATCACTCTAGCTTACTCTTGACCCTGGCATTATGGTATTGCTATTATTGTTGTCTCTTGTATAATCAATTGAGGATAAAAGTTTCTGCCTAAATGATTACATGTAAAATGTAATTTCTAAACAAAGCACCAATAACACCCTCAGAAGATAAAATTGCAAGATCAAGACTACGCCTGAAGGATCTATAATAATAATGGAGAATACCTGAGGAGGACCCGCAGATGTGACTGGAGACTCATCAATGCCACAGGCGAGGTTTTGAATTCTTTTAGCGGTCACTTCACCAAACTCCTTCACCAGGTCAGGCAGAGGAAATAACTGTAGATCTCTCACACTGACCAGACCCAGAGCCTTTAGCTTCTCACGTGTTTTGTAACCAATCCCTGTAAACAAAGCCCATGTTTACAGAATATAAACAGTATATGGCATGAGATGGGTGAGCTTATGTGTCATCTTACCAGGCACTCTGATAAGTCCTGTAAGGCTGCTCATGAGCTCAGCAGTGCTGTACGGCAGGAGGGTGGTTTGCTGGTTGGGTTTGAAGGTGCCGGACACCAGCTTGGCCAAGAGTTTGTTGCTAGCGATGCCAGCACAGCCTGTTAGTCCCAGCGTGCTGAAGATGGCTTGTCTCATCTCAGCTGCTATCACAGAGCCCACAGCCAGTCGGGCGTTCTCCTCATCAACTGCCACACCTGAAGATTTATAAAGACCAGAAATCTCAAGCAATTCTCCCATTTAACATGAAAAACAACAAGAAAAGGGGTATGCTGAATTCTTCCGCAAACTTTTAATTAGTAGTCTAGATTTGTAACCAAAGCCCTAAAACCACTGGATTTAAAACTGTTAGTACTTGCTTGAAGTGGCGCTCCGACTCACATTCATGTTTATATATGTGTCCACTGAAGGACAGATCTGAAATACGAGTCTCCTTCAGTCTTCTCTCCACCATTTCTGTAACGTCCATGTAGTTTTCGTCAAAGCCCAGCCTCTCCACTAGGGGGCAGTATGACATCAGCAAGTCTTGGGCAGATAAAGTCATTGAAAAGATATTTAATTTACCATTATGCAAATATACACCTCAGTTCAAAATATCTTTTTTTTATGCTTTTGACAGAAATCTGTTTTGCTCACCAAGGTAGCATTTAGTGTATTTAATCAAAACTAGAGTAAAAACAGTAATATTGTGAAATATTAATTGGATTTTAAATAACTGCTTTCTATTTTAAAGCTACACTAACTCTTTTAAATGGTAAATGGTAAATGGACTGCATTTATATAGCGCCTTCATAGACCTAATGGCCACCAAAGCGCTTTACATTTTGCCTTACATTCACCCATTCACACACACATTCATACACCGACGGCGGTGTCAGCCATGCAAGGCGCCAGCCAGCTCGTCGGGAGCAGCTGGGGTTAGGTGTCTTGCTCATGGACACCTCGACACTTGGTCAGGTGGAACCGAGGATTGAACCACCAACCTTTCGGTTCGTAGACAACCCACATGAACCACTGAGCCACTGCCGCCCCTTTTAGTTTATTCTTAGCTAAAACAACACTTAGTTCTTTCAAAAATATGTGTGCTCATTAATGTATATTTACTTCGTTCAAGTAATAAAGTATTCTCGTGACTGTATAATATAACATTGAAAATACATACGGGTAAGGGCTTCTAATGTCGGTCGCCATGTTGACCCTCCATCTTATTAGCCAAAGAGGGACATACCCGTTAATTTAAGCTTCGCCTTTCGCGTTTACGTTTCGGTTAACACTCATGGACGAGGTTGAACTGGAAGCCATGTTAATCTTGGACTACATTGGAATTGAGAGGAACAGAAACTAATATTCACTGGATGGTCATATAGATGGGGGTAAAAATCACACAGTGTAGCTTTAATATATATTTTAAATTATAATTTGTTCCTGTGATGGAAAAGCAGAATTATAAATATCTTTACTGTAATTTTTGAACAATTTAGTGCATCTTTGCTGAATAAAAGTATTTATTTCTCTAAAAAAAATCTTACTGACCCCAAACTTTTGAATTGTAGTATTATATACTGTATTATATGAATTCTAATTATATAGTATATTCATTGTCATTATAATTATATAGAATTCATTTAATATACAAATATACTCTTTACAAACGCATAGTAAAATATGTAAAAGAAAAAAAAAGTATGATCTGACCAGTGACTTTGTAGGATATCTCTCTGTAATTGGTGAGATCTTCTCCTTTCACTAGCACCAGCTGTGGACATTTCTCCACTGCATCAGTCACTGACATCAGCTTGGTCACGCCTTGTTCTCTCGCCACATAGTTACATGTCACAATAATGTATTTCTGCTGTATGCCTAAGAGAACAAAGATGTAGACAGAGGCAAATATGGCATTACATGTGTCAGAAGGATAGGAATGAGGTTTGAGTATTTGCATGAATTTGTAGTCAGTTATTTTTGTGCACATTTGTATATTTATGACTGCATTTGTTTTGCAGAACCATTCATGTGTTTTTGTCTGTATTATCTCAGTAACTGCACTGATACATCTCTGTAGTCTATATTTAGTGAAATAATGTTTTAAAGTTTATACTCTGGTGTTTTACCAAGAGGTTTTGTTCGGAGGGCTGGATTTCGGATCATCTCAACTTGTGCATAGAAGCAGTCCAGGTCAAAATGCAGAATCACTCTTCGAGATATGAAAGTAACTCTGTTAGTGATACTTCCTTCTGAAATGACAAATCACATAAGGACACAATTCAAATTAGTCTTTATTGCAAACTAAAGCTGTCATGAGACATATGCTGTGCATTTAGACAAAGCAAACATGTGAGCGTAGGGAAATAATGTCCATAATGCATGCATAATACATAACGTTTACATAGTTGTCAAGCTGTGAACCCACCTGTCCCCAGCATGTCTGACTCTAAGCTGCGATCCCAGTCATTATTGTCTCCCTCCTCATCCGTGTCCATCTTTACTATAAAGTAAGACACAAATATGCGGGTATAAAGTAAAACACTTTTAATCAACAACAGCAAAACAAGTCGCCACCAAAACCCACTGCTCATGGGCAACGCTTGCTGTTGTCACTTTACTGCCGTCTATAGGTCTGGAGCAAAATACACACTAATAATACATTATATACAAAGTATAAATAATAATTTCGTTTAATTGGACAGTAAACCAGTGGTATTAATGTAGCCTATGCATTGATATCTATTGAATACAAAAGAAAAATCAAATAAATCATAATCTAAAGATGTATTTAAATCAACATGTTTTGAAAACTTGTAGTATTAATTGAATATTTGAATATTATATATGAATTATAGAAATTAGTATTTAAGCATATTTGGAACTGTTTCAACTTTTACGATAATTATCTATTAAATAATAATAATAATAATAACATAATAGAAATATATAATATCAAACAAAATATCAATCATCATTTATTTTTTATAAGACAGTGTTAATGTAGGCATTACCTTTTATTAGAGAGCTTTTCTTTCTTAAAATTAATTATATAAAGTGATACAGAAAGATTATATCAATCAAGAAATAAACATGTAATCAGTTCAATATGTTTTAAAACGTATAATTAATTGAATAAAATACCATAGGTATTTAAGCATATTTAAACTTTAAACTATGAAAGTTTATTGTTTTTATTTTTTTATCATCTCAAATTTATTATTTAAACTATAAAACTGACATGACATGAACTACTTTGTATTTTGGAGGCTTTTATTTTGAAAAAGGATGTGCAGTTTAGTCACTTTTTTCAAAAATAAAGTCGTGACTGTTTTGGAAGTTCTGTTATATCACTAAAGCATTTATTTGTGGAGTCCAAATACACTCTTAAAACACACACACACACACATATTTGTGATGGCAGGGTCTAAGTGAATGTCAATTATTTTGCTTTACGTTGTGAGAAAAGAGGAAACAGTGGCTCCTCCTCACACATAGCAACTAACTGGTGCGTCATACCTATTTTTTACAGTCGAAGAGCAGGCGCTAGATACTCTGCATTGATTGCTGTCGTGTCTTTTGAGTCATGTCGTTTCGGAAAGCGGTCAGACTCGCGTGCGGGTTCGCCGGTGGATCTGCGGTGCTGGTGTGCGCGGCGGTCGCGGCAGATAATCACGGGTACTTCGGGGAGCGATGCCGATTCAGAAAGACTCTGGCTGCCGTGCACGCAGCGCAGCCTTCGGTATTTCCCACTGCGAACGGATGGGATTATAATTGGGACAAGTAAGAAATACGAGGGTTATTTATTTCCGATTGATTTAGTTACTAATGTAGTTACATTCTATTTCCATGATTCTGGAGGAGCACCATGGCACAACCATGCTGCATGTCCAGAAAACCATATTGCCAGTTAGCCTTATGGTGCAGTCTTGGTAAAATGCCTTGATCATTGGTGATAATGAATGGATCACCCAGTTCAAAGTTTGATCTTAAATCCTTTGGCTTTGATCCCAGGTCTTTAACTACATTTTGGCACACATTGACATGGTGTCACTGATCTTATTGGCTCAAGAAGTTGTAGTCAGACCTAGTTTGCGTTTCCCAAAAGCATCGTTAGCCAACTATGGTATAAGTACTTTGAGAGTGAGACCATAGTTGGCTTTGGGAAACGCACCCTTGGTTAATTGTCACTAATAAAGCACTTGCCTAATGTGCTTTCTTATAAGTTTCTGCTGACAAATGATGTTTTCAATCTCATATATACCTTTGTATTCTGTTCAAAATCTGGGAATGAGTTTTATGGTGGAAATCATATTGACCCTAACTGGATTTAATAAAATAAATAAATAAGGGAAACTATGAAAAATACAGCTACACTACTCACACTTTGTGTTACACTGTGAATATTATAAACAGTACTGTAGTTATTTTTAGCTGATAAAAATACACCTTGAATACAGTGTATGTTACTTCAAATAAAAGCTTCTGCCAAATGAATAAATGCACTTAAAATACACTTAAGACTAATTTATACTGCACCATAACGCAGACAATCACTAGATTACAGGACGTCACTTCTCAGACGTTCCACAACCCGGCAAAAGCCAATGAAACATGTTCAATCGGAGAACGAGACGAGGTCTGACCAATGGCAAAATACACAATGAATGATCCTACAAAAAAACCTGAACATGTCTGTTGGCATCAGTCGATGTGTGTCGGTGCTGTGTGAGTTAGTCCTAGAGGATAGTTGAGAAACTGTAAATAAAATCGTCCAAAAATTGCTTTTATTTCAGGTCTGTGCCTTTGTGAAATGGTTCAAATTGACCTTCACGCTTTATAATCATAATAGATATCATGTGCACACATTCTATGAAAATATTAAACAGTTTTTCTCAGAACTCACTCAATAATACAATTGTCAATGGGTCCGTTTGAAATAGTGAGTGTTTAAATGTCTTTCAACCAATTGCACCGTCTCTAAACAGTGTCTAATCAGGTTTCTCCCAGTATAACTCGACTATACATTGCTGCAGTAACCACCAATGTCTTGCTTACTAAATTCAGTGGGCCTAATTTGTGTTTTGACGCTTTCAGACGTGAGCCCTCCTCTATGGTGAACGGGAAGAGAAAGGAGAGTGCCGGTGACAGCGAAAATCCAGATGGGGAGAACAACAAACCCAAGGCCACACGCTACATCTGCCTCATCCGACACTCTCAGTACAACCTCAAGGGGGAAGGAGATAAAGAGAGGGTCTTGACACCTTTAGGTACTGATCCCTCAGCGAATATCAAAATAATAGAGAGGCTGAGCCTAATCCATTACATGTTACATTAAGCCAAAAAAATGTTGATTTCTGTCTTGGCTGCAGGACGTGAACAGGCTGAGTTAACAGGACAGAGATTAGCAGCGCTCGGATTGAAGTACAATGTGCTCATCCACTCCTCCATGACCAGGGCAACAGAGACGGCCAACATCATCAGCAAATACCTGCCAGGTACAGTCTCATTCTACAGTCATATTCTGATCAAATTACGATCGGATAAATCATTCAAGGCAAAATGGCTGGGATGTATTTATACTTATGCAGACAATTAACCTTTTAACAATAAATAAGGTTGTTACAATACCAGTGTTTCAGATGAAATTCATATCATCTATATTATATGAATACTCACCAAGACTGGCATTTCAACATAGCTTTGTATGTATTTGTCTGTATTTGCTAAAAAAAAGGGGAAAATTTACTCATTAATTACTAATTCAATTCTTATGTGCTAGTCTCTTCAGGTGTAAATGTCTGTCAGAAAAGCGTGCGAATAGCGAATTAATTCTCTTTCGCGTCTTATTGTGCTTAAACGCTTTAACATTTAAACGGGTAAGCCTTAAAAATGCATAAAACGAATAAACGTTCATGATGAAGCAACACTGCAATGTCACATGAACATGACTGCGATGGAGACGGTAATCAAAATATATATCAGTTGTCAAAATTATACCAGTTGACCTGCCAATTTCGGTCTGTATTTTAGCTTGAACCATTCCTGTAATGTGTGCTAATTCAATTATGAACTGATATTTCATGTTGTAAAGTGCTGCCATTGTAGAGATTTATAATGTTTTTTTGTTCCACTAATGTTTTAGGTGTGGAGCTTGAAAGCTGTGATTTACTGCGAGAGGGTGCGCCCATAGAGCCCGTCCCACCAGTCTCTCACTGGAAACCAGACGCAGCGGTCAGTGCGAAACACTAAGTCTTGCTTAGCCCATCTGAAGGCATTCTCACTCATTTGAAGTTGAAGTCTATGTCTTTGTGTGTTGAGTTTCTGTTGATGACTCGGTTCATAACAGAACACTCCGCTAATGTTACTGCTGGCGTACAAAACCCACATCTCAAATCCGTTCACCAAACATCAAACGCACATTTAGCTTTTTTTTAGTATTTTTCTGCTGGTCACGCTAAAGCCTGATGTCTGAAATGTTGTTGTTTGATGAGGAATGTTGAGTTTGGTTTTTGTCGTGGGTGCGCCACGGAGTCCTTCCTGTCCTCACGTGGATGGTTGTGAAACTCTTGTGCTGGTTTCAGCAGTACCACGAGGACGGCGCACGGATCGAGGCAGCCTTCCGCCGGTACATCCACCGAGCCGACCCTAAGCAGAAGGAGGACAGCTTCGAGATTATCGTCTGTCATGCTAATGTCATCCGCTATTTTGTGTGCAGGTTTGTGTTCGCTTGCTACTCAGTCTAGTTTTTTTATCCTCCTTTTTGTCCTCTTGAAAGCTTTTATGAAAACCATAAATAGTCTGTCCATTAAAAAAGTGCAATCGTAAGTATGCTCTGATCACTTTTTTATTGTTATGCGCGTGTGGTTGCAAAAGTTTTGTGGAAGCCCAAAAATAATGCTTTGGTAAAGCATTAAAGTCAGATTCATGAGATACTTGTCATTATGAGACAAAGTTAAAAATTTTGAGATGAAGAGTTTTTAGTATAGATACATTTTACTGCTGTCAAATTGAGTAATCATGAATCATGATTAATCACATCTAACAAAAGCTTTTGTTTATATAATGCATGTATATATGATATATATATATTTAATATATATGTGTGTGTATACATATACAGTATAAATACACACATATATAAACAAAAACGTCAACGTCAGGTGTGATTAATCGATTTGACAGCACTAGATTATTTTTAAATTTTATCTCATAATTATGACTAGTATATCATAAATGCTTCTTTTTATAATCATGATTTACCAAAGCTTGATTTTTTTCTTTACTTATGTGCCAGAAATGGGTTTTCATATTGAATATATGGAATTCAGAAAAAAAAACCTGTTTGCAACATTTTATCATTGATTCTTGCTTAGTCAAACATTGCGATTGCTGTTATTCATCCCTCTAACGCTTACATTTTAACTTTGAAATTAATATTTGATATGTTTTAGCTTACCTCAAGGGCATCCAATATGTAGGTGTCTTTGTTTTCACAGTATTTTCAATTTTAATATTTTTAGGTCAAACCGTTCTTGTCTGTCAGTCATATAATGCATGCCTAGGTGGTCCTCCTCAAAGAGCATGCATATAATAGAGCATCACATATAATCTGAACGTTCATGTGACTTGTACATGCTTAGGTTGTGGTTTACACTCTTTCAAATAAAGGGTGTGTTAAAAGCATGTTTGTTCCAGGGCTCTGCAGTTTCCTCCCGAGGGCTGGCTGAGGATGGGTCTGAACAACGGGAGCATCACCTGGCTGACAATTCGTCCCAGTGGCCGAGTGGGTCTCCGATCGCTGGGAGACTCCGGCTTCATGCCTCCAGATAAACTCAGCCGGACTTGACGTTCTCAAGCTAGATCAGCATGGCCTCCATTACAGCCAAGAACTGAAGGACAGATGTTAGAGTTTCAAAGGGACAAAACCTTTCCGTAAATGTTCTCTTTTTCGATTGTGATTTCAAATTCACCACCTCGTATAGCGAGTTTAATAATAATCATACATGGCTGCAGTTTAGGAGAACATTGCTGTGAAAAATGTCCTTTGCAACTCTACAATCTGTGGCTGTAGTGATGGGTTCTCCTTAAGTGTCTTGAATGTACTGATTTTGTATTTTTTAAAACACACAAGTTAAGGATTATTGATATTTCTCCAATTAGACACTCCTGTGCCATGCTTTGTCTTATCAATAGCTGTGATGGAAAGGTGAAAGTAACCAGCAAGTGTATTTTTTTTTTACGTTTATAATGACTTCAGAGCATCTTGCAAACTCTGGAGGTGGTGTCCATTTGCACTGTTTACGTGGTTACGTTTGTTTTAGATGCAAGGTGTGAATTTGCTAAAATGTGAGAATCTTGCCACTGAGGAAGACTGTGTTAATGTTTGATGACAGAAGAAAATTGACTGAAATTTTTTAATTGAGCTGGCATTCAGTGTTTGTGTCATTAAAAAAGTTCAAAATAAAATTGTTGTGCTTAATAAGTGACCTGTATAATTAGGGACATCAAGCCATAAATCATTTTAGCATTTTTTTTTTTTTTTTACCATAATACAGTAAACCAATACTAGTCGGGACCACATTCTCTTATTTATGCAAAAGATACCCGTTTTTTTTTTTCTGGTAAAAATATGATGCAAATCTTAGTCTAATTTAATAAGACACACTATGGTTCAAAAGTTTGGTGTAAGGTTTTTCTTTTTTTTTAAAGTTTGTTTTCAGCAAGGCTGTATAAATTGAAAAGTCACAGTAAATATATTTAGAAATGTTACAAAATATTTTTTCCAAGAATAAATTAAAAAAAAGTCCGTTTTTACAAAAATATTAAGCAGCACAACTGTTATTAACATTGATAAGGTATTTTTATTGAGCACATAATCAGAATAATATCTGAAGGATCATGTGACACTGAAGAATAAAGTTTCAAATATATTCAAAAAGATTATAAATTGTATTTCACATATGACTGTATTTTTTAACAAATAAATGCAGACTCGGTGGGCATAAGACACTTCTTTCAAGAGCATTTAAAAAAATCTTCCCGACCCCAAACTTTTGAAAAGTAGTGTACCACCAAATCTAATAATAATGTAATGTACCAAAATGAAATCTAAATCTACTAATTTCCATGAAGGTTGCTTTTTCTTCTACAGTCAGAGAAAGTCAGTAAAGTTACAAGACTGTGCACTTTATTTATCGTTCGTCAATAGAACATCAAATACTTTCCTTTAACGTGTACTGTAATAAAATAGGACTAGAAATGCATGCAACGTAAAAGGCCAGGACAACAAAAATAATTAAATTCTCGACAATAAATTGCAACTCATTTTCAATTCACCAGTGTTGGCACTACGAAGCATCGTTTAACAAAAAGTAAGGCTGGCATTGATACAACACTAGCAAGAACTAAACTGTAAACCTTTTTTTTCTTACAATCGCATTTTAGAGGTATTCAGACACTGCATATGCCAATGCTACTGTACTGTATGTTAGAACAGAGAAAACAAAGGTCTATTCAGCTTGTATGTGATCAGTGCATTTGTCATGCACCGAGGAGCCACAGGCCCTTCCAAACGGATCATAATTAAAGGCACTAAAGCTTTACAAAGCAATGATCAACAGGCCAGCACTACACTGAGAACGATGGGCACCGAAGAAATAGGTCACATGATCTGAAAAGTACCACAGAGGATGTTCTGAACTCATTTCCTTGAGATATTCATCACATAAAACTGAGCTACCTGGAGCTTTTCTGCTTTTGCACATGTAGCTTTGATTAGAAAATCAATGGGTCCATTTCAAAAGCCAATGAGAGAATCGCATTATCACGATCTAGCGGTGAGGTTGAAACATTGTCCGTTGAGGATGGGATGAGGGACAAAGATCTTTGAACATTTCCGAACACATTTAAAGTGCACTTACAACACTCTGGATTCACAATCGAGTCTTACAGCTATTATGACATTTATGTAAAAAGATAGAACCGACTTGCCATCCGCACTCGTTATCAATCACCACCAACTTTGCGTGTGTTTGAACACAGTACAGCTCAAATGATGTCTTCTGATGCTCATGATCAAAATCCAAAAAGAATTAAAAGTGAAAATAAATATGTATACATAGAAAAGATAAATCACATTTATTTAACTTAAAAATAAAAAAGGGGAATATTTTTCACACGTTATAGACCACTTTTTTTCCCCAACACATAAGGCTGCGTTTAACAATGCATGAATAAACACCTGCTTTTGAGATTCAGAAGGTCTTTCCTTTAAGAAATTTAAGGCAGTTCTCCAATTAAAGAATAAAAAAGAACTTCTGGCAGTCAGCTGACTTTTCCCCCTCCCCTTCCCTTAAAAACCAGTATATACCCATTAAAACGAGCATTGTGTGCTACTGACAGTTAACTAGCAAAAAGAATTAAATAATTTATTACTACATTATTTTAATTTAGCTCTGGGTTTCTGTGTTTAATCAATTTAAATGACTGTTAAGTGGGAAATTGTTCATTTTCATAAAAGACGCAGCTTTGTATATCCATAGATGTTTCTCCCAAGCATGCGTACACACACACACACACACACACACACACACGAGATAAGGAAAACGGAAAACAAAACCAAACCAAGTTAGAAAAGTCCATCACAGATCAACATACTCTGTGTCATACACAGAAGTACCGTATATATATATATATATATATATATATATATGATGACTCAAAAACCCACAGGAGATGTGCATATTATTATTTGAGCTGTGTTCTATGAACCAAGGCGCATTCAAACTGAAGGACGGCCTGTTGCGAGATCCTATGTGTGGTTTGCCTGGCACTAAGAACCCATTTTGAGCGGATTTCATGGCTTCCATTATGACATTGTTCGCCTCTGTGATATTCCATCCTCTGAAACAGCCCACACTGGATTTAGTGTTGTTTTTTTAGGTACTAATCAGTAGAAACTGTCGGTGGGGTTGGACGGGATGGAGAGCGTTTGTTAAATGGGGCTGTCGCCGAAATGTTTTAGCCGGATACGTTGGATGTAGCTGACAGGGCTGTAGTTTGAATGAGCGGGACTGTAACTGGAGTGTGCTGGGCTGTAGCGTCCGGGGCTGCAGACGTCCGGTGAGCCCATGTGACGAGCTGGGCTGAAACGGCCCGCGGGGGACAGAAAACCACTCGCTGGAGAGCCAGGGGTGACTGAGTGAGCCCTGAAATGGCTCTTGTGCATTGCAGAAGTCGGCCAGCTAAAAACATACATACAGATGTCTTAAGTGCACATAAATGTCACAAGATGCTCTCAAAAGTGATCTTAAAATAAATAAATAAATAAAATAAAAAAATTTAAATTTTATAAAAATTTTGTTTAAAAGTTTGGCCTTTTAATGTTTTTTGAAAGAAGTCTCTTTTGCTCAAAGCTACATAAATCTGAAAAAAAAAAATACAAAAAAAAATACAAAAAACCCCCTAAAATTTACATTAATGGTTTTAAAATATTTTAAAATGTAATTTTAATTTATTTATTTTTTTATCATCACCCTCTACTCCGGTGTCACATACTCCTTCAGAAATCATTCTAATATGCTGATTTGGTGACTAAGAAAAATTTGTCATTATCAAGGCTGAGAATTGTCTTGCTAAATACATTTTTTATTAAGATTTTTTGATAATAGAAAGTTCAAAAGAACAGCATTTATTCAAAACTGTATGAATTTATTTCTTCTGCTGAACAAAAAAAAAGAAAAAGAAATTTTAAAGAATGTTTGTGACCAAACCGTGGGACCAACAGGGATGGGCCCCTTTGACTTCCATAGTATTGAGAAGAAAAAAAATACTGTGGAAATTAATGGGGCCCATTAACTGTTTGGTCACCACCATTCTTTAAAATATCTTTTGTGATCAACAGAAGAAATAAATTCATACAGTTTTGGAACAACTTGAGGGTGAGTAAATGATGACAGACTTTTTATTTTTGGATGAGCTATCCCTTTAAGTACACAACTTTTACTAGTGAGCCACAGATACATACCTTTGCATTTCTGAGGGGGAGAAGGCCTGAATTGTGCTCTTCCATTTGTGAATGCTGGGATACTTCAGAGGGTCAACATCTGTAACTCCTAAAGCTGACAACACCTCTCTGTCCAAATTGCTGGGTGAATCACTGAAAAAGGAAAGCAAGAGGGAATGTTTGAAGCCAAAAAGTTGAATTTTTCATTAATTGACCTATGGCTAAGCCACGCCCTCAAACGCGATGAGCCAATCACAGTGCGCAGCTAACCCAATACACTCGGACATTCTCTGCTTCCACTTCCATTGAAATGCATTGCAGTTAGTCAGTTTTCATTTGTTTTTTCTTGTTATTTTAAGTTTAAAATGGTCAAACGGTGTGCATGGGGTACATGCAACATCGACACTAGGTTCCTGAGAGACTGGGCGACGATGTGTATTTTTTTTACCCTTTCCCAAGCCACATCTCGACCAAGATAAGTGTCTGCTCTGGATAAAGTTATGGGGTAGCTAGACCACAACACCAACTAAATGTGGATAAATTAAACAAGAATGTCTACATCTGATCTAAGTTAAGTCAACAACGTATTTGAACGTTATCTTTGAAACCTCTAACGTAATGTTAGTCAGGAGGAGTATGCAACGATCTATCGCAGTGTATCACAGTTATCTTTTGCACTTTTAAAATCATTTGAATGGCTAAACGTGAAAATGATAAACTTTCTAGAGGAAGCAGCACCCAATTGTCCAGTTTTAGGGGGGCTGTGTACTAAAAGAGCCTTAATATTTCATTCCACTATTTTTATAGAAATATGCTGGAAATATCAGTGTGATCATAGGTTCCTCTCACCCTTCAATGAAGAGTCTTTTCGTCACTCTGGGAGGGGTCCGCAGTATGAAGTCCTGAGAGCCGTCAAGTGACCTGTAAGAGCTAGAAGACCCTGATGAGCTGAGGTCTCTTCCCCCATGATCCCAGGACTTTGACCTGGCACATATTGTGCGCTCACCCCCTGAAGTCTCTATAGTCTGTTGGTTCACAAGTTCTAACCTCTCACTGGCCAGAAAGAATTCATCTGAACTTGCACTGGACCTTCCATCTACTTCATTTATTCTCTGCACTCCATCCTTCTCAGCTGCTCGTAACACAGACGTCCTGTCTTTCTCAAACACGGAGTCATCTTCTGAGGACAGTGAGAGGCGGCCCAGTCCGGAGGTGAGCTCTGTGGCCTGGGCGTCTCTGTGGCGTTTCCCTCCACTCCTTCTTCTCTCCCTGTTTGTCCTCTCTGGCTCATCCAACAGAGACATCCTCTCAAACTCAGCCATTAGATTTGAGATGGGTGACAGCATGCAGGAATTAGAGGAACCGCAGATCCGAGGAGACATTTTGTCCTCGTTTGGTGTCCTGTCCCCAGGGCCCTGTTCGCACAGGCCATTCTTACTGCTGGAGATCAAGGATTTCTCAGAAAGCAGTAAGTCTTGCTCTGCCGCTGCCTCTATGAGGTCAGCACTGTGGGAAACTGGTAGGATGTGAAATTCAAGGCCCCCTACAGCCCCCTGCAGGCCATCTTTGGAGCTCACAGAAGAAATACTGGTGAGTGCAGCATTCTGCCTGTTCTTGATCTCCTCCAGGCTGATGTCATCGCCCTCATCCAGAAATGCCCCCACAGAGATGGAGTTGCAGAACTTCTTCAGTTTGCCTGAAATTTAAAAGAGGACATTCCATGGAGTGAAGGATTTCCCTTGGTCTTTGGAATCAAAAAGTTTTCCCCAGTCCCCAATATATAACCCTGCTCACATATACACATCAATAAAATCATTTTACATGCAAACCAGTCACAATTTACATATAGAAAACTTAAAGTACAGTAGCAAGCAATGATATGCGAGCATATATATATATATATAAAAAATATTAGGGCTGTGCAAAGATTAATCGCATCCAAAATAAAAGTTTTTATTTACATACAATATATCTGTGCACTGTATATAATTATTTTGTATATATAAATACATTTGCATGCATGTATATATTTAAGAATTATTTGCACGTAAATACTGTATATATGTATATATATATATATATATATAAACATAATTTATATTATATAAAAATAAAAATATAAATAAAAATAATAAACATTTTATAAATTTTTTTTTAATAAAAATTAAAAAAAAAATAAAATAAAAATATTTTATATATATATAACACATTTTCTTAAATATATACACTCGCGTGTTTGTGTATTTATTTATATATACAAAATAATAATAATAATAACAGCACACAGATAATAATAACAGCAATCAGATGAATGGCCCATTTTAATCAGAAAAGCAAATTTGCCAAACATCTGCAAGTATGTTAAAAGTTAGTAGTCTTACCAGGAGATGGGGTTTTAAACCTGTTGCTGGTTTCATTCTCTCCAGCCTCCTCATGAGCGCGCTCCCTGAAGTCCTTTTTACTGAGGTATTCGTCAAGCACTTTTAGGCCGTCAGCTGACTGCAGGTCCACAAAACTATCCAGGAAATCCCAGTACTCTGCCCAGGGATGACCGAGCTCATGGGCCAGATCTCTGCTCACAGACAGGACACCAATATCTAATCAATGTTCAGTTCTTTATTAAAGCCTAAAGAACATGAAATGAGTGTCTGTGACATGCAAGTAATGTCTAGCTTCCTTCAATTATGGCGCTTTTACACTGCATGGTGCTTTTACACTGTTGAGGTTCCAATGAGGAACCGATATTAAAATGTAACGTGAACTGAAAACACTACATATCACAAATTGGTCACTACCAGCGTCATTGAGCTGAGCCGTACCATGCAGTGGAAAAGCACCATTATATCTTGGTAAGCACTGACCTGCCAACTCTTTCTGCCCCACGCTCTGGGTCAGACTTTAAGATGTTGTGGAAATGGTCTGCCCGTTCTCTGGGAGGAGTCTTCCACACCCGCCTGAACTCATCCGCCTATAACACAATGGTTTTCATTTATAGACAAATTTGATTAGGTCATAACACATGACTAATCATCTGTTGAGTCTGACAGCACAAAACGAATATACTCTTAAAAAAAGACTCACTTTAGATGGACTTAAAGGCCCAGCAAAGGCTCTGACTGCCATAACTGGATCCTTTGGGCTTCTGGGTAACCGTGGTGACAGGTTTTCCATTGGCTCAGGGGACCAGGGTGCACCAATAACAGGCTGGGAGGAATTATCAGTGGCTCTCAATAAGGGGATGTATAATCGATCTGTAGCCAATCAGAAACCAATCAGTGTTAGGATATGGAATGCAACTAATATACATTTTTAAAATGTATTAATACACAAGTATATACTAGTGGTATTCAAATGCCAGACCGGGGTTCGGATAGTAGCGGAAACACGGTGAGCAGCAAAATAGATAATTTTGCTAAAAAGCTGCAGAAAACAAAGTAGCAAATTTCATTAGAAAACTTTTAGCATTTCATGATAAATAAAGTATGTTATAAATTGGAAAATTATTTAGAGGTGGAAAGGGAAGACAAAAAAACTTTGAAATTACAAGTTAACTTTGTTTTTGCGCTCATGATGAGAGTTTGAGTATTCAATTATGTAGCAAATTATAAAAATGTAATAATAATAATAGTCTGAATGTTCACTATTTTGAATGTTTAGGATTTTTTCCTTTTACAAAGTACTACGGCTGCTCGATGGAAATGTTTAACTGTATTAACCTCCGCTGGGAAGGAAATATAGAGAGCGGACCTATTGGAACTTGAATTGAATACCTCTGGTATATACCATCGGCTTACCTTCTAAATATTCCTTTATCTTCTGTTTGACCTCCTGAACTTTACCCTTTTCTTTCATTCTTTCACAAATGACCTAAATTAAGGGAATACAATGGATGACTGATAAATAGCTTTGATAAATTATGAAATCCTCAACATGAAAGCTATTGTATCAGGGTTGCCGTACCTCACTGGGTTTCTGGTTGTACTTGTTCTTGCAGTTCTTGTCAATGTCTGGATGAGAACAGAGTATGTTCACCACCTCTGGACAGCCAAATTTACAAGCAAAGTGGAGAGGCGTCTCAAACCCCTATAAAACACACGATACAGCATTCAGCTGGCTCTCCCTAGACAGCGTATTACATATCATATGTCAATATCAAAAAAAGATGTTCAAAACTTTGGCATCAAAATATTGGATTTTAAGATATCATCTTTGTCAAATTCTGAGGCAGCACTGAATGTATTGTCCACACATAAGGCAATACCACAATGCATTGTGAAGTTTTTAATCCAAGATGAAAACTTGGACTTTCTTTCATATTTTAAAATGATAAATGCCTGTAGGAACAAATTTTACACAATATTTTTTTGCTTAGAACAAAAATGTTCACGTAATTACCAGATAATATTAACCCAGATGTTCTACTCTGAGCTGTTCACATCCTCAGACTCAGAATTACACTTTTCTATGGAAACAATATTAATGTCAAGTTGAAAACAAGCAATACATTAAAGAACCCTTTTATAATGACAGCATTTTTATAACCGTTTTGTTCACAATTGGTTGTGAAAAGCAAATTAATAGCATTCCCGCTTTAAAACGAGCGTTTGTAAATATTTCAAATAAAAGTTGCACTCATGCAGTCCCTATAAGCAAACCACGTCATGTCAGAAATTATACGAAACCAGTAGGAAACACCGCAACGGCGATTATTAGCTTCTCTTCCATTTTCTCAGATCTAATGTTTTGGTATGAATGAAAGTTTACATTGTTTGTTTCTCCGGAATCAGCCAGCGTGAAGGACGTCTATGTTCTGATTGGTTGCTGGCGTTTTGCCGCTGAACCGCGTCACAGCTCATTATCATAAAGTTGAGCTTCTTTCAACTTTTTGATTGACGCTCTAAAAGCGACGCCGATGGATTTGACGCCCTTTGCAGCTGAGAAAAGCCAGCTTTCATTGAAAATGAATGACTTCTGGCCGCCTTGGAAGCTCAAGTCGGCGACGGTTACTTAGGAAGTTTCTTTAAAGGTAACCAGCAAAAAACCTCAACAACTCTCATGTTACAATATTATGTTTAAACAGCTAAATAATAAAGATAGATTAAGTCGTAACACTTACAGCTTTATCTGGCGTATTGAGGTACAGGTCTACGATATACCGGATGCGTTTCTGCAGCATGCTCTCCTGGTCATCTGGGTACATGAGACGCATGAAATCTGGGTTCTCTAGAGTGTCCAACAGGATCTGAACAATGCCTGGCTGGTTCTCCTTCCCAGCCACATGCATCACGTTATACCTGCAGCCCTCCTGCAGTCACATTTACAGTAGAGAAACATTTCAAAGAACAACATTCAGATAATTTAAATAAGCTGTTGTGAATATGAAGAAGAACATGCTTAAAGAGATACTCCACTTTTTTGGGGGGGAATATGCTCATTTTCCAACCCCCTCAGAGTTAAACAGTTGAGTTTTACCATTTTCGAATCCATTCAGCCAATTTTCTGATATTTAGAAGAAAATCAATAACCAGACAGTTTCTGGTCCCATTGACTTCCATTATAGTTGGAAAAAATATATACTACGGAAGTCAATTGATTCGAAAAAGGTAAAACCCAACTGTTTAACTCTGGGGGAGTTGTAAAATGAGCCTTTTTCCAAAAAAAAGTGGAGTATCCCTTTAAAGTTGAAATGAAATGGAAGTTGCTATAGTACATTCTCCAAAGAGAAGAGATCTCATTGCCAGGGGAAGGGGAAGTATGAATATTGAAAAATAAATAAATAAATAATAATAATACATGTGCAGTTCACGAATAAAAAATGTAGAAAAAATACTGCAATGTTCCATGAAAAAAATAACATTGATTTCACGTTGACCTCAAAAGTATATAGCTGTGGAAATAAATAACCTACTATGAAGATACAAGGCCAGTTTGGAAAGAGACTTTAAACTTTGCAAAGAAGCAAATAGCTCACCATATCAAGTGGAAAAAGAGCCAAAACAACTCCATACAAACAGATCATGGTACAAAAGTGCTCACCTGGACTACAGTTGGGTTGTCCCCTGACCCGATGAGGTAACGAGGATTGCTCCAGACCAGCTCAGTAAAGGCAATCTCGTCTCCCTTCTCCACGGCCTTCCTTAGCTTGGCCGTCAAATCTTGTGTCCGAGGACTTTTAAAACTGTTTGCCTTCTCCCTGTTGATTGCGTCTGCCTCCATCATAGATGGGTGGTCTGGTTTGGGGAATTTCACACACATATCATATTTATGTATAACATATTTTTACTATATTATATAGAATTTAAAATATACATTTTGAAGCATGCTTGAAACTAACTAATGTATAAATACAATAAAAAGATTTTTCAAATGGGAGGTTCTTCACCTTTGTTAAACACCAGGCCAGGTTTGACGGGAGAAACACAGAGATTGCTTTTACTAGGCGAAGGGTAGTAGTCACATATGCCTTTGGCAAACTTCTCAGCATCCTCACGATTGGAGAAAGCTTTAAACCGAGCCCCCTTCATCATTTTAACGGCCTGCAAAGCCTCTTTCTTATCCGTGTACACATGGGCTCTCTCTACAGTGGCAGACGAAAATAAAATCAGTCTTAGACCAACATAACAGGTTTAAGTCATGTAAAAGACTATTGTACTAGAACAACTCTAGATTATTAGAGCTAATAACTAATTACAGAGGGTACACAGAATGCTGACTTTCACAAAACATACACTATGGTTCAAACGTTTTTTAAAGAAGCTACAAACAAGGATGCATTAAACGTATTAATCAAAAGTGACAGTAAAGACATTAATCATGTTACAATCAGGGTCCCCACACCTTGGTAACTTCAAATTCAAGGACCTTTCAAGGACTTTCCAGGTCCAATACCCTCAAATTTAAGGACTTAATGTGGGACACATTTGTTTTGTCCAACAATAAACGTTCAGGTACCATCATAGTAGTTTTGTCCATGCGTGAACATCAAGGCAACATACAACAAAAAGTACCCCGCGGCGGTAAACGCGTAAATGTGCCTAACTAACCATTATCAAGCAAAGCTAGTGTGCACAGGCCACAAAGTGTTGGCAAAATAACACATTAGTGGACCGGAATAATATATAATATGTATTTTTTTTCCAGAATACTTTTTTCTAGTATTGTTTTCCATCACAAAATAAATTCAAGTACTTTCAAGGACCTGTATCTGTTTATTTTCAAAAACTTTCCAGGACCTTGACTATTTTTTTCCTGATACACAAACTGTTATTTTTAACTTTCTATTCCTCAAAGAACACTGGTTAAAAAAAAAAAAAAACGTATCACAGTTTGTGTTTTGCAAAAATATTATAAATTGTAAAGGTTTCTTAGCACCAAATCAGCATATCAGAATGATTTCTGAAGGATCATGCGTCACTGAAGACTGGAATAATGATGCGGAAATGATACTCGCATTATTCTCTTTCTGTGAAACCTGCAAACTGTATTCATCGGTTCAAAGTCTGGTCAACCGCAATAGAGTGTTGCTATAGAGCACTGCAATTATTTATCATTTACTAGATTACAATCAAATGGACTTCCCCACACATTTTACATCTATCCTCTGTGTGGCATTTTGTTTTTCTGCGAGGCCGCAACATTAGCAGTACCAGGCCGCGCAATGAACAAACATTGCTCATAGGGAAGTAAAGGTAAAACTGCTTACCATTCCGAGCCAATACATCCTCCCACAATGGACACACCCCATAGAAGAAGGTGGGAGACACCTGTGCAGTTTTAGAGGGAGTCTGTGCCTCCAACTGTGAATTCTCCACATTCCCAGTGCACATCATTCCACTCAGAGCTTCCTCCTCCGGCGGGTTGAGGCCAATGCCGTACCCGAAATCTCCATCCTCGCCTATGACCGGATCTGGGGTTGCTGATGTGGCACTGGGTGGCACTACACTCCCAGAGCCTTCTAACGAGGCACTGTTCTCAATGCTGCCATCAGGCTCAGTAAGTCCAGCCTTCTCCACTAGAGTCCGGGCAAGCTTGCGCTCAAAAATGGCTCTTGTCGTGGCAGTGATGGGGCCACACTTCAAGTTGGCTTTAATGATCTCCTCCCTCAACTCGTCAGCCGTGAGACCCTTCAACCGGCTCAGGACCACGTCCATGCTTCTGCTACTTCGGCTACCTGATTATAAAGAAACACACTTGGGGTTACAAATATAAGAGGGGGGAATCTGCTAGCAAAGATAGTATAACACAGGTAGGGCACTTCATTACTACTAGTGGTTTAGAGAAATCATTTGCTTCCTTCTTTTATAGCTCAAGCTATCACATAAAATATGCATGAGGAATAAATGCAAATGCGCAGACTGAATATAGTACACAACTAATGAAAAGCACTGTGATAAAATAAATAATACAAAATAAATTAAATATATGATCTCAATAAAATACATTGCATCAGAAAACCAAGTAAATTAAAAAGGCAACACAGGTTTACCACCTTGAGTTAGTTTGGAGTTCTTTGAAGATGAAATAGTTTGGATATATTGCTTGAAATCTTTGTCAGAGGCAATAAAAATAGGCTTTTGATGACTACAATGAATGTTAAATTTGGTAAGGAGCAGAAATCAAACTGTGAAACTAAAAAGCACATTTTGGTAAATAAACACACTTCCCTTACTTTATTAGATATGTATAAAAACGTAAAATGTAAAAAAATTTTACAAATCAAAACCGAAAACAAAGTTTTCCCAAAATACTTCCTTCACGTTTATGAAACGCGGTATGACGTCATTGTGCGTCATCGCGGCGGTTAAACTGACAAGCAAAGCTCCTTTTACATTGTTAAAAACCAAAAACGAGCGACATGAGGTGCAGCTGCTAAAATCGTGTCACCGGTCACGTTGGAACTAACCGCCTCTAAATCTCATCCCCTGTGAAACAAGAAGCAAGCAACATATAAAAAGTTTATTGAAACCGAAGTGTCACGCCCAAACTACCACCCATTGTAGTTTTTGTCTGTTTATTAGATGATCATGATTAATGGAGATGACAGATCATAACATGGATGATGAAAATATCACCCGTGATTTTTACAACACTTACCATCTATCAGCTGAACAGTGATTCCGTGCGTGATGTGAAAGCGCAAACGTACATGTGTGATTTCTTAAACGTTTATATGAGAGTGAATCAAGCGGACGGTCTGGAAGGGTCGCATTGTTTACAGCTCGATTTGCGCATGCGTGTGGTACAGCCTGCGCCTGCTCAGTACGCCAGACAGGGTTCATGTGTTTCAAACGCCGGTTGTGAGTCGGATCTTTGCAAATAATCGAATGAAGCGGTTCACAAAACCGATCTGAATTATTTTTTCCAACTCATTTTTGGCTGGAAATGGTACATTCAAAATTAGATTAAAGAAACGTATTCATATTTCTCCATACATTATGTCCATGCGAATCAGCATTTGCAGAAATTTAAGAAAGATAAACACAAAATGTTCTTGTAATGATTACCCTGAAACATTTTTACAATCATTTTGCCATTTTTATTTTATATTTTATTCTATACAAATGTATCAACAATAACATGGAATGTCAGAAATTCAATTTCTGTTCGGTTCATTTCTGTTCGAAAGAACCGATTCGCGGAAGAGTCAGACTTCCCCATAATAATCACATATTAAAAGTCAATACTCTGACAATGACATTCCACAATATAGCGATTATTAATATCTTCACGTGATATGTAACGTTTGACTGGTCGACTTAATTAATAATAACGACAAAAGGGGAGATAAACTGAAGAAGTGAGTGATTAAAAACTCAGCCTGATAAAATAATAAAAATATTACCTCTGCTTCTTGCGGGTGGAGAAGATGGGCTGCACACCAAGAGCTGCTTATATGCTTAGTTTCCATACAGCCATGCCTATTGTCACTTAATTATTGTGGCAGAACAAATATGTCGCGCTCGATAATGTCTCGTTCTATTCAAGAAGAACTACAATAATAACCATGCACGACTGAAAATATGGGGTTCTCTGAAATCAATCTAACGTTAGTTGTTTCAAGTTAACGCCTGAGCAGAAAATGTGCCTCCCGGAAATCTCTCTCGCTCGTTGTATATTTCCCTGTATTTGAATTGGTTTAAGCAGCGCTCCCACGTGTCTACCTCGTGTAATTTTTATAAATATGGAAGCTTTTTCCGCAACGGAATAAAAAATAAAAAGGTAACGAATTCATATATCGCAATTCTGATTTTAATAATTTTATTTTAATTTTATTTATTGCATTTTAACTTTTAAAATCATACAAAACAGAATGTCTTCAAGCAACAGCAGGCAGTTACTGACCATTTGTGAATTATCATTATATCATTATATTATATTTATATTATATTTATTATATCATATATATTATATCATTCTAAGTAACACTGTATAGGAACAGAAGACAAGATGTGATCATTTTACAGAATGATTTTTATTTTACACTCAATATGGTACATCCCATAAAAATTCTTAGCAAGCAAAGAATTAAGTCAAACTTTTTTGTAAACATTGAACAGAAACTCGTGCTTTTAGTCAGTACAGTAATTAACACACATTACGGTTTCAGTGAATTAAAAACCGTGTCCTCCCTTTTGCTGAATGCGTATGTATTAATCATTTGAATATAAATGTACATTAGCGTGTAAAGCTTCATTTCCCATTATGTCATTTAAAGCAGTATTAAGGTTATCACCGTACATGGAGATCAATGTCATTATCTCAGAACACATTTAAAACAGTTCAAGCCAATTACAAATTTAAGTTCAGCTCCACATAAACAACCAACAGATGGAGTTTGTGAAATGAACACATCAGGGGAAAGAAAGAAAAAAATATTACACCCAATTAAGATACATTATTCAAAATATATTTGCATACATCTCCAATAATTAAGGCTGTAATGACAAACTATCCATGAGAATAATGGGATGCATTTTTTTTTTCTTAAATAAGTGAACATAGTATCAACACTGGCAAAAAAATGGCAAGATCTCTCCATCAAAAAGTAATATTTTACATCTGTCAATACCTGAAAGTCAGTAAGCTTGTTTTCTTTTATCAATTGTGCAATATAAGTCAACACCTTCCATATATATTATAAATATACATACAACACACTCAACACTACTTTCAAGAGCACATTCAGCCAATTTTACATTATTTCCCAAGATCTCTCAGACAGAAATATTTATTTATAGGTTCATTCAAGCTATACATTTTTAGTAGTATTTAAAGGTTTCCATAATTGATCAATTTTAAGGCGCAGCCCTAAAGAGAACTAGTCAAACTTTGACAGCTGTTATCAAGACCTTTTCTATGGGATCTCACATCTGCAAACCGTAGACAGAAAACAGATATTAGCTGATATTGGATGACCTGATGTATGAGATATTACCCTGTACAGAAAGGGCCACTATTTCCCCAGTCTCACACGTACATTCCTGGGGCTTCAGGTCCTGAGTTTGAATCAGAAAGAGACTGTGATGTGAAGAATAATATTGTAAGTGCAACCTCAAGGTCCCGTTACAGTGCGTTACAAAACAGTGGTCCTAAATAGGGTAACGCAGAACACAGTGCAGAGTACATGTAGATATTAAGTTGGCATCGCTCTAGACTTGATTTGAGGCCTGGAAAAACTAAAGAATGCTGATTTAAAATCCGTTTTTTGGAAAAACAAAACATTCCGGGTTGATCTGTGCTTTAAAAAGCTTGATATGGGGACTTACATTGTGTTGTTTTTCATAGTATTTGCATTATATTGCAGGGAACAGCTCTAGATCAGGCATCTGTCCAGTGATGGAATGAGAGGTCAGCTCATTCACAGGCACAGAGGAATGGAAGAACAGTTCAGCTGCTGAATTCTCCATGCAGGAAGTGAGAACTACCACCAGACGGATATGTAGAATATACACCTGACCAGTTAGGTCAATAGGTCACTGGATGTTTGCTGTAGATCAGATTGAGGGGGGGCTAAGCAGCCTACAGTAGCACTCACAAACCTCTTTCTGCACCTCTAATGAGATGAGAAAGAAAACTAAATCAAAGCTGAACGTCAGGTGGGTGACTACTGTGAAACTGCAAGCGAGATAAACAGATAGAGAGAGAGCAGCTCTATTCAGCAAACTGAAAATAAATAGTGATAAAAGTAATTACACCAAAACGACCCCCCAAAAATAAAGCTGTGGTATAGAGAAACACTTTGTAACACCCAAATAATCTTGGTTAGATAAGGATAAAGCCAAATGTTGGCAGTTGATTCGAGAAAATAAACAAAGAAACCTAAAAGTGCCCATGAAGATAAAACCGAACTCTCTCCTCAGTGTCTTTAAGGATCCTTTGTGTATTACGAGGGCTGCATCTCCCCCGGTAGCTCTTCATTCTCTGCTTTATTAGACGAATCGTTGCTGATAGTGTCATGAAACCCTAGTTTTTGGAGCTCCTCCTCTGCGCTGGCTAATGACGTCACTGTGACCGTGTGTTCCTCCATCTGCTTCTGAAGGCTGTCCATCTCCTGCCTACGAGAAACGACCATCAGAGGAGTGAGAAAGAAGACGCCCACAAGGTGAAGGCAATCTGTTATGTGATTGTGGTAGCTTTATTTATATGAAATATGTGGAGAAGGGAGGCAAAGGAGAGCAGGTTTTGTGTAATTCCATTAGGGTTTAAAAATCTAAAGATTTCTCCTTTTGTTCAAATTCAACTTCGGGTATAAATATGTGGTCTTGTGTCACGACTATGACAGCTTAAAATTCTCCCTCTGAGAATGTTCAGGCCTTCGGACCCACTTAAAAAAACAGTAAAACTAAAACTTTAACAGTATGTCAAAATAAATAAATAATTAAATATTTATTTATTTCAATTAAAGTTTGATAAACAAGAAGAAGTTCAAACCATTCAATAATTTGGGGTCATGTTTAAATGTTTGTTCTCTTATGGTCAGCAAGGCTGCATTTACTGGATCAAAAAACAAGAAATATTATTACAATTTCAAATATTTTTTTTCTATTTAAATATATATTAAAATGCAATTTATTCCTGTGATGGCAAAGTTGAATTTTCAGCATCATTACTCCAGTCTTCAGTGTCACATGATCCTTCAGAAATCATTCTAATATAATGATTCAGTGATCAAGAAAAAAAATCCTGATATTATTAATGTTGAATGTATTATTAATTATTGAGTATTAATTATTTTTTTTACAGACCCCAAATTATTGAACAGTATACAGTAAATTTGTTATAAAGCTATACAACATGTTACAGCCAGATATGACAGCGCTACTGCAACACAAATTGCAGTGGTTGAGTAGCTGAGTATATTTTCAAAAAGACAATGCTTATATATATATATATATATATATATATATATATATATATATATATATATATATATATTATTTTTTTTCGTTTTTACTGATCGGATACCCATTGCCTTTTTTTTAAAAACTGTTCCATTTACACATTGACATATAAATTTGATTTATATATATTTTTAATATCCTAACAATATTCAAATATTCAAATACCTCAAATATTTTCATATCCTAACAAATAGGATAAATACATAAATAGAAAGCTAATTTATACTTTCTTTATTCTTTAATTACTTTCAGATGATGTATACATGTCAATAAAAAAATATAACCCATGTGCATTCTTCAATTCCCACACTATATGCAAATATAGTGTATGTATATGTATTCATGTCAATAAAAGCAAGAGCCACATTTTATTTATCATCAGCTAATTTCAAGATCCAAGACCGCAATAGGAGAGAAAGCGGCATCAGCACTATTAAGATCATTTAGTCTCACTACTTTTAATAAAGATGATTGTGTGTTGAGCGTGTTTCATTTGCGGCAGTTTGCGCGTTGGCTTTCTAGAGAGCTGCTCATCTGCAGCGGTTCATGTTGCATTAGCGCTATCATATATAGCCTATAACAAATTTTAGTTAATTTTTTAACATTTCGGGAGGAGTACATATGCGGTTTCAACAACCAGATGCATTTACACTTGTCCAGTTTCGGAGGGCATTTTTTAACCTGGTTTGTTTTACGATCTGATAACTATCCGATCAGAGGAAACGCATGAGGTGACCAGATGTAAAAAGGCCTTTTTTCTTCTTTTCACTGGTACTTGTTTGCCTACATAGTTAGTCGTAATAGTGGGACAGTGTTACAGGGTGCACACTCTCCTAGCTATGGTAAAGTAATGTGTGCAAGTCTTACTTTAGCTGTCTCAGACAGTTGTGGAGATTATTGAGAGGTTCTTTATTGACGGATGTTGAGGGTTTCAACAGTTCGTCCAAAAGTGAAGCAGGAACAGGGCAGTCTGGGATTTTTACTGGCGTCACAGGGGTCGATTCCCCCTTTAGATCCATCCGCTGGTGTGGAAACACAAATATTGAGAGAAAATATTCCATTACACACTTACCTGTACATATTACAAACCTACTTCCAGTCTAAACGTTTTATTAAAATGAGCATTAGTCTTACCTTTCTGAGCCTGCTGTTTTTGAGATCCTGTTTGAGCTGGTTGTTCTGCTGAAGAACAGTCTTCATGCTGCTCCTCAGCTCTCCCACTTTAGCCTGCAGCATGAATTTATCCTTCCTCGTGCCGTTGAGATCCTCCTGCACCATCTCCAGCTCCACCTTTATCCTCTACACATCACATCAAACACAAAAAGACCAGAATTAAAAAAAAACAAAACACATTTTCACAACAGTAACTGACTGGCTGAAAGTGCTGAACAAAGCAGCGCACCTGTAGCATGTCCTGCAGGGTGTCCATCTCTCTATGGTGACACTGTTCCACCATCTCCAGCTGCTGTTTTTGTGTCTCGATCTCCCGCTGCCTCTGCTCCACCTCCCACTTCAGATCCTCCACCTGCAAAGAGACAGCAATACAGTGTGATAAATACGTAGTAAATTTGTTTTTCTCCATACATACATTTATATATATATATATATATATATATATATATATATATATAAAAAGATCAATATAAATTTCAAAGCCATGAATGAAACTAACTACTGTTGGGTCTGTCATGTTGGTAAAATGTAACGGTCAGGGGGAAACATAAGCAAAAATGTGTACCCTCACTGGGACAGATCTCTTAAAAAGATAACTTTTTGTACCTCATCGACCCCTAAAATTTACTTAAAATTTACTTGAAATTACTAGCACTAAAAACATTTTTTTTTCTGAGAGTGTTCGTTATGAAGATAATGTCAAGTCAAATATATTTGTATAACACTTCATATTACACACTGTTTCAAAACACAATCATGATGTTAATTTTTACAATATTGTAATTTGCTAGATTAAAAATATATCACTTTATGCGAATATGTATGTATAACATTTTGCTATAATATACTTTACATTTTGCAATGATATAAACAATCATGGAGACAGATTGTATACACACAACTTTATTCACATACATATAGTATACTCGCATAAAGGTGATATATACAACATAGCAAATCTCAACTGCATGATTTTGTGTATATATATATATATATATATATATATATATATACACAATATATAAATAAATATCTAAATATATTGTTTATATATTGTGTGTGTGTGTGTGTGTGTGTGTGTGTATATATATATATATATATATATATATATATATATATATATATATTACATACATACAGTATACTCGCATAGCAAATCCCATATATATATATATATATATATATATATATATATGAGATTTGCTATGCGAGTATATATATGAGATTTGCTATGCGAGTATATATATGAGATTTGCTATGCGAGTATATATATGAGATTTGCTATGCGAGTATACTGTATGTATGTAAATAAAGTTGTATGTGTGTATATATATATATATATATAAACATACACACACATATATAGTGTATATATATATATATATATATATGATTATATGATTCTATATATATATATAAAATCATGCAGTTGAGATTTGCTATATTGTATACATCACCTTTATGCAAGTATACTGTATGTATGTGAATAAAGTTGTGTGTGTATATATATATATATATATATATATATATATATATATATATATATATATACACACACACACACACACACACACACACACTGTACACACTTAACTGATTCACATCTAGACACTGATTCACATTAACACTCAAACCTAGGTTGTGAAACCTTGCAACTTGCTTACCCAGACATCATTTTAATGTATAACAGTAATATACTGAAAGAGGCTCTGTGAAGTTTCAAACAGAGAGGTAGCTTTTGCAACAAAGCCAAACTGTACCTCTTGGTTAGTGAGGGGTTGTTTGTTGAGCTCATCATCAAGTTGTTTTTGAAGGATCTGGAGTTGAGCATGAGCATCAGCTAATTCCTCCTGAAAATGAGAAACCTCCTCGGAGTGCTTCTCATCTTGAGCTCTGTAAGAGACAGAAAGAAAAATTCACAAAAGATACCACCACAATCTGAGAAGTCACACACATCTGAAACTCATTAAGCAATCTAGGTATTGATCTCCATGATCACTGCGTTTACAGTTCTTCACATATCTTACAACCATCAGTACATCACTCTAGGAAAACTGGACCTTAAAGATGTCTTGATGTGTTCTATGATTAGAGTTTCCAAGGCAGCTGATACTATAACCCAGAGTGTCTGGAAAACTTACGCAAGTGTCTTAGCCTCTTTCTGCAGGGCTTTGACAAGCTCCTCTTTGGCCTGCAGATCTTTCTTGATCTCGCTGAGCTCCAGCATGGCTGCCCTGTAATGCCTGCGGTTATGGGCTGCCTCCAGCTTGGCCTCCGCCACCTGAACAAAGCGTACAAACACACAGGTCACACACGTGCGCGTCAGAAAATAAACCAAAGCCTTCCGGAGTTCTCAAGGGGAACTGAAAATGCTATGCAGATGTTAAACCATATATTAACCTGCTCTGTCAGATCCTTGACTTTTATTTTCTCCTTCTCCAGAGCAGTCTGCAGCGTTTGCACCAACTGTCTCATCTGCTGGTCCTCCTCTTCTTTACGCTTTAATACTGCCTGAACCTGGAGTGAAAGAGTACAGAGATGTTTAATCAAAACAAATCAAAAAACAAATTGTAAAAAAACTATTCAATTCCAATGATTAAAGTATTGTCAATGAGGATGACATGACACGTCGCATCACACCTGCAAGTTGAGCTGGACAAGATCTGCTTCTCTCTTGGCCAGTGCAGCCTCTAGAATATTGGCATGTTCCCGCAATGCACTGTGGGATTTTCCAAGCCCAGAGAGTTTTCCTTTCTCATGCTCTAGCTCAAGGGTAAGCTTCTTATTAGCATCTTCCATGCGACGAATTCTCTTTTTAAAATTTCGTGACTCTTGGAGCTGTGCAAAAAAAAAGTGAAAACACATTTCTTACATTTTGATAACACCACTTCTTTCACAAATTGCAATGGACCATATTACTGGTATTTTAATGAAATAAAAGCCATCAGTGAAATTTGGTGCAAGGAGGACAGCATTTATTTTTTAAAAACATTAAAAGAATTGAGCAAATCAGTGTACAGATCAAAATCAAGATTTTCAGTGTCAAAATCACAGTTGATTAAATTATTATGAACCATCTCTAATATCGCAAGAGAATAGTGGGGATACACATACATGTACAGTAGCATTAAAAGGTTTATGGTCAGTAAAATTTATTTTAATTCTTTATTCAGCAAGGACACATTTGATTGACCAAAGTGATTTCTGAACACTGTAACACCGAAAACTGGAGTAATAGAAGCTGAAAATTACACTTTAAAATATATTAAAAAATACAATCATTTTAAAATGTAATAATTGTTCACAATTTGTTTATTGTATTTTTGATCAACTAAATGAAGCCTTGGTGAGCATAAGAGACTTCTTTCAAAAACAAAATCTTACCGATTAAATCTTACGAAAAGTAGCAAATTCATTCATTCAGCAAAAAACAAAACAAAAACATTAACTACAATTTTCTGTCCTGAGAAAATTATGTGCATGTAAACATGTTAATTGTTACCATACCAAACCATACAGGTTTGCTATATGCCATGCACCATGAAGGAATGCCGTTTTTGACAAACAGCGACCCCTAGAGTCGCTGTAGAGTAATTGTATTTAACGTTACTGTCGTAAATACCACTCACACAGAGTGTGACATGGCATGAAGTGTTACATGGTATACAATAGTACATTGCGTTTCATTTGTTGTTTAATGCGATCTAATGTTGTTTGTGGTGAGAATTTTCACGTGATTAAATACATAGATCCGACAAAATGGTCCAGTGGCAGAGCTTTTGCTAAGCGTGTAAGAGGTTCTGGGTTCTAATCCGCACTCAAGCAGGGACACGTTTTTTTGTGCATTTTGGTTTGGTTGAGACGGCCACTATTCAACCCAAAAGAAGTCTTATAACCATTACAATAACTCTGAAGCTGTTCAGTTAAGCTAAAAAAAACTGCATAGTGTCTCTTTAAGCCAATAAGAATAAGTTTTCGCTCACCTCGTCTTCCAGTTCCATCACTTTCTCCTGATATTCCTCCAGCTCAGTGCTGGTGAGGTTGATGACCTCCTGTAGCTCTTTCTCCAGCATGGCTTTACTCTGGCTCACTGCTTCCAGTTCTCTCTTCAGGGACTCCACCTTGGCCTGAAGATATGACAAAAATACACATAAATCAGTTATTAGAAAATAAGATCCACTGTAGTTACTCACGGCACCACTGCAATACTTTGAGTTTTTAACAGTGAAAGAATTATGATCATTCTGTCCCAATGCTTTCAGTGTTTATATTGTAGACTATCACTACCAGTTTACCTGAAATTCCAGGCTATTTCCTCCCTCTGAAACCTGAGCTTTGAGTTTGTCAAGTTCAGCCTCAGCTGTCTCTTTGGCGGCGAGAGCTTCCTGTAGCCTTCGGCTCAGAATGCCAACTGCATTCTCATAGGCCTTATGCTTGGCCTTCATATCTTTCTGCGCACTGGTCAAATCTGTGCCCAAACGCTTCATCCTCACCTTCTGCTCTGAGATGGCGCTGGAAGAGGAAAGAACAGGTGCATAACAGCAAGTTAGACAAACAACTTTAGTTTACTTCACCATCCTATGTTCTTCTAAACTTTTCAGGGTCATTTTTCATTTGTTTCATAAATGGATGAAATAGGAAGAATACATCCCAAACCCTCATGCTTTCCACACACTGTTATCTCAACTCACACTATTATCTATATGTCACATCACTTATCAGTGATATCAAAGACTGAGCAGCAAAACTATCACTATGGAAACCCTTATGGCAGAAGAGGCGGTGTGATTGTGACTCACGTCTTGGCTTCATCTTGCATTTGTTCAATCCTCTTCCTCAGATTTTCATTCTCTTCGGTCACGGATGCCAGATGGTTCTGGTCAAACTGAAGGGACTGAAGCAACAACATAGAAAGTGTCAAAATATGCTATAAACAATACTGTTCAAAAGTTTGGGGTTGGTAATACCTTTTAACATGTTTGTTTTTTTAAGTCTCTGCCACTCACCAAGGCTACATTTATACAAAGTACAGTAAAAACAGTAATATTGTGAAATAGCATTACAAGTTAAAATATCCGATTTGTATTTTAATTTATTTATTTAATTTGTATACAATCCAACCCTCTGCATTGACTTTGTATTGTGTGAAGCTGCCTCGTCATTTCTTGCTTCTAACAAAAGACAGAACAATGCCTAAAAGCTACTGTGACCGGGTGTCCAGCAAACAAGCTGGAAAAAAACAAGAACTAAGGTTTTATAAGCTACCGAAACGTTAAAGCCAGTCTTTAAGGAGACAAAAGTGGATATAGGCAGTAAGATGTGAAGCATCAGCAGGAATAATCTGTAAATTGTGGGGATCTTGACACAGTCAGTATGCCTATGTGTGCAGTAATACATAGGATGGTGAAATAATCCTTTGACACGGTTAAAACAATTATGTTTTTTAGCATAACATGCTGATTACATTCCGTCCAGTGGGCTTAGTTGTCAGAGTAATAGGACACGTTGCACTCTGCCTTAAAGGGATACTCCACTTTTTTGGGAAATAGGCTCATTTTACAACTCCCCCAGAGTTATTTTGTTTTCGAATCCATTCAGCTGATTTTCTGATATTTAGAAGAATATCTGTAACCAGACACTTTCTGGTCTCATTGACTACCATAGTATATATTTTTTCCTACTATGGAAGTCAATGAGACCAGAAACGGTCTGGTTACTGATATTCTTCTAAATATCAGAAAATTGGCTGAATTGATTCGAAAACGGTAAAACTGAACTGTTTAACTCTGAGGGAGCCTATTTCCAAAAAAAGTGAAGTATCCCTTTAATTGCCTGTATGTCTATGTAGGAAAAAATGTCTGTATCCTTGCAACCGAGATGATCTCAGTAATGCAGTGGGTGTGTACCTGCAGTTGAGAGTCAAGTTGGTCTCTCTCTGTCTGTACGGATAGTAAATGGGCTTCCAGGCTGTTCATCTGCTGCTGGACTCTCTCCACTTCCTTCTGAAGGCGATCCTGTTCCTGCTCTGCACTCTTCTTTTCTCCCTCCATTCTTAACAGCTCCTGCTTCAGGTCCTTCACCTCCACCACCAGACGCTTTTTAGAAGCCTTCAACTCAGAGATCAACTGGTCTTTGGAGCTGGCGTCTCTCCGGTAAGCTTCGACCATCACCTGCAACAAAGAGTACAGTAGATTAAGGACACTTTTGAAACACAACTAGTCTTATCCAGCAACAAACAAGGCATATTTGTCAGTCATACATAAATGAAACCAGTAAGATTTCTGTAATAAAACTAATAAACTGAATGTTTTAAATACACAATAAACAGTTTTATATATATTTATCATCATAAATCCAATTTGTTTCAGTCTCATACATTTTAACTAATTGAATATTGCTTGTTCCACAGCTAGCTATATTTTAACGTTTATACTTTTTAACTGAATGTGTTTTATTTTTCACAACTAACAGATTTATACTGATTCAGAATAAATGCATTTTGAAAATATTATTAAAAATAAAATATAAATCAATTGGTAAATTATAAACAATGCCATGATTGATTTTATTTTTTAGTGCAGAAATCTTACCCGTTTCATTTATGTATGACTGACAAATATGCATCACTTTAAGTTTATTAGTTTTTTTAAAACAGTGTAATCACATGTAAACTACATGCAACTAACCCTCAACTAAATCCTAATTCTACATTTAGTACATGTTAATTAATATTACTCAGTATGTAAATATGATTACACTGTAACAATGACACCTTAAAATAAAGTCTATACCAATTTTAAATGCAATTCAAATACATACATCTTAATTCAATAAATCTAAATATGTTTGGAGTGTACATTTTGAAGGAACTCGTTGGGCCACCTACCTTTTGCTGCATGAACTGCTCTTTCAGTTTCTGTGCTTGTTTTTTGAGGGTGCCATTCTCTTGCTTTAGAGCTTCAATCTTGAAGAGAAAGGGAAAAGATGCAATCTGAACCCATCTTAATATTCCACTTACAAAAAAAGCACATCACTCTGATTCAAACCTCTCACCTGGGTTGCTTTAACCTGCACTTCCTGTCTAAGCTGGTCAAGTGTGTCTGAGGCCAACAGCACTTCCTCTCCAAGCCTTTCTGCTCCATCATCCAGTTCGCTCTTATCTGCCCGTGCTGCCTGCAGAGCCACTTCCAGGACTATTTTCTCATTTTGGAGATACTGCAGGGTTTCCTCTTTAGCTGTGGCGTCAGTTTGTAGCTCCTCCAGCTGGGCCTGGAGCTCCTGGTAACGGGCCTCCAGCTGATTAAGGGCCTGTTCTTTGGTTTGGAGGTTGTCCTGAGTAGTGGTGAGCTGCTTCATCAGCTCTAGGTGCTCACGCTGTAACAGCTCCAGCTGGGCGTCTTTCTGGGAGAGAACGAGTTTGACCTGGATGGAGAAGAAGTTCAGTCGTTTGAGTCATTAGGCTGCATAAATTAGGCCAACCAGAAGCGGGAACACTTCCCATAACATCCGATGAACTTGTTACATCTTCATCGTCTGTCAGACTAAATCAACACTGAACTACTTTCAACTGAATAATGACAGTTTACTATTGTCTTTACAGCAGAATTGAATACTGTGTGTATTGTTGATCAATACTTTCACGTTTATCACTGTGTACACACTGTGTACGTACAAAGCTGCTGCATTGTATAAAGCACTGTATAAATAAAGGTGACTTGACTTGACATCACTAGGGAATGTTTATATTTAAAATAACATATTACAAGATGGAGAAACCTTGGATTAAGGGTCTTGTTCAAGAGCACAATGCTGATGGGTTTTTATCTATAACTCTGTGTGTGTGTGTGTGTGTGTGTGTGTGTGTGTGTGTGTGTGTGTGTGTGTGTGTGTGTGTGTGTGTGTGTGTGTGTGTGTGTGTGTGTGTGTGTGTGTGTGTGCTGGTGTTAGATACCTGCTCTAGCTCTCTCTCCAGTGTTGTGGCTGTATTAGCGAGTTTGAGAAGATGCTCTCGCTCCTCCTCAAACTCTTCCAGCTTGTGCTGAAGATCTTCCTCCACCATCGTCTTTGCCTCTTGGATTTGATGTATGGATGCTTCTTGAGTCAACATGTCCGCCTGGATAAGAATCAATCTATAATTATTGTTTATGATCTTTAGATTTAATCAATTTCACTCTTTCTTCTTCAACTTGAACTTGCCAGACCTCTATACTCTGCAGCTGTACAGCAATTCGTTCCTTCTCTTTTATAGAGCGATGGTTCGTCTCTGTGAGTTTGTGAGACAGAGTAACGTTCTCCATCTTCAGATTTTCCAACACACCAATCTGAGTCATTTGACCAGCCTGAAAGTAATTATAAAAACAAATGAATGCTAAAGATGGCCATTCTGCATCTGTACCTTTCTGATAAACATTCTGATTCTGAATACATACACTACCGTTTAAAAGTTAGGGTTCAGTAAGATGTTTTAAGCTTTCTTTTTAAATAAATGAACTTTTATTCAACAAGGATGCATTGAATTGATCAAAAGTTACAATAAAGACATTACATGTACATAATATTTCTTGTCTTTATCAACGTTGTAAACATTTGTGCTAAATTTGTTTTTTTTTTGGAAGAGAACTACATTTGCAACATTATAAATGTCTTTATTGTAACTTTTTATTGAGCACCAAAATCAGCATATTAGAATGATTTTTGAAGGATCATGTGACTAGAGTCATGATGCTGAAATTTCAGCTTTGCCTCCAAAGAAAAAAAAAATATTTGAATAGAAAACAGTTATTTTGTAATAATGATTTACAATTTTTCTGTATTGTTGATCAAATAAATGCTGTCTTGGTGATCATAAGACTTCTTTCAAAAAGATTTTAAAAATCTTACTGACTCAAAACTGAGAATGGTAGTATACATGTTATGGGAAAACTAATTTATACACCATCACACTTCACCTACAACAGCACATTATACCTGCATGTTTGCCATCTCTCCCTGCAGTCGCACACGTGCCTCCTGTGCCATACTCAGCTGTTGCTGGTACCAGATGCGGAGCTGCTGCAGGGAGTCCACTTCCGCCTGCGAGGTCTTCAGTCTGCTCTGCAGAGCGTTCCTCTCGCTCTGGACCCGCTGAAGCTGTGTCTGCAGGCCTACCATCTGCTGCCGGAACTCAGAGACTAAGTGGAAAAACAACCAACATGATATGTAATAGGGGTTGCATTGCACAGACGAGTTGAACTGAAGGGACTGAAACAATAATGTGGAGTTCAAAAGTTTGGGGTTAAAGGGTTAGTTCACCCAAAAATGAAAATTAAGTCATTAATTACTCACCCCCATGCTGTACCAACCCCGTAAGAACTTCGTTCATCTTCGGAACACAAATAAAGATATTTTTGATTGAATCTGAGAGCTGGATCACTCTTCCATAGGCTTCCTAAGGGACTGGCTCTTGACGGCCCATAAAGTCATTAAAGAAAAGGTTTAAATATTCCATGTGCCTACAGCGGCTCAATTATAAGTTTATCAAGCGACGAGAATACTTTTTGTGCGAAAAAAAACATAAATAACTACTTTATTCCACTATTCTATTACTTCCTTATGGGCGCATGCGCGAGAACTGAGACGAGGACGTTCTCATTCGTCTACTTCTTGTTACCGGCTGCTCACCGCTTAGGAGTTTTACCGCCACCTACCGTATAAAATTATGATCCATATATAAGGCGCTCCGGATTATAAGGAACACTGTCGTTTTTTGAGAAGATTAAAGGCTTTTAAGTGCATCTTCTTCTGCTTGTAAACAGAAAGTTTTGCGCTTCCAGCTATATCAGCACATTATCTTATATGGTAGGGGGCGGTAAAACTCCTAAGCGGTGAGCAGCCGGTAACAAGAAGTAGACGAATGAGAACGTCCTCGTCTCAGTTCTCGCGCATGCGCCCATAAGGAAGTAATGGAATAGTGGAATAAAGTCGTTATTTATGTTTTTTTCGCACAAAAAGTAGTATCGTCGCTTGATAAACTTATAATTGAGCCGCTGTAGGCACATGGAATATTTAAACCTTTTCTTTAATGACTTTATGGGCCGTCAAGAGCCAGTCCCTTAGGAAGCCTATGGAAGAGTGATCCAGCTCTCAGATTCAATCAAAAATATCTTTATTTGTGTTCCGAAGATGAACGAAGGTCTTACGGGGTTGGTACAGCATGGGGGTGAGTAATTAATGACTTAATTTTCATTTTTGGGTGAACTAACCCTTTAATACTTTTTAATGTTTTTTTTAAAGACTCTACTGCTCACCAAGGCTACATTTATACAAAAATATAGTCGAAAGTAATATTAATATACAGTAAAATTGTGAAACATTATTACAATTTTAAATATCTGTTTTCTATTTCAATATATTTAACATGTAATTTATTCCTGTGATTACAAATCTGGATTTCAGCATCATTACTCCAGTCTTCAGTGTCACATGATACTTCAGAAATCAGTCTGATGTGGTGCTCAAGAAACATTTTAATGCTAAAAACAGTTGTGCTGTTTAATATTTCTGTGGAAACTGAATTTTTTTTTTTCAGGATAACTTGAATATGAATAGAAAGTTCAAACGAACAGAAATGTCTTTACCAATTAAATGGATCCTTGCTGAATTAGAGTATTAATTTGTTTAAAAAGAAAATCACTGACCCCAAACATTTGAACAAAGGTGTATATAGAGAGCCATGAACAATTATGTAATAGGGGTTGCACAGAATGCTCAAACTTTAATGCTCTGGCATGAGGCTTTAAACTTCATTCGACTAGTCGCTGATCATGGCATGGCCTATAAAGGATAAGAACTCCTTAAAGTCCACTTTTACACTCTGTTTCCAACCATTAAAATCAATGACAGATCAATGGCAAATAAATGCATACTGCGAGAGCACTCCACAAGATATGCTTGATTATACCATCTGGATGCTCAAAATTGCTCGGGTGAATGCACGTTTTAAAGTATTCAGACAGTGGCTCGCACATTTAGTAGCACAGAAATGTATTGTCAAAACTGTTCAGTGATTTATCAATAAAATAGCTTAGAAACTGAAAAGTTCTAGCACATATTTCTTAGTAACTGAAACCCATAGCTTCACTATTAGTAGAGACGCTGCCAGGTAGAATTAAGTCACATGCAATCTCTTTCACACTAATGCATTCATTTAAATGTAATCTTTACTGTGCTACTTTCTCTGTATCTGATTTAGAATGAGAAGAAATCTGTGAGAAACGTAATGACCAAAAGACAAAAGAACTGATCAAAATAAGCTATTATGTAGGAGCAATAGCCTTGTGGGCAGCGCTGTGTCATATGCCATAGCTGTGAACAAGGCAACCCGCATTCGAGTCTCAGCTCGGCTTATTTGTTCATTTATGATGTCATCAGCGACTGGTTGATGTTGACTTTAATCAAATACATTTTTCACTTACAATCATCAAGTTTTATTTTTAAAAAGCACCTTTCCCAAGCTAAAGATTTCTTTTTTAGACCAGTCAAGTGAGTACAGTTATGGGTTAATCAACATGTTTTTTTGTTTGTTTGTTTAACCAGAAAAAGCCAAATCAATCACCTTGGCCAATATTTTGGTCAAATACTAGATAATTTTTTTACAGTGATTGAAACAGGGCACTGAATGTACTCAAATCTACAGATACTAGTGGGCAAAAGCGCTATCACCATGTTAACCGTCCTGAGTAATGACAGTCAAGTCAGCTCAAGTCAGTTCAGTGTTGGTCCAGTTCAGTTCAATATCTGAGTAAAGTTTAAACACATTGAGACTGATATTGAGTATACCAACTGATCAAGCTCAACCCTGACATGTACATCTACCATTTGTCCTCACCTGTGTTGTCTCTGGTATTCAGGCTCTCCTGCATCTCCTCCACTTTGACCATCAGCCTCTGGTACTGCTCTTCAGCCAGCTGCAGGTCATTGCCCAGTGAGGCCAGGCTGGCGTTCTTCCCCTCCAGATTGCCCTGGAGATCCACCATAGCCTTCTCCAGTGCAGAGCAGTTGGAGCGTAGCGTGGTGACCTCAGAGGTGAGGGTGCTCTGCCTCTCCTGACTGGCCTGGGTTTGCTGCACTTGGACCTGCAACTGAGCATTTACTGTAGCCAGCTGTGCCTGGAGCTCTGTTTTTTCTTTCAGAGCCTGGAAATGAAGGTACGGTTTTAAATGATCCAGGTGGCTTCAGCCATGTTTTTAAGAAGTACATTTATAACAATTAATAAATATATAAACATGCACAGTACTGTTCAAAAGTTTGAGGTCAATACGATTTTTTGAAAAGAAATTTATAGTTTTATTCACCAAGGATGCATTAAATTGATCAAAAGTGAAAGTGAACATTTATAAATAATACTACAATACAACTGTAATTCAAATAAATCCTGTTTTTTTACTTTATATTCAAAGATTTCTGAAAAGAAAAAATTATGATATAATGATAATAAGATATTAAGATGATAAGAAATATTTCTTGAGCACCAAATCAATCAGCATATTAGAATGATTTCTAAAGGATCATGTGACACTGTAGACCAGACACAATGACTGCTAAAAATTCATTCAGCTTTGCCATCACAGGAATCAATTATATTTTAAAATACATTAAAATAAATAAAACGTTAATTTAAATTATGATAATATTATATATGTGTGTGTGTGTGTGTGTGTGTGTGTGTGTGTGTGTGTGTGTGTGTGTGTGTGTGTGTGTGTGTGTGTGTGTGTGTGTGTGTGTGTGTGTGTGTGTGTGTTTTACAATATTTTGATCTAATAAAATGCAGAAACTTCTTTAAAATACATTATGAAAATTTAATTGACCTCAAACTTTGTCTTTGAATGGCTGTGGTTACAGTGATTACTTAATTTTTTGTATTTGTATTAAAAATGTAAATGTTGTTATTTGTGAAAAAAATACTAAAAAAGGATTAAATGGGAAAAAAATAAAGATTTTTGAGAAAAAATATTATATAAAATAAATATTAGTTATATTGTTATATAATGTTGTGTGTGTGTATGTTTGTGTGTGGATATGTGTATATATATATATATATATATATATATATATATGAAGAGTTCAGATGCAAAAGCCTCTAAATGCCATTTGAAATTTTCTTCTTTAATGATGATTTTTATCAAACTTGTATATTTAAGTTCAGTAATTTCACTTAAATAACAATTAATAGGTAATTATCATTGCCATTTAAGTGAAATCACTGAACTTAAATATACAAGCTTGATAAAAATTATCATTCTAGAAGAAAATTTCAAATGGCACTTAGAGGCTTTTGCATCTGAACTTTTCATATACACACACAATTTTGTAAATATTTAAAACATAACTATAAATATTAAAACCAATCTTCTCTCTAAACATGGGCATCAGACATTTAAAAAATCCATATCAGTTGACCACTAATACAAAGACATTGCCTTATATACTGTTGGTAGCAGTTAGCAAATATTGGACAAATGCCTAGTCCCAGGTTAACTCACCTGACTGGCCTCAGATGAAAGAGACTCCAATTGTCCTTCTAACCTCATTTTCTCTTTTAGCACTTGCAGCATCTCATCATGAGTCCCCATCACAGAACTCCCAAATGACACACTGAAAACACATAATTCAATCATGCAAGTTTAATGGGCTGGTTTCATGAGAGACAATAATGTTCACCTAAAGGTCGAAAAATATTCAGGGAATGGACTAACCGGTGGACATAGTGGGCCCATACCTGCTGGAGAAGCTGTCCCTGCGACTGCGAGGCTCTACGCTGTCCTGCTCCAGCTCTTCCATGTGTCTCTCTTCAGTGGCTGCCTGCAGGACTTCCTGCAGTGATGGAAAGTGGCCCATGGCTTCTGGAGCAATCTCTCGCCCTTCAACAGTATATGGAGCCTTTGGCTTATTCGCTATTGCAGCTAACATACTATATGTCCCTGTGGTAGACACACTGCTATAGGACGAACTATCACTGTCATTGCCGTCAGCTCTGAAACCTGATTCGCTGCCATCCACCTCAGAGACGTTGTCTCGGATTAGCTGAGATGTTTCCAAATGGCTGTTGGTCTCAGAGCTGATTTGTGAAATGGTGGAAACTGAGCTCATGGAGGAATGCAGCGAGCTAAACGATGAGTCGGCAGACGCAGAAAGTACCCCACCAGGTGCTTCTGCGCTTTTAAAGTCAGATTCGGGAGTTTTGTAGTCAGCGAGAGAGTGGATCTTGCTGGAACGAGATGATTTGGATTTCTTCTCCTTGCTGGAAGGGATTCCTAGGCTTCCCAGTTTGGGACCACGAGGAACGCTGGTGCGCAGGAAAGAGTATTCCTTAGTCATGGAAACAGTACTGGCCCTTGGGAGACCCTCGGGATGGAGCATGAGCTCTGGGTCCAAAGTGCTAAATAGGCGGCTCTTAGGAGTGGACCGCCTGGTCTGAACGAGACAAAGAAATGATGATTAAACATAAGACATGTAAAACAGGAAACAGTAGCAAACACTTAACTGTTTATCTAACATTAAGTCCATCAAGTCCACCTATAGCTAATATTAAATAAATGATTTACTCAAATGATTTGGCCACCCTCATGTTCCAATCCTGTTTGATTTTTTTTCTCCCCAAGGAACACAAAAGGAATGAGAATGTGAAAATAAATGAATAAACGGTGAATATCAAACCAAAACATTTAAATGAACCTATCGTTCAACATTCTTCAAGTCAATTTAGATGCTTCTTCATGTGCCATATTTAAATACACTGGACTTAAAATATGGTCTGTCCCTTTCACAAAATTATATTATGACTTCAGAAGACTTGAAATAAAACAGACAAGGAAAATCAACACGTAATGAGGGTGAGTAAATTATGCCAATTAATTTTTTTTTTTTTTGCCAAACTATTAACTGAATTCAACATCAGTCATTTGATAAAAACTGAAAGTTGTCATTTGCTGACTCACTCTCTCTGTGTGCCGCTGTACTCTGTATTGTTTGAGCTGTTCCTCTAGACGCCGACGAGCTTCCTGGCGAATCTTTTCTTCATTTTCCATCTCCACTGACGGCTCTTTTGAAGCTACAAGAAAGACACAGTCAGCAAATGCACAAAAACTCTTGCTACATAAAAATAGGCAGGTGTTCAGATATTGTCAACCAAGCTGTGTTGGATTGAGTGCAACAGGCTATTGATTATACGAGACTGATAATACAGCTCATCAATCCTGAAACATGCCTTCTTTGACAATGCTATTTCTAGAGATGGTTTTGAAACTGGTTCCATTTTTTTTTAAATACAAGACGACAAAAACGCAATATGCACAGTCATTTTTCTCATCTTTTTACAGTTGTAATGGTGATGAGTGAGTGTCTTATATGCACTCATTATTATTAGTTTTAATGCAATTAAAAGTTCTGTTTTAATGCATATTTTTGGTGGTTTATATGTTTTGGTACAATGGCCTTACAGAAAAACTAAATTCAAAGTATTGGTCTAAATAGGAATAAATATGGTAATCTGTTTTGTAGGGCTGTCCAACGATTAATCGCATCCAAAATAAAAGTTTGTGTTTACATAATATATGTGGGAGCACTGTGTATAATTATTTTATATATATATATATAAATACACACACATGCTTGTATATATTTAAGAAATATTTTCATGTATATAGATTTATATATAATTTATATGATTTGTAAATATAAATATTTTATATATAAATAATATTTTTTCCTTAAATATACATGCATGTGTATGTATATATATATATATATATATATATATATATATATATATATATATATATATACACAAAATAATTATACACAGTGCACCCACATATATTATGTAAACACAAACTTTTATTTTGGATGCGATTAATCGTTTGACAGCCCTAGTGTTTTGTTGTTGTTGCTAGAACTGTATAATAAAATCTGATTTGTTATTACTGCTCTGTTAAAATCCGAAATGAATAATAACCAGGCTGCTGAGCATTTTCCAGAGCAAAAGTACAAGAAAAATCAGTAATTAGAATCATTAAGGGAATTGTAAAGTGGAACTGGAACCAAAATCATTAAAATGTCTCATGATTCCCATCCCAAGTCTATTAAAAGTGAAGCTTCGTGCTCATCCTAGTAGAGCAAACACCATGTGATCTCTGCAACCCAAAATAAGCCATTCCATTAGTTAGAAAAAGTGAAAAGCACACTTTAATTTCTGCATCAGTTAGTTATTAGTTCAGCCATATTTCACGTCCAAACCAAATCGACTTAAATACTGGCAAGACAACATGCATCTTGTTATGTTGTTCCCAGAAAAGCTAAACTTTTCCTGAATCACCAACCAGCACAACACCCCGGTAATGCACAGAATTGTCAAAAATCAAAGCACCAACAATCACAGGAGAGACTTATTAGCCTTTAATTAATTAATTAGGACATTGTGCAATGAAGAGATTCCCATTCAAATCTCTCTGCAAGCCAAAATGGAGAAGCAGGCAAAAATAGGATACAGCAAACAGGGAGGGTTAGCCTAAATCAGCCTCAAAAGCCAAGGAATTACGACACAACAGGAAGGGGCGAGGGTGATTCGGAGGGGGGGTTATCCAATATCGTATGCTTACACAATTCGGTCTCCTGCATAGGAATACTTAGTCTGAGCGATTGCAATGCGTCACCCTTGTGAATAGAGCCCTCTGCAAGAGCTGCCTCAGACTTCTCTAGGCTGTCAGGGAAAGAGGCCACACCTGGATCCAGCTGTGCGCTCAGGGGGGAGTCGGCAAGGCGGCTGCCCAGGGGAGGAGTTGCCAGAGGTGGGGTTCTGCCTCCGTGAGCTTCCTGACCCTCCACCACGGCCTCTCCGTTTGGCAACAGCTCTGCTTGGACATGACCTACAACAAAGAGAAGGGATTCAGCAAACAGTGTTTTTACAGATGATTTTTGTGTTTTACAAGCCAAGCATGGATGACATATCATGAAATATATTTTGGTTTATTACAACTTTCATTGTTCAGTCTGATCTTATTACAACTTTCATTGACCAGTCTGTAGACCTTGCTAAAAAATAAACTTAATAAAATTCAAATAAACAAAAAAAATTAAATTATCACATCGAAAGTTATTGAAGTTAAGTAAAAATGTGATGAAATAAAAAAAAAAAAGTACCCAAAAAGAGCACTTTTTACGCTTTAGTTAATATCACTCCACGCAAAAACTATTTGGTAAGACTTTACAATAAGGTCCCATTAGTAATGAATTTACTAACATTAAAAATGAGCCAGAAATTTGTTACCGTATTCATTTCTTTTTGTAAATTATTTAACAAAAACACGACTAATCTTTGTTAGTTCATCTTAGCTCAAGTCCATTAAATAATATTATTTTTGACTTTAATAATGTATTAGTAAATGTTGAAATTAACATTAACTAAGAATGCTCATAAATGATTTAGAAGTATTTATCATTGTTAGTTGATTTTTAACTAATGAATTTCACTATTGTTAACAAATTGAACCTGATTGTTACCTACAATTCTGAAAAACAAATGTGTCATCCGTGATTCATTTATTCTACAGACAGAAGCATCTATTACTAAGATAAAGTGAATAGTCCAGCATTAAGGGGTACCATCTTCAACATGTCAAGATCATTTTGAACATACTTGTCCAAAGCATTATTCTTTTCCTTATGGGTAAATTGTTACTTTGCACACATTTAAAGTACAAAGCACAACCTAAATTAGCCTGTTTATATCTATGTTATGAGGTTATGATTGGTGCTTTTTGGTCATTCACAACTTTCAGAATTAGAGACCAGCATAGTCCGGAAGACCTCCTGTGCGCAAGTCTTGCAGAACAAGTCAAACAGCCCAATCGAGCTACAGTGACAGTTCAGGAAACTGACTCTAAAAGTGAGGGGGAAGTTTGTGGATATATATATCTAGAGACAAATACTTCTTAATAAGGTAATAAATAGCATTGAAAAGTGGGAAGAAAAAAACATCTCAAAGCCAAGTGACGCAGTAAACAGCAAATGTTCACTTTGAAATTTTGCCAAGTTTTCAATGAACTGAACACAACAAACAACTCTCATAAGACCAGCTTAACAGTGAATCCTGCACTCACATTTTGAGGATAAACTGTATATTTGTATACACTATAAAGACCCAATTTATACTATAAAATTTATTACAAACATGTGTAAAATAATATTTGGAAAATATTTAGTTTCTTTTACGTTACATTATGCTTTTTTCTGGTTATTTATTTAAGTGTTTTTATTATTTAAATCAACCTTTTTTTCTTATTTATTTATTTTTGATTATATATATATATATTATTATTTGATTATTATATATACAGTATATTTTATACGGAGCCCCGCACGTAAAAAAATAAAATTGTGCACACGATTTATACATCAGGGGAACAAATTAGCAAATTTAGAATTAAAACCATTAATTCATTAATTAGTAAAACTGTATTTCACCTTGCTCTGAACTTTTCCACAGACCCCCTAGCATACTCTTGCAGCCCCCTGTGGGTCATCACCAATTTGAAAACCCTTGACTTAGAACATCATCCATCAAATTTAATCTAAAAAAACACTCACCATTTGGGATTTTCTCTGTTACGGCTGATATCTCCGACTTCAGAGATTCTACAGTATTGCTGTCTGGATGTTGTGCATTCAGCTGCTGAGGGATGGCCTCGATTGAGGCCGTTTCATTGTTTCCATTTTCCATATCTCTTGAAATACAGATGCTGTTCTAGCATCCATTAAAAAATAAGCTGGGCCTCACTAGTGCAATTCAACTTTACTTCATGCTCGGTAAACTTTGGTTGAGACTGCAGGCTGGCCTGGATGGTGCCGGCGGCTTCAGTCCTTGGTGAACCTGAGGAATAAAAACATTACTTAAAATCATCCATACTGTGAGAAGGGTTTAAGATCCTAAAGCAGTCTTGATGAGGGGCACATTGGTGATATACAGAGAACGTGATTCACAACATGTTCCTGAATCAATATCTTTGCTGATCCTGGAATCAATACTTTTCAATACCTGAAGAAATACTTTTTTTACTCTTCACTAATTCATTTCATACCACCTCAATTTGGGGCAAGAAAGAGGGAATGGTTTAAATGTCAGTTCATTGATTCTTGAGACATGGGACAAAACGTTCCATGTCTAGCTAGACTTGCTATTACCTTTTAAAACAGCACCATTTCCATTTAGAAATGAATAAGAGATTCTTTCTCACTAGAATGTTCTTATGGCATGTCATTCAACTACCCTATTACTATAACAATACCTATGACTACCCGGTGCCAAGCGAGCTAATTCCTCTAAAATTCCACTCAATTCCTTTAAAACCATCTGTTCGCTCAAACCATAGCTCAACACTGCATATAGATTAAAATGTTAAATAAAAAAACAGTAATACAAAAGTCTCTTATGGAGAAAAGCAATACAATTTAATTCGTTATCTTTTACTAGGTTTCCAATGCATCGGAAAATAGTACCTGTAGTGCTTTATGCATGCATGATATGCAAAATATGCTTTAGTCAACACAGTCAGCTGTCAACACTTTGAGCTGTCAACACAAAGGTTGTCTGTCTTACTGTGAAGAAAATTCAATAAATAAACTAAAAATGAATGTTTTAGCTAGTCAACATTCACTCACTGAAGTGAATGCTTTATTGTCAATATTTATAATAAATTTTGAACACATTATTGCTAACAGGTGGTGATGACTCATACTGAGCTATAGCAGGCAAGGAAAACAATTTCATGAGAATCGAACAGAATCATCCTTCATAAACACGAATGCATATATTCTTCCTTATGTAAACTTTTCAGCACTGTAGTTAGTTTGCTTTATCCTAGTTATTATAGTTAAGTGTCATGACGTGTCATGTAGTGGAGGAATGAGATTTGTCTCACACAATGCTAGAGGATTAGACTAACTGAACCATCAACACGAGTCTAAAGACTAGTGCGATTTAAGACACTTCTCAGACAACTGACCTGCGATAATATAACTGACCTGACCTCATAATATCACATATAGACAGATCAGACTGACAGCAGCATTTTTAATTAACGTCAACTGTCACATAGATTATTTCCCTTATTTCAGAGCAATGAATTGAAAATGAAAGCACAGCATCAAACATGTCAATCATAATAAATAACCAGCAGCACGGAAAAAGTGAAAAACCACTGGAGATACAGTGTTAAAGTGAGTTTATTAGCCTATAATAAATCTCTGATCTCATTAGCATCAGCCTTTTAGCTACTTAGCCACATCGCACGGTTATCTAAAAGCAACTGAGACATGACACTGACACACGACCACGCTTCTACCTAGCAGTCGTCACGTGAAATGGTGAATTATTAGTATGGTGATAAGAAGAGATGCTAAAAAAAGTAATTAAGCACCAACCTTAGACGTGCTCCTGCCTATCCTACGTGGCTGTTTAGGTTCCGTCCTTCAAACAGATCCGTCTCACAACGGTTACCTCAAAATAAAAGGTTCCGCGTAGAGCTGCTGCGTAGCTACGTAAGGAAAGGCATCTATGGACTTTAAAATCCCCTATATTTTATTTATAACAACCTAAAATCAATAACCAGTTAATAATCATACTTTTATATATTATTTATGGTTAAAAAAAATCAAAAGCTTTCACTTCTGACCAATTGTGAATTTACTGATGTAAAAAAACATGTTGCAATATGAATATGACTTATTAGTTTTAAACACTAATTTGAACTGTTTTAAATTGTATAGTGCTATCAATTGAGTAGACAAAGACCTGCTCATGAACATCATCTCTAAATCATATGCTATTACACAAACTGAAAAATCACATTTGCCCCAATAAGCTTTTGAATGGAAGCCATAGACACTGATGTATGACAAAGCATCAGTCTTTAATTTGATTACAACCCTTTTACATGATGTATAATTAGTAACCACTATAAAATGTGAGATTTCAAGTCATTCATCACATGCCAAATGCAACTTAGGGACCCTTCTGCTTTTATTAAAAAAATACTCAAACTGGGAATGTGGAAAATGTGCGGTTCAAACACATCAAATTCCTAAAATGTACATTCAAAATAAAAAAAAAAGCAAAACAATGTCTAAGAGACCAAATTATTGTGCATGCAGTCGTTGTATTACATAAGATAAACCTTAGACATGGCCTGTAAAACTTTATCAATGCTGTTTCTTGGAATTTAAGTTGTAACAACCCTCATGGAATGAAAACCGTATTTCATTAAATGATACAGTACCTACTTATCTCTTTTAAAAAGCACTTAATATGCATTATGACAACAGGTTCCAACTATTTAAAACCTCGCTGCTTTTTTCACACTCAAGTGATAAGAGTCAACCATTCTTTATTTTCTTGATTTCCAATTCAAACAGAAGAGGGTCACACTCATAATAGAAGGGTCATACTCCTAATAAAACGTCCTTCAGTTATTCAGAGCAGTCTTTTTTTTTGACAGATGCAACCCTCCACAGAAAATGAATCATTTTAGTCATACAATAGTAAATTCAAGCCACAGAGAAGCCAAATGTTCCTCATGTGACTTTATTGTTAGGAAAAGTCAAAGATCGCAGATACTCATACTCCCTATCAACTCAAACAGCCCGCTCTCATATCAGACAGTGCTCATCTAGACGCTCACAATATAACTCTTTAAAGTACAAAAGAAAAACAACAAAAGAAGTTACCCAATGTGGGAATCAATCAATAGCACAAGCCTTGTATCATAGCATGTCGTGTGAATACACAAATACATGATGACTGACGACTGGTCCACAATGAATGAGAAAATGAAGGGCGATATGAGAGTTTGTGAATGGGACAAAAGCTCACAACATCTTGATGATTGAGAAATGGACGCATTAAGAGTGGCACCAAGGTCTTGTGAAGTCAAGAGGCCAAAAAGAAAAAAACAAAGTGTCCAATTTTTCAATTTCAGAGTCTGTTGTAGAAAAGGGGTAAATGGCAAGTGGAGCATCCGTATGAAGTGACGTTCCGGGCTCATTTCTTCTCCTCCTCCTCACCAGCCTTCTCTTTCTTCTCTTCCTTTACCTCCTCTTTCTTGTCCTCTGAACTCTTTGTCTTGTCATCTTTCACAGACAGCTCCTCCAGCTTCTCTGCCACTTTGTTAGGGCTGTTCATGTTACCTGTGAAACGAAATTAAAACAGTTAAGTCGAAGGCTCTTCAAAGACTACTCCAACTCAAGCCTTGCACAAATTTATTAAAGGAAAAAAATGTCTGAGAAGATACGGTCACCTCCCAAGTGAATGGCAAGGCAGTTTGTAACAATCTTCATGTTACTGTAGCAGACAGAAAAAGTCTAAGGCTGGATGTGTCAGTCTTAAACAGAGTGAGTCTGCGATAATCTGATAGAAAATGCTATCATCTTACCTTCTAGAAACTTTCTGGTCTCTTCTTTGCATTCATCAAACTTCATCTTGAACTTCTGTGCATCTGCAAGACATAGGAAACAAAGGGCAGTTATACTAATGATAAAATTAAGTCAGCAGGAAATGGAAATTTATCTTTATTATGAATGTATTATCCATGCACAAGTTTGTTTTGTTTTTTAATGACCCTGTAATCTTCTAGACAAAGGACATTTCTCTCTAGTGATGTTGCCGGACTTCTCCAGCTTAAACCACGCCCCATTATTAATCTACTACAAGCTTGCATTCAGATCTGCCTCTATCCAATCAACAAAAGATAGAATCAAGTCCCCACCAAATATGTTTGTTTCACTCGCATGCAAGTCACAATATGGAAGAAAAGTTATGTCGCTAGTATTGTTTCTTTCTGTATTATGTAGGGCTTCAATTAGTTTTACTTAACAAGATCTCTGAGATTTGTTCTGGAGATAACGTTCATTTGTACTCACTCTCTGCATTAAGGAATCGAATAGCCAGCATCTCTGCTTTGGGTTTTTCATCTGCAAAGTCAGCATGTGTATTCCACACCCAGGCCCTGTCACTGCCTGCGTTGGGCTTCAGCTCCATCAACGGCATAACTAGAGCACAGAATTTCAGAATGAGTTAAAGCCAGCACATGATGGATAATTAACAGGAGGACAGATAACGATTACACTCACTGTTGTGGTTGGCACAGATTTTGAGGGTGCGGTCTCTCCTCATGAGAAGGCGGATGGTACCCTTCTCTTTGTGTCGCAGGAGTTTGACATCACCCGTCCCACGCTCCTTCCACTCGGGAGGGTCGTTCTCACTGGCAAAACGATACAGCTTTGCCCTCCTACAAAAACCATGTTGAAGATGAATGTCAGCAAAAATAAAAAATTCAGTTCTCACAGCCTTTTTTTTTTTTTTTACACATATGATCATTCAATTTCTTTTTGGAAAAGCTGCAGCTGAAAAAATTAAAGCACTGTTTATTTCACTTACATATTTTGTTGTATTTGTTCTATTTAAAAAATAAATATTTTTAATAATTGATTGTCGAGTCAATCAATTATTAAAAAAAAACTTATCGATGGCCAATTAAAGGAGTAGTTAACTTTTTTTTTTAAACTTTTGCTGATAATTTACTCACCCCCATGTCATGCAAGATGTCCACGTCTTTCTTTCTTCAGTTGAAAAGAAATTAATGTTTTTGATGAAAACATTCCAGGATTTTCTCCATATGATGGACTTCATTGGGAACCAAACGGTTCAAAGTCCAAATGAGAGTTTTAGTGCAGCTTCAAAGGGCTTTAAACAACACCAGACGATGAATAAGTGTCTTATCAAGTACCCTTTGAGTCATGACTCGAAAAAAGATTTCGTTCATTTTGATGAACGAGTTCGAACAGGAGTCACAAACGCTCCTCACAGAACAGAGCAAGGCGAGCATTTGTGCTTGTAAAACTTAAAGGGTTAGTTCACCCAAAAATGAAAATTAAGTCATTAATTACTCACCCCCATGCTGTACCAACCCCGTAAGACCTTCGTTCGTCTTCGGAACACAAATGAAGATATTTTTGATTAAATTTGAGAGCTGTATAACTACCACATTGGCTCCTAAGGGACTGCCTCTTGACGGCCCAAAAAGTCAATGAAGAAAATGTTTAAATATCCCATGTGACTACCGTGGCTCAACTATATGTTTATCAAGCGACGAGACTACTTTTTGTGCGAAAAAACAAACAAAAATAACGAGTTTATTCGACCATTTCTTTTCTTCCTTGTAGGCCAGAACGAGACTTCCTTATAGATTTCCACAACGCATGCGCGAGATTTGCGATCTGCTCACACCAGCTTCACTACTTCAGATCGCAATTCTCGCGCATGCGTCGTGGAAATCTATAAGGAAGTCTCGTTCTGGCCTACAAGGAAGAAAAGAAATAGTCGAATAAACTCGTTATTTTTGTTTGTTTTTTCGCACAAAAAGTATTCGCGTCGCTTGATAAACATATAGTTGAGCCACGGTAGTCACTTGGGATATTTAAACATTTTCTTCATTGACTTTCTGGGCCGTCAAGAGGCAGTCCTTTAGGAGCCTATGTGGTAGTTTTACAGCTCTCAAATTTAATCAAAAATATCTTCATTTGTGTTCCGAAGACGAACGAAGGTCTTACGGGGTTGGTACAGCATGGGGGTGAGTAATTAATGACTTAATTTTCATTTTTGGGTGAACTAACCCTTTAAGCTTAAGCTTTTCTATTTTTTAATTGACCGATCGTTTCGCTAGTTAAGACCTTTATTCATTGTCTGGTGTCATTTAAAGCCTTTTGAAGCTGCACTGAAACTCTCATTTGGATCTTGAACCATTTGGTTCCCATTGAAGTCCATTATATGGAGAAAATCCTGGAATGTTTTCATCAAAAACCTTAATTTCTTTTCGACTGAAGAAAGACAGACATGGACATCTTGGATGACATGGGGGTGAGTAAATTATCAGCAAAAGTTTTTTTTTTTAAATTACTGACATGTAATTATTATTATTGTTTTATTTAATAAAAGGAAGGAAATTCTTAAAAAGTAGGGCAGGAACATTCTGGTCAACTGAGTTCTTAATTTGTTTGGTTTTTTTTCTTAATTTGTCAATTACTTTTCCTGTTTCAGTTTTTTTTTCCCACGGTATCGATTCAGTATCTAGGTATTTTTATCTGGTATCGTATCGAAGTCATTATTTTGTTACCGTGACAACACTAAATTTGAGGCGCGAGTTGGTGACAGTTGTATTAGACGTTATATTTGGTTATTAAATAAGTCCTTTAAATGATCAATCACATCGACTCATTTTACAATCCATTTGCACACCCGTCATGCTGTTAATTGATTATTAATTTAAATGACGATCGATGATAGGAATTTGTGTAAATTGACATGCCTAATATATACACATACAGTACCTTGTAAGGCTAATTTTTTAAAGTAAGCAAATAAGTTTAACTGTACTGCTCAGTGACTAGTAATAAAACTAATATGAAAAAGACTAGTAATAAAATTGTGAAAAAAATTCCTTCTTGAAAAAAAAAAAATCGTGATATGATTTGCCATATCTACCACCCCTGCAATGAAAACCTTTTTAAAAAGGTACACAATGTAACTTTTAGCTCACTAGTGGTTAAGAAACAAAACTGCATACATTTTGCAGAAGAACATTGTTAATTGCGCTTTGGCTCTTAGCAACTGCGCATGAATGACCTTTCACAATAGATAATGCATTATAGAACTACATATGGCAATTTATCTGTTCAATAAAATACTTTTACCTGTTGAGACACAAAATTGGCCAAGCAAATGTTGATTCTCATTTTATTACAAGCTGTGTCACATTATCTTTTTACCAGCAGACTCTCCTCTATCCTGCTTTTGTTTTAACAGGTAATTCCCCAGCAGTTCAAGATTGATTTTATGCTTTCCATGTCAACGTTTCTTCTCGCTCACTTCGACAACTAACCTATGCCACTCCCACACCACACAGGCGTCAAAAGTAGCCCGAAGGAACTTGTTTATGAGTATGACAAAACATGCTTCCCCAACACGTCTAATATATATATATATATATATATATATATATATATATATACACACACACACACACAATTGTCATAGGCTTACCATAGTGACTCAGTGCAAGACAAAAACACATTTTGGAAGGATTGATGTTGTACTGACTCAATTTCGAATTCGAAAAAAAAAAAAGCTCAAAACAACGTAAAGGTACTTTGTACCTTTAAATCTGAACCTGCTTAGTATTGGGTAGAGACTTACATCTTGAAAAGTTCCTCCTCATCCTCTTCTAGGGTCTTAACATCCTGCTCAGGTAGGGAGACGATGGGCTCAAATTGAGGGTCATGGTTGGAGTCCTCTGCATTTTCTGGAGTTGCTTCATGATCATCTTGTGCCTCCTGGAGGGGAAATTAATAACAGCAGCTTTTGTAAATCAAACATCAAGAAACAAATATGCCAATGACCTAGTGGTGCAGCTGGTCATGACCCAGGATTAGATCCCTTTTTGTTTTTTGAGAATAACACAAATTTACTATGGCATTTGTTCTGCTGAGCTTCACACTGGCCTGATCCCGGCTGAGGGGATCCTGCTTCCACATTACTCATCAGTTCAGTGGAGTGAAAAGCTGTAGGATTTGGAGGGATCATTCTTTAGAGTTTGGCCTATTGTCTCCAAATTTGCTGCTGCAACCAAACCTACACCCACTGGTGCTGAGCCCTGAACTTAAACTCACATGCTGGAATTCATGCTCTTGCTATCCACTAACATTAAATAACCATCCTAACATCCACGAGGGCCTTTTAGCTTGAATTATTCAAAAGCTTCCTACAAACTCTTGCAGGAGATCTTCAACACACGTGAAGCTTTAAACTGGTTCAACCCTTCCTAGTTAAGTTTCTTCAGTCAGCATTTTAATAATACTTATAATAATAAGTTAATTTAGCTAAACAGTTTACTTCACTCAATATCAGGTATTTATGTCTACACTAAAGGGCTAGTTATATCAGTTTTTCAGAAGTGAACATTCAGTTAGCACCCAGGCTAGCCGAAGCTAATAAGCGGCCTAAAGGTGTTTAAGTTAAGTGTTTGAAACTCAGTCTCAACTCATTGTTTTGACACAACTGAGCAAATACAGTTAAAACACTCAAATGAACCCGGAAGCTGCTAATAAACCGGCTTTGAGTTCTAACTTCACATGTGCGGCAGGTTAGCGATGCTAACACACACAAGCTAGCTAACAGTGTCTTAGCATGGCAGCTTTCAATTCAAATTATGAGCAGTATTTCAGTGGAACATGCCGTGGATACTTCTATTACGTAAATGAAAACAATTATTATATTGTCTATTATGTTTAAGTAAGTGACGAACACAAATGCACATATTATTATCATTTTAAGAGGTTACCGTACTGCTGCTATTAACAGTGTAGCGTGGTTTTAAATAAACAAACGACTTTGACAGCGAATAATTACAGGATATTACGAACATAAAGTAGAAAAGTGCGATTTTAACGTCTAGTGTTTAAGCGTGCGACGTAGGTAGATGAAAAAAAACAAGTGTTTTCGCTCTCTGTTAAAAAGGACCCGAATAAAACATGTATCGTCAACTAAACATCCGAAATAACCATCTCTCGCGGTCCGAAAGGGACAGAAGAAAATGATGATGTTACACTTACCTTTGGGTCCGACATTGTTTTAGCAGATGTTTGAAGATTTAGGAGAGTTTCTGTCCGCTTTGACCAGTGCGAGCTCGTGAGATTTCACTCCGATACTTTCGCGCGCGCCTAACCGGAGAAGAGACGGTGACGTCAGCGCAATGCGCGACGTCAACGCGTGCTTCGACTACGCACAATATAATTCTGAAGGGGTCTTCATATGTTATTTAGGTCTTGTGATATCTCTCCGCCTTTATCAGTGTCACCTCCAGATCCAACACAGATTCCGTTAGGTAAAGTCTGTTTCTCTACCTATAAAGCTTCAAATTCCAAAATTAGATCTTTGTTTCAGGCGGACCTAGTCTCTATTTCTTCTGCTTCCTTCTATTGGAATAATTTTGACCTTAACTTAGACTGGGGAAAAGTCTGGTCCCTACCCCAGAAGCTTCTTTTAACTAACAAAATTAAAGAAGTTTCATTCAAGTTACTACACAGGTTTTACCCCACAAATGTTTGCTTAAATAAGTTTAAGAATGACATTGATATAAAATGCTCCTTTTGTGGTTTACATTCTGAAACTATATCACATTTATTTTGGTCTTGTGAATTCACATATAAGCTCTGGAAAGACTTAAATTCATTTATAGTTGAAAATATTCTTCCTGAGTTCTCCCTGTAATACAAAAATGTAATTTTTGGTTGCTTTAATAACTGTGGGAAGGACAGTAGTGCACTCTTTCTAGTAAACCTAATCTTATTCGTTGCCAAATTCCATATCCATAAGTGTAAATTCAGTAATAAAAAGCCTCTTTTTTCTGTGCTAAAAGCTGAAATGGAACAGTATATTTCTACTATCTCTTCTTTGCAAAACAAAAAAGCTGTTAAAACTGTGGTTATTTGTTCTACTTTTAATGTGTTTATGTGATTAAATGTTTTTTTTATTATTTATTTATTTATTTTACTTTTTTTACTTTTTTACTTTAACTGTACTGTTGATTATTTTTTGACATTTTTTATTATTTATCTTAATTTTTTGCTACTTTGATTGTAATGCTCTTTACGTTTAATAAAAATATATATATATATATATATATATATATATATATATATATATATATATAATTCTGAAGCTCCAGACCCAGTTGATGCGAATAGATGTTGTTATTGTGTTGTTTGTTTCTTTATAATTGTATCAAGTAGGCTACATATGCCTTGATTTTCTTGGCTTTGGCATTGAGAAGCTTTTCCTTTCTAACAAGAAGATGATAGGTGATTACATTTAACTTCCATGATGATCACACTGTAAAGTTGTATGGTCCTGGGATTTTCCTTCATCGTCCTGCAGAGTACCTGCAAATGCACATTTAGAGCCCTGCAATGCAGTGGCTTTGACATTTATTATAGAAGAGTGAAACTACAGTATGTTAACCTCAGAGTTCTGACATTTCTGTCTGATCATGTGACTATTTGGCATAATTAAATTGATCTATTCCTGAAATTACTATTGTGTGAATAATACAGGAGAATGTTGACACTGTTACATTGTGCTTAAAACAGGTTACAGGTGCTTTAAAACCACTGACATTTTATATTTCATATTTCATATTTCATTCATATATAAGTAACATAGTAGCCTACACTGATATTTTTAAATCAAGGCACATGTGAGGATGGATTACTGGGGGTCAAGCAAATGTGGGTTCCAACAAGTAACAAAATTGAACCTTTCTGCATACCATAGAAGCACATTTTCAGTTTGTATTGTAGCCTTTTGGATAGTCTTCTTTTTATTATGTAAAAGTAGACAACAAATAACATTTTTATTGTGTTTTTATTTTTAAACTTTAAATGTATGTTTAAGGGTACATGTATAGCCTATAACTAATCCACTAATTTATCTGGGCTATTTATTTATATTAGTATTGCACAATTCCTGCAGTGACAAAAAAAAAAAAATATATATATAAACACTTAAAAAAAAACACTTAATAATTTGAAAGCAATGCTGTGACTGTTTGAAATGAATTTACATGAAAATAAAGAAACTCATAGTTTGTCCCAATAGAGGTGTCCTTTGCTTGCCACTAATTAATACTTTAAAATAACCTGAATCAATTTTGGGAGCTTGCATGGCCTCTCTTTGAACTCCAGGGGCCTGTAGTCTGTACCATGATTGTAGTTGAACAAACTCAGGGTTGCAGGATTAGTTTCGAGTTCAATCCAACCAGGCTTTGTTGGTACCACGATGCTGATCATCAACTTTCTCTGTCAACTCAGGCTTTGATCCTGAGATTTGGAGTTTTGGTGTGACATCAGTAGCGGACAGCCAATCACATGCTGAGAAAGAGTGAAACTCATTCAAAACTTATTGAAATTAATTTCTCCTGAGAGAAGCAGCGCAATTCACTTATTAAATAAAAGTATTAACATATTAAGGATTTAAACAAATTTACACAGCAAGAAGAAAATAGCTGTCTAAGAGGACAACTAAAAGAAAAGGACTTGCTATTTTACTCCAAGTAAAAGTTGTGAAGTTAGTTTATACAGACTTGAACATTTAAGTTCACACGTAGTTATTTTATAGCTTCATTTATTGATTCTATTTATATTACCTTTTTTATATACGAAGAGTTCAGATGCAAAAGCCTCTAAATGCCATTTGAAATTTTCTTCTAGAATGATGATTTTTATCAAACTTGTATATTTAAGTTCAGTAATTTCACTTAAATGGCAATGATAATTACCTATTAATTGTTATTTAAGTGAAATTACTGAACTTAAATATACAAGTTTGATAAAAATCATCATTAAAGAAGAAAATTTCAAATGGCATTTAGAGGCTTTTGCATCTGAACTCTTCATACATATTCATTCAAAATCTGTGTAATAATAATTGATGAACTGAAATTGTACATTTGAGATTTTTTTAAGGGTATAATAATTACATAATTTCTAAATCAAATGTATTATTTTAAATAAGCATTACTAAAAGCCAGATAATTTTGTCTTTAAAAATCATTTGCTATGTATTGACCTTTAATTTGGAGTAGAAACAGGTGGTCACGTCATACATGTTTCACTTTGCTCACAGCTGATTGCTCCAAGTTTGATTTGCAACCTCTTGCCTGGAACATAACCTGCGCTGGACTAGGTTAGCCGTGGAGTGCAAGTTACTATGGCGATGAACACTGCTAAAAGCCAAACCAGTTTCATGGTGACTAAAACCCAGGGTTGGTGATGTAAACTAAACTGAAACATACCTGGCTAGCCACCAAAACCGTCTTCATGATATAGGCCCTAAGGTTTGTGTTACTTGTCTTGAACAATGCACAATAAAACTAGAATGCATTCTGCACCTTCTTAGAAAGTTATGTGACAAACTGAAACAAAAATCTCAAGAAATGAAGCCGGATGCCAATGTGATTATTTCCCCAAGGTTGTGAAGAAATCCAGACAGGAGCCAAACAGTGAGAGCTGAAGAGGAACCTCTGCATTAACTGAGCAACATTTGGTAAAGCAGAATATACACAAAAGGAGCTTTACAGATCAGAAAGAGAAACTGCGCATAATAACCGATTCAAATTTTGCACTAAACAATGAAACAAACTTTGTGCAATTTCTATAAATCTAGGCAGAATGGTTATTCAGAACTCCCTGAATTCTACATACTATAATTAAAAAAAAAAAAAGTCGTAATGCAGTTTTTAACAAATTTTGCGCCTTGTGATGCCCTAGAGCTCAGGTTGTAATATATTTTATTATTTATTATTATTTGTAATGCATATTCAGAATAAAAATAAATATTTATTAGTCATGATCGGAATGTGCTTATCATTTTCCATTAATAAAAAAAATAGGAATGTTGCTGCCTTACCATTGAATACAAAAATAAATCCATCTGTTATCTCTCTACTAATATATACTATTTTCTAATATCTCAACAACAAATTAATACTGTACCGGTCTCATAATAATACGACCATTGCTAACTACACCACCTTTTTCATGTTAAAGGCTACTAAAACTCACCATGCTGTTTAACTGGTTTCATGCTGGTGAATAACATTGCCTAATGCTAATAAAAAAAGGGCCATTTTGAGATACTATTATAATGCATTCAAGTCAAGTAAATGTTTCTGCATGCCAACGCCCAAAAAGCTAGTTTGTGTCCACAAATGTCTGAGGAGGCAGTGGGGGGTTGAGCTTAATTGGCATGAAACACTGGAGGTATTTTCACTTAATCTACACAAGCTTGATTTTTAATATGTTGTAAGTGAATGTATTTTATTGATCATACACAAAACATACAGGCGCAAACCTTGGCATTGCTTCTCAAGTATCCCTTGGCAAATTACAGTCAAACACTGGTTTCGCCTGCAAGTCACAGAGTTTAATCAATTTTAAAATATACATAAACAACATTTTTTATTATTTTAAATACCCCAAATTTCCCTCCCGTTCCCATTTTCTTTCCCCTCCCTCTGCAATCTTTTCCCTTCATCCTAGCAGAGGGCACCTACTACCTCCACAAAAATTAAATCACTCTAGTTGTGCAGCATATTGCTTTTTTTCTTTTTTAAGACATTTGCGAACATAAATACTACAGTTTGTTTTCTGCTCTGATGTTGGACTGTTCAGAAGAAGTTGAAACCACAATGTCCTACAAACTGCCCTTCCAAAACCAGAAAATGTCCAAAATACTGAGGTCTATCCAGATACCGAATTGGATGCACTTTCAGTCCTCTGTTCTGCTGGTCTCTTTCTTTCTAGAACTTTCTAATCCCCTCCAATGGGCAAGTTACTGGTGGTGTCCATTGTTCCCCAGTCTCTTTTTCCATATTATATGCTTCCACGTCCATCATACCTCTTTGTACATCCAATCAGTCCTCTTTAGTCGAGGAAGTCCTTATCTACTGATGGCCCCCAACATTTTAGACCGGGTTGGTGGGCATGTTTACGACCGGTCCACAGTGGGCAGGTGCAGGCAGAGTGAAGGGCAAAGCTTAACTGTTTAACGGCACTAGAGGAAAACTCAATTTAGTCACAAGGCATGCATGTTACACACTCAGTTCTAGAGTTTGCCCTCAAGAGGGTGTGATATCTGTGTGTATGTACATACATTTGTCTGCGTATGCATGTATGAGTGCAAGTGTGTCTGTGTTCAAGTGTACAGGGGTCTCTTGTCTTGCAGTCTTTATTAATGCGGTCCTTCTGCCCCACTGTAGCAGGGCATCCCAATCTCACACTCTGGGGGAGTATTTGGGGTTTCTTGGCACCTCGGTGAAAGATTTCAGCTCGTAAGGAATCCCAGTGTCCACCTCGATGGACTTGCGGGAGAATAGCAGCCGGATATCATTGTGCAAGTAGATTTTCCCAGATTTGGAACTCTGGAATCTGAGATGTGCAAACACAGAGGAGAGGAGAAACAGGTTTATTATGCTTCATTTGCCACTTATTAGAGGTAAATAACCAACTAATTACTTTTATGATTCTCTTTAAATAGAATATGTTGAAAGGAGTGGTTGATTATGATTTGTTTGAGCATAAACAACATCTGCAAAGTTACGACGCTCAAAGTTTAAAGCAAAGGAAGATATTTTCTTTTAAAGAAATAGCTTTTTAAGGACTACAACAAACGGCTGGTAGGGACTACACGACATTCCTCCTGGATTAGTGACATCACTAACCCTAAAATTTACATAAACCCTACCCCCGGGAACACGATTTATAGACAACTTATAGAAGACAGAACTTGCTAATTAATGACTAGAAGATAGTTAACTAGAAGATAATAAATGCATCCTTGGTGAGCAAAAGAGACTTCTTTCAAAACCCGTACCAACCTTAAACGTTTGAACAATAGTGTACATCCTGTCAGCATTTACCTGAGGTGTATCAAGTAGCAGAGAATCTTCTTCCTGTCAGACAACGAGCCCTCCTGCCCCTCCACCTCATCCACAGGCACCAGGAAGATACGATGGCGCAAGAAGGTCATGTGATTAACGGGCATGTCCCCAAAATTATACGTCACCAAAAACATTTTAACCACAGTCTTATTGGGGTTAAATAAGGTCTGCAAAAAGACAACCAAAAAAATCAAATAAATAAAGGTTACATGTAAAAGAAAAAAAAGAATTTTATATATATATATATATATATGCAAAACTATTAATTATAATATATAATATTCATAATAAATGGAAATAAATAGACAGAGAGCCCACCACTTGAATGGTCCCTGCTTTGGGTACGCTGTATCCTTTTTTTCCAAGTGGTTCTAGCAAGATCACCCCCTAAACATGGCAAATAAATATGACATTTAATATGCATTTTACAAAGGAGATTTAGATGTAAATTATGGGAGTCAATCAACAGATAAATCAACTGATTAAAAAATAAAAAAAAACCTCTGAATTCACTAGGCTAGGTGCATGCTCCTTTTAAAGGGGTGATGAACTGAGAAATCAAATTTTCCTTGAGCTTTTGACATCTAAGAGGTTATCAATTATCATATTATAAGAATATCCTGCAAGTTTCAGAACACAAAACGTTCTTGTTAGTCCAAAAAAAAGCTTTTATTGACACCAGCCTCAGCAAACGACTCGTTTTTCAAAGTGGGGACTATGACGACAAAGAGGATAAAACACCACCCTCCCAGAAGATGATCAACGCCTACTTCAACACGACCATTTTAGCCCCGCCCACCGATTCGTGCATTACACGCATAGCTAAATAACATAGGCCTACCTCGTGATGACAAACTGGATCAAGCTACCGAGCAATAGACATGCCGTTTACAAAATATTGTACAGTGCCTGGTTGTGGAAGAAGACAGTCGCTGCATAAGCTTCTGGATTCCAATAGGACAGCATGGTTAAACTTTATTTTTAATGACGTTCCAGCTGATGTGTGTAAAATATTGTCCGTTTGTTCGGTTCATTTTACTGAGGATTGTTTTGTAAACAAGACACAGGTCGAGACTGGATTTGCAGACTGATTAAGGTTAAAAAAACGGTGCTGTGCCTTCTATATTGGATCCGGACCCTGGATCGAACATGTATGGGCGAATCATTCCGGTTGCCTTTTTACAACATTGGATGTTTTCAAAACAATTTCCCCCACATGCACTGACGGGTGAGTTGAAACTCATAGTCATAATATGCAAAACTGTTATCGACTCACAGCAGTGGGCGTTTACTTCCAAGTCTTCAATGCGAGACGCCCATAAAAACCGAGCTAGGCTCAAAACTAGGGTATAAAATAGCCTGTTACCAATTCATTTTGATGTTTTTGAATGTAAAAAACTAAACGAACGTCATAAGTTGACCTCAGACAACAATATAAAAAAAAGTAAAAAGCCAGTTCATGACCCCTTTAATACATGGGCTGTAAAAGAATCATCTATAATTCAACATGCAAAGGTAGTAAGTATATACCAGGAAGGGAGACGGGGCACTGTGCTCTGAGGTGTCATAGTAAGTCACTTGCACAGGCAAGGTTGCATGCTGTGGGCAATAGGAGCCGCTAGCCCCGATCTCTGCTGTGAAGCCCTCGATCCGCCCAGATGGAGTAAAACGGCCCTTCAGAATTGACTCCTTCAGACAAATGCACAAACAAAACCCAATCAGAAATGCATTAAACACAACTTTTAAAATCTTTACACATTTTAAAACAAACTAAAATGTGGGCATCATTCTTGCCGGAAAAAAAACGGGCATTATACTAAACGACTGAGGATCACACACTACCAGATGTTCAAGTCATTCCAAACACAAACAGAAACATGCTCCTTTTAGGAGACGCATGACAAATGAAAATAATATGTTCTAAAATCAGCTCAAGATATCCAACATGTTTAATATCCTCCGACTGGGTGAAATCATAGTCTGAAGCTTTCAAGAATAAAAATATTGGAGTCTGTGCCCATCATACACTGCTATTTTCAAAAGAATGTGTCCAACTGCCCATAACCTATATTCATTTAGTATTTTATTTATTAGCTTAGTGTACCTCAAAGTTGCCAAGAAGAGGTCTGCTAATGGAGGATAAAGAGGAGACTGAACTACAGGAGCGACTGGTGTCTGTTCTGCGTCCACTGCGCAACTGTCGACTATAACAAAAAGTAACACACATTTTTTTATTAATATTATCAAATATTTTTTTTGAGACAAAGAAAAAAAGACGACTTACGATTTGAGTCGACTCCCTGCTTTGAGCCTTCTACTTGATCGCGAACAGTCTGTAGCAGTCTGAAAAGGAAGTTTAAAAAAGATGTTACAACTAATACCATGTTTAAATTCAATAATCTGTTTAACTAATGTTGAGTCCCATTGTTTTATCAAATAAAAACAGGCTGCTGATATACGTCTAACTAGATTTAAATCTCCTCAATCTCATAAAAAGAAAAGTGTTTGAGAGATTGGAAAGATGACATTGTGAAAAGTCAAACATTGTAATATCAATGGGAGATTTCAAACAAGCAAAAAAAAACAAAAAGAGACTGCAAGTACTTACAGATGAAGATGTAGCTGCAATATCACAGTAGTCCATAATATCATTCTGATAATAGTTATTAAATATCAGCTAGACTTAACTATAGACAGTGTATAAAACTTGTACATTTTCAGATAGTCTGCTCGTTTATTTCAGTCTATTTATCTCTGTTTCTCTATACTAAACCTCTGTTCGCTCCTTTCTCTTTGTGATTGTCTCTTCGTTGGCCTGTTTTTATGATCATTTCTCTGTCCTTCACTTTCTCTTTTATTCTTCCCTTCTTGTCCTCTCTTCAGTCCTGAGCTCAGCCTTCAAACACTGACACTGTCGTGATGAAAGTATATGAGCCTATGTAGTCCTATGTAGTCCCTTTCACCCAAATTCGCTCATTCTGGAACTGAATTTGGCCAGAACCTGTATGTGTATATGGTTTAGGTCAGGTGAGGCAGGTCTCACCTCTTGAACAATGGCTCTGTCAATGGGCTTTGTTCTGGAGTCCCAATGCTTATTGTGCCGCAATGGAAAATTAAACACACACATAGTCTAAAATCTCTCACTTTCTCACTCCCTAATGTCTTTTATCCATCTGACTTATCACCTTTTATCATGACTCTGTCAGTAATAGGTAGTAGATTATTCCTGCCCCTTTTACAATTACGCATCGCCTAGAAAACGTTTCTCCATCTCCATTCCTATTTGTAATCATTCATAATGTGGAAACATCTGGTATGTTTTTTCCCCCTTAAATTACAGCTTTTACACATGACTCACAGTCACTGCGTCTCTCACAATGTGGCACTTTTATCTTAACATGAAAAGCATTGCAAACACTCGTCACAGATGATTGTACTTTGAATTTCTAATGATTTTATGCTCTGAATGCCATGATATGCACTTTGTTTTCCATCTTGCTTTATGAATTATATTAATGTGCTTTAATAATTGGCTACACATTGAGTTGGAGATGTCATAATTTAGTCTTCAAAGTTAGCTCAAAAATGCATTATGTGGTAGGATGCCAAATGGGAGACTAGAGACCGTTCTGTTTTTCCAATGGAAGTGAAAAACTGTAAAACATCTTTAATATTTAAAATAACTTTTCTATTTGACTATATTATACAATGTAAATTGCTTATACTGAATATTGAATATACTGATTTGGCGTTCAAGAATGATTTCTTATTAATATCCAGCGCAGTCTCATCCCAAGACGTCATTCAACAACGTCAACATCCGCCGTTTTAGGGTACACGCCCCAGGATCGTCATCTAACTGACGTTAAAGGGCAAAAACGGCGGATGTTGACGTATGGTCAAAAGCGTCAGTTGAATGACGTCTTGGGATGAGACGGTGTTATATCATCAATTTTGAAAATGTTGTATTTTTGTGTATTTTTTTCCTCATTCTTTCATTTTAAAGATGTAAGGGTCTTTATATATTTGGATTACGAGGCGGAAATAATCTAAGCTGGTGGTTAAAATGTAAGTTTGTACATCTAGCTGCATTGTAAAGTCATGTGGAAGGGCCTTCAACTTAATTTCTAGTTATTTGCATCTCACCTTGGTGTGCTCTCTTGCTGAGGGTAGTAGATGATTCCAGAAGGGTGCACCCTTGGCATCAGTGCTGCGACAGGACGCTAATCCGAGCCCTGGTGCCAACAGTGCCAGCCTGCTGCGTTTTGATGTGGATGGACCCTCATCCTCCGAGCAGGACTCTCCTGTATCACTAAAGGAGAGAAGTCTTTTCTTCACTGGACAGGAATTGGATGATCCTGGTATCTGGCTATTTTCTTCCCCTGGTGTTTTCTCAAGAGAGCTCAGTCCGTTAGAGGAGGAAGAGGAGGAGGTCTTTGTCTCCAATGGTGGAGGAGAAGATTCGAAAGTTGCCCCCCATTCAACAGCTTCAGCGGGTGTTGAAAATGGGACAGGTGCCCAACTGCTCTCTTTGGCACACAACATGCTCTTGACGTCCACAGAGTTGTGGCCTTCGTTCTGTGGCTCTTCGCTGGAGCCAGCCGGGACGTTTCCTGCTGTGGAGGCCTCGGTCCTGGGAGTACGGGTAGGAGGACTCCCCTCGCAGTGACCCCAGGTGGAGTGAGGGTCCACCATTGGAGGAGATTTTGGGGACAGCGGGGCGAAGACGTCCGGGATAGGCCTGTCGTGGTTGTGCTGGGCTGGGCGGCGACCAGGAATTGGTGGATGCGAAGGGGAAAGGGGAGGAGACCTAGGGATTTCTGAGTCTCTGTGCTCAAGGAACGAGTTGTAAAAAAGTGGATCCACCCCAGACCCACACAGCACCCCCCCATCGGACTCGTCATCGTCATCATCATCTTTTTGGAAAAGACGCTTGTGGGCGACAGGGGCCGACGTCCCCTCTAGGCTACGTTTCATGCCTACTCTGATGGGTCGCAGAGTCTCTTGATTTTCTCCAAAACCACCTCTTTGTGAGAGAATGGACAGCTGGTAGACCTTCTGCAGTCTGATCTCCTCTTCTCCAAAAGGTCTGGGAACTACTCGACGTAGTCCAGGTTCAGGGCTCTCGCTCCGAGTGCTAGGCAGAGGCAGATCGCCATCCTGGGCTGGAAGCTCTACGGCCGGCTCTTTACGAGCCAGTTCCACGTGGATGTGACGCATAGTGACTTTGCTTGTGCTGGGTGATTGTTTCAAGGGAAGTTGTGCAGTGTTAAATAATAAAGACACAAGCTCTAGAGAGTTCTAGAATGTCCAAACAAGTGCAACAAGGCTGTGAAAGTGAAAGTAAGCTTCCCGTCTAGGTGGATGGAAGGCTGTAGTTTCCAAGGGTCAGTTATGGAGTTAGCACAAGCTGATTTCCACAGTGCACACTGCTTCTGAAGTACAACAAACAGGTATATACAAGCATAAGCAAATTGATATGAAACACATATAAATAGTACACTGAAAATAACCAGCTCATATGTTCATGAGCTCACCAACTCATTTTTTAATCCATTTGAGAAGAGTCTTTTCACCCATTGATTGAATTATTTCAGGTCTACACCACCCCTTTCCATCCAATGGACATTTCATTTGGATTCCAACTGAGCCATCAGATTACTAATGGGTTATTTAGGTGCATGAAATGTAGCTATTGTCATTTAGACAGTTAGTCGGCCGCTAATTACACTAAATATGTTTTTTATACGTTAATACATTTAGGAATCAGACCATCTATTTACGCTGTATGGTTTTGATTCACTAAAAAGAACCGGCTCATATGAGTCAACTTTTGTTTTTGCTAGTTGTCCACAAGGACAATGCATTGCCATTATTTCTTGGCACACAGGTTTTTTTTTTTTAATCTCAAATCACATTCAATACAATCTGAAAAATCGCATTCACAACTAAAGGGAGAGTAACAAAAAGGGAGTGTCACAGCTGGTGCAGGAAACACTGTCATAAAATACATTTATACAAATAAATGTGCGCATGACCATTTTCCTAACCTACGTGCCTGTTGGAGCCTGCAGCTTGGCTTCAGACCCTTCTACATCCACCCCTGCAGCTTCTAAGTTGTGTTGACCCTTGAATCTTGACCCTGTCCTTAGCCCCTGAATTCGCCCATCTCCAAAACTGCCCCTCTGATGCAAAAACAGCATTCCCAGACACACAGGCAGCTAACAGGGGCCTGACAAAAGAGAAAATGTCAAAGAGACAATGAAGTTTATACAGTACAGAGACATAAAAAACACTTTTATGTATCAGAGCTATTAAAACGCTCAAGAAACACCTAACATTTGGACTACTAAACTTTGACGACAGAGCAAACCTGCTAAACAATTACTTTGGTAACAGTAATCACAGGCTTCACACGGTCATTCCACTTCCGGTTATTTGTGCATCCGATTGGAAACTGTTCACACCGCATCACGACTGTCCAGATACGATTCGTTTCTGCAACGTATTTCAGCATGACGTCTGCAGTTTACGTTTTATGTGGCGTGAGAACGTCGCATAAACATAGGCAGAAAAGATACATGAAATTGTATCAGACTGAAAAACATTTCCATAAATATGATTTGAATAGGATTTCAAACCACTTTTGAATGTAGCTTAAAACAGATTTGTAAAAACTGTATTTCATGGATGTTTTTTTTGTTGCCATTTACACATGCTAAATATGATCAGATTCCAATTGGTTATGCACAAAAACAGATTTGGAGTCTGAACAGGGCTATAGTACATTTAGTTTACTTACCAAGGGCAGAGCGTCAGTGAGGTGGGAGGGGCCTTGCAGAACGTGCCAATGAATAGATAATATCTCTCCTACAGCTCCAGCCAGATAAGGCCAGCGGCCAATCACGCCTCCCCTTGGCTCCTGAAAGGAGTGAACTGCTCAGCGGCTGCATCCTGAGCCAGGCATTCCAGAGACACAACCTGTCAGAGAACAATGGTTAAATGGAAAACTAAAACAGTAACCATCCCACCGTTCAACCTGCACATGATCCGAATCAGTCATTGTAAACCGATTTTAAAGTCCTTTTTTTTTTGTTAAATTCCTGTCAATACATGCACTGGTGAGGTTAGATGTCAAAGCTCATATTGATCAGTCATCTAGATTTAAATTACAAAAGACATTGTTTTACTGGTCAATAAATCAATCAAACAAATCACACGAACAGGGAAGAGACACAAAGAGCAATCATATGACTCACTAAACTTATTTTATGCCATCTGATTAGGACACATGCTTGAACAGACTGTACTACATTGCTCTGACTGGCTCACTGTCTCTAGAGCTCAGGCCTGTCTGGGATCAAGACTGGCAGACAAAACACGGAGACGCACAACAGAACCTTTGTACCGTCTTGCATCAGAGAACGAGCAGTCTTGCTCATTAAAAAGACAAAAACAGGAACATAAGCACTAGCCCTAAGTAAAGGCTTTTGGAAAAACACGATATAAGTGAGCATTATCAACTGAAGCTTAGCTAAATGGATGTAGTCTGAATGCACTCTAGCTGAAGGAATCTTTTTGTCCTTCTTTTTTCAGAAGCGCAGTGAATTCACCAAAAAATGAAAATTCTGTTATTTAAATCTCACTCATGTTGTTCTGAATCTGTAGGCCTCCATCTATGGAACACACACAAAAAAACTATTTTGAAGAATGTTTTAGATTTTGTTATTTTTGAACAAACTATTCCTATATATGGGTCGAATGTGGGCCATTATTTACTCCTCTGTCTCGTGATCATATATATGTATGGTTAAGCTGCTTTCAAATTAGCCGTCTTAAGGATGTATACATCATATACAGAGAATGACAAATCCACTGCATTATGAAAATCATAATCTGCTTGTCAGTTAAAGGCACTAAAAATTATGAATACCGCGATAGTGAAAAGGGACCTAATTATGCACTTCACATCAGTAGCGAGGCCAGAAATTTTGAAGTGAGTGGACCTTAGTGAAATAGGAATGACCTCAATTGTGCACCACTTGGTCGCAATCTGGACTTGGCGTTTTTTTGTTGTGCACAGGCAGTTCATCGAGTGTAGATTGTAGACCGGTAGGTTGATTTCTGAAGGATGGGCTCTGGGTTGTTTTAATTATTACTTACTATGTTACCAATCTAATGTTTGCTGATTAATATGCATGTCGACATGGTGATACACTTTTTTCAGGATTCTATTGATCAACTGTACAGTGTTTATTTGAAACAGAAATATGTTGTAGCATTATAAATCTGTCACATCTATTAAATCAATCCTCGCTGAATAAATGGTTTAATTTTTAATTACATTTTTCAAAAAACTAAAATTTCTTACTGACCTCAAATTTTTTGAACAGTGGTGTGACATATCTTGCCATGCACTGAGCACCCTCTAATGAAGCACAAGTATGTTAGTCTGATGGCTATAAAAGTACAAAATATATATATAAAAAAAGACAGAATGTTGAGGATTTGGCCTTTCCAAGAGAAGCATTTGCATTACACTGCTTGAATTAAGTATTTAGTGGCCTCGCAAGGGAGGAGCTTACGCTCTAAAAAAGTCTTTAAAAATAGGGCACAATGTACTGTGTTAAAATGAAGGAATTTTCCATATCGATTTTGAATTACAGGTTAGGTTTTAGCCTAGGGTTAACGGATAATGGCCTGGCAGAAAATGACGAGTACCTTTTCTGGTTTTTAATGGATATTTTTCTTTTCTTATAGTGGTGGCAGTATGTTCCTGAGCGTTTTTGAGTTCACTAGTAAAATATAGGCCTTAAAATATTGGCCTATGTGGCCAATTTAATTAGACCATGGAGAGATACAAGGAGATAGAGACAGAAATAAATACTGAAGGAGAGTGTTTTTGTGAGGTCACACAGCATAACTTGGGCTTGAGGGTATTTTAGGCATCGCTTTGACAAACGGCTAACGGTGCAGACCTCACCTCACAGTGACATAAGATCTGAAATAACTTTCAAAAGGTCCAGACGGGGCATAGAGGACACTTAAAAACACTATCTGTAACCAAACAGCATTCCAGGACCTGATTCAAAACCAGACAGATACAAAAACAATGTAAATAGCTGAAAACAACCAATAAAAATAACTGAAAACACATTTCAGTTCAGTAAGACATACTTTTTCAGTTCCCACAAAAATATTAAGCAGCCTTATTGTTTTCAACAAACTCAGCATGTTAGAATGATTTCTGGACTATCATGCGACACTGAAGACTTCTTTCAAATACATTTTTAAAGCATTTTGAAAGGTAGTGTATATAGAGTTTTGAGAGATTTGGGTTATACAAAAGTCTTTTTTTTCCAGAGTTGGCCAAGCATATGGTGGTCTGTTACACATGATGTAAGACCTTCAGAGCGTTGCTGTGAATCTTACGTCTCAGCATGAATAGAAGCCTAAACCCCAGGTCAAATACAGCTGACAAGACACACACCAGCTAACACACTGGTGTTACACACACCAACAAACAGAGAGAAGGATGAGAAATGTAAAGTGTGTTTATTCAAAGCAAACGATGCCAGTGATATGACTATTTTACATACTAATTTTACTAGTAATTATAATATTAATTGCCATCAACGACTGCATGATTTCCTTCTCAGCTAGTCCTATTCCTGAACGTCTCTAGATATGGTTGCATTTACAAATCTAGTAATTCCATTGTAATGAATTGTATTCCAGCCAGGTTATAATAACAATTCAAGGACACACTGAGAGTTAAGTTTATCCACACTGCCTGTTAAAGAAAAAAGCAAGAATGTTCATCCCCACCCCCAGAGAATTCAATACAGAGTGGAAGAAAATAGATAGCGAAACCAAACAACCATTGGGTAGCTTTCAGCTTTATGGTGTTTTTTGGGTTACTAGGTATCATTTGGGGAAAAAGAAGTTGGCCAAGAATTAGTCAAGTCAATTTAATTTGTGTAATGCCTTTCATAATACAGCTAGTTTCAGAGCAGAAAATAGTGTCTTAAAGGAGTAGTTCACTTTTCAAAAAACTTTTGCTGATAATTTACTCACCCCCATGTCATCCAAGATGTCCATTTCTTTCTTTCTTCAGTCAAAAAGAAATGAAGGTTTTTGATCAAAACATTCCAGCATTTTTCTCTATAATATATAATGCACTTCAGTGGGAACCAAAACGGTTCAAGGTCCAAAAGACACTTTCAGTACAAACTGCAAACTGTTCAAAGGACTTTAAACAATTCCAGACGATGAATAAGGGTCTCATCAAGCGAAACAATCGCTCATTTAAAAAAAGAATAACAAAGTTTAAGTTTTATAAGCTCAAATGCTCGCCTTGCTCTGTTCTGCAATGCACGTTTGTGACTCTCCTGTTCGAACTCGTTCATCAAAATGAGCGAATCTTTTTCAGAGTCAATTCGTTCGTTTCATTCGTTGAATGAACCAAATGACTCAGAAAAAGATTTGTTCATTTTGACATGGACATAATAACATGGATATCTTGGATTACATGGCGGTGAGTAAATTATCAGCAAAAGTTTTTTCAAAAGTGAACTACTCCTTTAATGCCCTTAGTGAGAAACTGAGCAATGGAAAACCTCCATAAGATGATTAGGAGAAAATGAAGGGGATGTTAAGAACAAAATAATTTTATATTAATCAAAATGCAATAGAAGACATCTGTGTTCTTCAGCTGCACGTATGTTTGTGATGATTATGAAGTGGTAGCTGATGGCTATAGAATGAAGCAAAAATATTTCCTTCTTCACATTCTAGTTTCTCAGTTTCAGGAACAAGGCAATGACACAGATAAGAAATGGAAGGACTCATAGAAACCAAGGGAAACTTTATGACTAAACAATCAAAAATTACACTGGAGCTTCATTTCAAACATTGTTTCCATGGTTGACCTGAGTCCAAACAACATTCTGGGAAAACATGCTTTATTAAACAAGCCATTCTCCCTATAGAGCCACCATGGAGCTTGTTTATCATAGCTATGAGCCCGATATAGCTAGTTTAGCTCCATATTTATGGATGCCATCTCATCTAGCTTCAACCTGCCAAGAAAGTATTCCATTTTTTGTCTTTTATGGAAGCATGGAAGTATTCTCAAAAAAACAATTCTTGATTCAGTCAAGCTAAAATACAGCTGAAAGAGTTTATTCCCTCACTGAATCGCATCAACATAAATAAGGCATGCAGTAAAAACAGTAAAAACCATGAATGCTTTCTCACCATGCATGTGAGAGAGTGAGTCACTGAGAAAGAACATCTCATGGGTGTGAGTGTAGATCTCTACCCTTAAGGTACAGTGATGATGTGTGCAGCCTTGAGGTTTCTGCAAAACACCTGGCTTTTATAACGGAGGAAGCCACTAAATGTCATTACAGACTACAACAGGAACAAAGACTCACAAGCACACCTCTAACTAAGCGTATCTCTCCACAACTAAAAGCCTGTCAGTTTGCAAAACCAATAGCTGAAGTATTATCTCTAGATAGCACGGGGCATGATGCCATGGATTCATTCTGTGGATTGACAGATATGACATGACAAAAAGAAAAAGCATGAGACAGCTTTTTTCTTCTTTAAGGGTCTCTACGAAACTACTTCCTTTTCCACTTTCAACACTTCCCATGTTCATAAATGGGTGGTTGACCAATGACATATACAGCAAAATAAAAATGTGGTTCAAATCCACATTCACTTTAAAAGCATAATTTATAAAGGAGTAGTTCACTTTTAAAAAAAAAACTTTTGCAGATAATTTACTCACCCCCATGTCATCCAAGATGTCCATGTCTTTCTTTCTTCAGTCGAAAAGAAATTAAGGTTTTTGATGAAAACAGTGCAGGATTTTTCTCCATATAATGCACTTTACTGGTAACAAAACGGAACAAATCTTTTTTTGTGTCATTTGGTTCATTCAACGAACGAAATGAACAAATTGACTCGGGAAAAGATTCGTTCATTTTGATGAACGAGTTCGAACAGGAGAGTCACGATCACAGAACAGAGCAAGGCGAACATTTGAGCTTATAAAACTTAAACTTTGTTTTAATTTTTTTAATAAGTAATTGTTTCGCTTGATAAGACCCTTATTCATCATCTGGAATCGTTTAAAGCCCTTTGAACAGTTTGCAGTTTGCACTGAAACTGTCTTTTGGACCTTGAACCGTTTGGTTACCAGTAAAGTTCATTATATGGAGAAAAATGCTGGAATGTTTTCATCAAAAACCTTAATTTCTTTTCGACTGAAGAAAGAATGACATGGACATCTTGGATGAAATGAGGGTGAATTATCCGCAAAAGTTTTTTTTAAAACTGAACTACTCCTTTAAACTAGTCACCATTATTATAAGGCCATAAAATATGAATTCATTGGTTAAAAATAATACTAAAGTCAAACATATCAGACTGCAAGACACTGATACCACTGCAAAAAATGGCAATGACTCATAAACAACCGTAAGCAAACCTTCAGGTTAAAATCAATATGAAGGGAAGCGTAATTTATGCGCTTAAACTGTTTTTCACCATTTTCAAATTTTTAGCTAACAGTTTTTTTGGTACATGACAATTTTTTTTAACTACAAATATATTCTAAATGTAGCATCCCATTAAATACAAGGGCATACAAACTGAATTTATAAGCTATAAATAATACACAGAAAACATGTTGATTAAAATAGTTTTTTGATAAAGTATAACATGAGGTCAATGACTCAAAAAAATGTCAATGACTCATAAACTAAAAAAAAAAAACATAGGTTCTAAATATAATTGGGGTGCCTTAACTAGGTTTTCACTATTTTTACAGCTAGTCTCCAGTTCATTTAAATAGCAAGTGGAGTGACAAATGAACTTTTAAAAGTGGGCCTACGCATATTCAAAATGTAGCCTCTCAATTAATACAAACTACATGAACAATACTTAAGCACAATGTTTACAATAGTTTTAGATGAAGTATGCCACCATGTCAAACTGCTGTCACTGTTTAAACCACCCATAAACAGTGCAGAATTCATGTTAACCTCTTGACTCACCTCTCTAAGAACTCCAGCCCTTTCCTACTGGTCTGTTTCTCCGTCCTCTCTGTCGGTGCTCTAAAGTCGTGGTTGTTCTTGCTTCAAGACTGAGGAGTTGAAAGGTTACTTGCATGGAATGATGAGGGAGTGCAGGCCTTTATTTCTGTTCCTCCCCTGAGAGGAGAGAGAAACATACAAGACTTGAGTCCAATCAAGGTTTCTTGTTCAAGCAGTCTATAAAGGCACATCTCGCCGTTTATGCTCTCCCTGCACTGCTATTCTGGTATGCCCAACTGTGAATCTCTCTTTCCACCCTCCCAAACTCCCCCTCTCTCTCCCTCTTTCAATAACTCACACACAAAACCTCTCTCAGGCTCCCTTTGGCACATGCATATAAACTCTGTAATACTCCCACCCCCCTCCCACCCTACCCCACTTTTCACTTCTAAATCCCCCCACCACCACCACCACCATCTCACACACATCTTTCTCCCCTCGAATAACTTCAAAACAATGAAAGCAGCTTTGGTATACCGCCTTTAGTCCTCCCTCCCTTCTTGTGCTCTCTCTTTCTTGTTAAATTTCTCACCACTTGTTTCTCTCTCAATCCTCTGCTTTGCCTTTCAGCCTACTTCCTCTCAGCTGGTAACTGAAGGCGTGCTCGCTTGCTCAGTCAGCACACAACTCATGTAAGAGTGGGGCTGGCTGTGCTTTCATCTGATTGGTCATAGGGAGGGGGATCAGATGCCACAGCGACTGTCCTGATAGGTGTGAAGGTAAAAGGGAAACCTCAAAAGTCCCGCCCACCTGTTCAGCTTGTTTTGCAGAGGCAATGTATTCCCTCATAGAGCTTCAGTGAGTTATTGTGTGCATAAGTGCCAGTGTGTGTGTGTGTGTCTTCTTGTCTAATAATGGCATTCCAGAGCAACCCAGAGTGTTACTTTGGAGGCAAATATGCCAATGAAGAGATGCAGTTTAATTTTAGGGATACCTTTAAAAGTTTGGGGTCAGACTTTTATCCAGAGGAACACATGAAATTGAAAATAAAGTTACAACAGATTTAGATTTAAAATAAATGCTGTCCGTTTGAACTTTCTGTTATCAAAGAATCCTGAAACAAAGACAGCTTTCAACATTGATGATAATAAGAAAAGTTTCTTGAGCACCAAATCATTTCCGAACATTCGGCGATGCCATCAAGCATTTATATATAACATTTCACAATTACTGTTTTTACTTTATTTTTCCTCAAATAAATGCAGCCTTTATGATATATGTTGTAATGTCCACAAATATAAGCGCAGTTCAGCATTCATACAAATGAGCATGCTTTACTCAAATGCTGTACATTTAAAAAAAGAAAAGAAAAGGGGAAAAGAGCTCAAAGGGGAAGTGCACAACTGAGCGGATACGTTTCTGCATGAAAGTGTGTTATCTGCCCTTGCACAGAAACAGAGATTCTGATGGGTGTGAAGGCATGGGTGTGTGTGTGTTTGTGTAAATGTGTCCGCAGGCAACATGCCACAGACCTCTTTCAAATGCAGGCGCATCTTCCAAATAAGGAGAGGTAATTCCGCATGCACTTAAACGAAAGTATTAGCGCATGCAGACGCAGATTAATTTCATCTCTTTAGATGCAGTGAGGGAGGTATAGGGGGAGGAGGTGGTGCGGAGAGCTTATGCTCAGTGTTTGAGGGTTACTTTGCATATGGGGTTGTAAAAGGGGAAAAGGTGTTACACCAGTCACTGCAGAGATCTAAGATCTAGTGAGCTTAAATTGAAAACATGCCTAGCAGAGAAACACACGCTTCTCCTTTAAGAGCTCATGTTCCGTGCCCATATAAGGAATGCTTGGGGGCGTGGCTTGAGACATGAGCTGGCCTCTGAGAACTCAGATATACAGAGTGAAGCAAAACAGTACACACAAATACAAGAGAACACACTATACACAAATATGCACATACATACACTCAGTGGTGCTTCAGCAGCATAGATTTGGTGTAGGCTATGATGCTGACAAAACACTGTAGTAGGCACTAGGCAGGCAACACTGCTCTCTGTTACATCTTCAAAACAAGTTTTATTGTCTTCCAAATACTTTGCCTGTAGCTATTCTGGATCTGAGCTGAAGCTGGGATCAACTGGACAATAAGGGACTGTTAAAGCTCACAGCTAGGCCTACATTCTAACTCGTACCTTCCTCCACGTTTGAGAGTGCGTTTATATCCCTTTTCAGTCAAAAAAATAAATAAATAAAAATCTCAGTATACTTTACAAAAAGTATCAGTATTTCCAAAAAAATATGAACTTCTTGAGCACCAATTCAGCATATCAGAATGATTTCTGAAGACTGGAGCAATGACTGCTGAAAATTCAGCTTTTCCCTCACAGGAATAATTGGCATTTTAAATATATATTAAAATATAAAACAGATATTTTAAATTGTAACAATATTTCATTATCTAAATGATCAAATAAATGCATAAGAGACTTTTTGTAAAAATAAAATAAATTCTTACTGACCTCAAATTAACAGGAGTGTACATGCAAATTACATATGAACAATAGAAAGGAAAGCATCATTGTATTAATCAAATATGGTTTTTATATTATGTTTTTTCATGTGTTTTGAATATTTGTAAATATTTTTATTTAATTACCGTATTTATTATTTTTATTAAACATTTAATTATTTCTCCCAAGGGAAACTAATATAATTTCCTCCAACTGTTTGAATGGCAACAATGTAAATGTTGTTACAGTACATCAACCAACTACTTGATTAACATAGTGGTTGTGAAGTTTTAAACAAAAAGTCTACACGCAAGGCAAATAAAAGCACTTCAAACCATTGAAGTCCCACAAGACTGACGCTATAATACTCAGCTGTTCAACTTCCTGTTTTCCACTCCAATGAGCCAAGTGAGAACACAAAAGGTGCAATCCTGTGCTCTCTCCACAGATAATGTAAACACACAGTATGCGATTTCTGCTAGTCACACCTTCAATACACTGACTTTTATACTTTATTCACTTTTTATGTTGCACAGAGGTCAGAGAGAGAAAGAGACTCAAGACTACACTCTAGTAAAGCGCAGAATGTTTTAAGAAGAAAAAAATGCAGAGAAACGGTATAGCAATCTTGCACTTGCACAATCTTTGAATGATCAGTGTGTATTACAGATACACATCTTTATAACAAACCCTATCCCAGAGAATGCATGCTATAAATAGATCAATAAAATGATACTACATAACAAAAGGCACTGCAACACAATGAAGTACAATGAGGAATCAGCTGTGGAAGTCTGTATGCGTCACTACAATAACAAAAACAGAGCTGATGCTAGATATCAAGGCTAGTCCCACTGTAGAGATTAGCAGCTGACACTGATGAACGAGGACTGTAACTAACATGCCCTTGGTAATACGCTCTCTAAGGTGGGGGTTGTTGTAGGTGACACATTTACTTCTCTGAAACAGAGTAAGGGCGTAATTAGAGAAAGGGAATAGATGGTGGAAGGTGGATTTGAGGGCAAAGGTGAAATGAAAGATAACTGCAGAGAAAAGGGAGCTGGGATATGAAGGCAGAAAGATGATGAAAAGATATGGTGTTATTCTCGTACAAAGAGACGCGCACAGACATACAATCCATTCCACACAAACTCCTGCTAACCTGCAATTAGCCTAGCAAAGTACTACACAAAGTACAGGACATATATCTATGGCAGTGCTAAAAATAGCCTGTTATGTGGCAATACACTAAAGCAGAACTTTAGTTAAAAAAAACCAATAAGAGTTAATATTCTCGTTTAGTTAAATCTATACTATATATATATATATATATATGAAGAGTTCAGATGCAAAAGCCATTTGAAATTTTGTTCTAGAATGACCATTTTTATCAAGCTTGTGTATTTAAGTTCAGTAATTTCACTTAAATGACAATTAATAGGTAATCTTCATTGCCATTTAAGTGAAATTACTGAGCTTAAATATACAAGCTTGATAAAAATGACAATTTTAGAAGAAAATTTCAAATGGCACTTAGAGGCCTTTGCATCTGAACTCTTCATATATATATATATATATATATATATAACTTGTATAGATTTAACTAAACTAGATTTAACTATACATTACAGTACATTAATATATCACAAACTAGATATAGCTAAACTACAATATTAACTTCTACTGTTTTACAAAATGCTGAAAATCTGCTGTATTGCACAGAACATGCAATATGTATTTATTTATTTATTTTTGCCTAAAATGTATGTCCTGTATTTTATATAATGTTCTGTTTTCAGTGTTTTGTGTGTGTGTGTATATATATATATATATATATATATATATATATATTGCTAAAGCCTATGGCAACATTCAAACTGTTCATTCTTAAAATTAAGAGACTAGTCATACTTGAATGATAAGCAGCCTTGTTTTCAAGCTGGCTTGCTTGGATCAGACCTGTGCACATGCTCTCATACTTGCCTGCACATACACTTAACGCAGTGACACTGATCTGGGAGAACATTTTCTATTATTGAAATCCTTATCTAAGTCACCAGTAGAGCGGGTTTGGCTATCATGATTAACCATCCATGGCATCTCTACGGCTATTTAAAGAAGCCAAGGTTCAAAATGTTACAAATCAAATGTGCATATGGATGTATAAACACAAATGCATTGGAATAAAGAAGTACTGACCAAGATAATCCAAACTCTATCCAATTCAAATGCACTGCCACAATATTCTGACTGGTTGTTAGGGGGTTGCTCTGCGGTTGCTATGGGGTTAAAGTGTATTGCTACGCTGTTATTTTAGTATTATTTATATACTATAGTGTTTAATTAATTATAATTTTATATTTTCAGTTTTTATTTTAAATCTAGTTTAAGATTTAGTAGTTTTGTTATGTGCTTCGTTCATTTACAAGACAATGGCACTTTGGGGGCCTTAAAACCCATACTTTTGAAAAGTGAATTTCTAATTTTTCAAAATTATATTATTATCATTTCTATGTTAACTACAAAAATTAAAATGATGAAGTTGTGCTTTTTACGTGTTCAGTCTATAGACCTTATGCACCAGAGAAAAAGGGGTGCAGCCATCTTTAGAAAATATTAGTAATTAGCTTTTGAAGTGGATTTAGTCAATGTAACGTTAAAGAAAGTTATCATGAGGATTGTAATGTTTAAAGCAGATGTCTTAACAAATGTCAGTCAACCAGGAAGATTTTATGAGCTGTTCATTTTTAAAATACGCAAGATCACTGTGAAAATACAGACCGGAAGACAAAACGGTGAAAAGGGGCGGAGCCTATATAAGATCTATAAGCAGGTAGTGTTTCTTTACAAAGTGACATTGCCAACTACTGGCCTGGCAGCAGAATAGGGCGCTTTTAGTCGTTTTCGTGGATCCGTGTGAACGGGGATCGTTTTGACGACGTTGTCGCCTGTACGTGAAGAACGCACAGGAAAAACGTTTCTGTTTTTAGTCCATCGTTGTCATGTAAATGTACTCTTAGATTTTGTGCAAAAAAAAACAAAACATAAGTATCATCAATAATAACAGTGATGCTTTCCTTTAGCAATTATATTAAGGCCACCTCAAACTGGAATAAGGATCCAAAAGGCCCAAACTCAATAGCAAGGATAGTCTGTAAAAAAAAAGAACCTTGAATCCAGAGAAACACTGAAAAGACCAGTGCTAATGGACCGACACCACCCTTACTCACATCATGATGAGAGAAAGAGCATTTAGGGGAGATGTTGAATTGAAACCCCTCATTCAACATTTACACGTATCGGTTGCAGAAAAGGTGTCACTTCAGGCCTTAAAGACGCATGCTAAAACAGTTCACAGTGAATAACCATCTCCAACATGCATTTGCTTCTAACGCCAGCTTGACAAGCTTATCTTCCGATTTGCTGCAACTATTCCTACCATGCATTTCCCTCACTAACCCAATGATGTAATACATACTTCTGCTGACGGGCACACAGAAAGAGGTCACACAGCAAGGGCATTAAGGAGCTGTTCTGAAGCTCTTAATATTCAGACTTCAAGCTGGTGATAAAGGGCACATTCTACCTGCAGCTCTTTTGGGGCAGAGAGAAAGAGCACACTCGGGGTCACTGGTGATCCACTATTCATCTTACTTTTCTTTTCTTTTATGGACAATAGAAATCACTCTGCAGCCTTCCATTGTGCCATTCTATTGACGTCCTGTCTGGCATCAGTAATGAGCAGGATGGATGCTTGCCTCTTACATATTCTGCAACCTGTGTGTGCACACCCACCCACTGCCAATATGATGCTGAATCCTGTCTTTCTCGATTGAATCTGATAATTAGGCTACAAGTACAACATAATGTATTCGCAATGTTGTGTCAGCAGCAACCGATTCTGAAGCAAACAGGCGAACCTTTTTAAATAAACTGTGCCACCACTAAGGCATGATTCATGAGGGCCCGTGGCTAGGGGTGTAACATTACAGAAACAAAATCATGCACACTTCAAGCACAAAGAATGTAATAAATCAAAAAAGGACAAAAGAAAATAAAAACTAAAGGATAAAGACGGAGAGGCATTGAGATGAGAAATTCCTGTGGCTTTCGCACTGATGAAAGTTGACTTCAGTGGATGAAATGGCATGAATCAGACAAAGCAGAAACGCCCCCCTGCGCATGAACATACAGCAGCCCCTGTATGCATTGTGTGTGCAGGCTGTGATTAATCAGGCATTTTCAAACACACGTGAGATCATTTCAAATACAATAGATGGAAAAGACCTAGGTAGGGGGTCTTTATTTCAGACTGGGGATCATTTCATCATTTAATCTTAGATTTAAATAAAGAGTTTAGCTTAATAAGGTAAGCTATAACACATGATTGAGCAGTGAGATTGCTAAGGTAACTTACACATTAGAATTTCATCCTTCGTCATTATGATCTCAGATGGTTAGCATATGGTGAAATGAGACTGATCTATATATATATATATATAAATGGTGAAATGAGAGTGATCTAAAGGAGGATGGTAACACAAAGAGAACTCACCCACAGCAAACATACAACGATGACAACGATGACAATGACAAGGACTGCAGCAGTCAGCAAACTAACATTCCCATCATATCTGGAGAAAGAGTTTGATGCTATTTTAGACAGCAGGCAGGATCTCAAGATCTTCAGTGTAATCGACGTCAAACTATCTGCGTTGAAATCCCACAGTGGAACGAAGGTAACGTTATATCTGACCGATGAGCCTGGGTACAAGATCCTGGTCTCAAAATGTCGACAAAGCTATTTTGATTGCCTTTCTTCTCCTTTCCACGTCCTATGCCAACGGGCCTTTGCTATTTTCTGCTTGGCTCTTGGTCCAAAGCCCTCGCCCATGAAATTATTCTGTCCCTTTAAAAAACAATACTTCCGGGATTTGCTAAAAAATAACTAGGGGGAGGGACGTTCGAACAGCTGAAGGGCTGTCATTTAAGCGATTGGTCGCTTTCTCGTTCACGGACCAATAACAACTGCGTACTAATACTATATTTGAATAAATTTGAATAAAAGGAATATATTTCGACTAAATAGATTCTCATTGGTTGCGTGTCAGGCAAAGTCTTATCAGGCCACGCCCCCGTACACGTGCTATTTGTTCCCTTTTCTCTGCTTTGGTGGAGAAACGTATAGTTAACGACAGAGAAAACATGACAGGGTTTTATGTAACGATTATCAATATATATTGGTCAATTGATAAATGAATATTTTGTAAACTAATTTAAACAATAAAAATATGCCGTTACGTACAGACCTAAATGTAAATAACCTACCTCTATTGTTTAAATTAGGCCTAATGAGGAACGTTTTTGTCCTATGGAATGATTTGTAATAATAATAATACCAACTTTATTTTCTATAGCGCCTTTAAGCAAGAGACCACCAATGATTACTAAAATAAACATTTATTGTTATTATTATTATTAATAATAATAATTATAACATATTTTCCCCCTAAATAACCCCACAAAATCATATTTCCAGTTAATATTTTTCAAATTATAAGCATATGCAACCTAAATCCATCAGAACTATAGAAAGAATTTGAATAAAAAAAAATAACAATTAAGCTAAACTTAACACTGGGTTAAATTCAAACCATGCTCTATAAAAACTAACCAGTTTAATCCTGAATTGGCCTTTTTATATATTCTGTACAGGTATTTGCATCTCCATTTGCCGTTGATTGTGTTGCTAAATCAGATACTAGCGCGTTCGGGTTTACGGTAACTTTTAATATGACTATAATTATTAATATAAATTCATTTAGATTGTATTATGAAGAAGCATATGATCACCACTAGATGACGCAATTGTACCCCAAAATGCATAAATCCAAGTCAAATGGCTCACCACAGTCTGATAAGAGTTTGTTACACTAATAAAGATGCGATTAAATCAGTAGAAACTAAACATTACTGTCCATTTTGTCTTATTGTTTCTTTATTTTCTTTCTATTCAATTTTTGTTTAAGAATCTGCACGTTCTTCTTGTCTCGACTACAGGTGTGTAAAATGTCTAACTTTACACTTGAAAATTCAAAACCTGCAGTTAATTGTTGAAAACCACAGGGTATTCGTTTGTTTTAAAAGATTATAATGATACAGATGTTATAAAATATGCGGGTTAAAGAGGACTTTACACACCTGTACGCGTACAAAACGTTATTCCCATAATCGTTTAAACCCGCCCACATTCTCCGTTCCTTGAAGCCGATTGGACCGTGCTCATGTCACTCACTAACGCCATGGGTACGCCGAACTGTTCCTCAGGCGCGTTGCAAACACAGTCGGTACTTCACTCTTATTTTTATGATGAATTTAAACAACTACGTTTGTTTTTCGCAATTTCAAATATCATTTCGATAGGGGAGGAAATAAAGTGGCAAATGCCACAGTAGGTGATTAAGTCATAACTGTGTTGTGTTGGAATAAAATCTCAGCAATGTCGCTTCTGTGCGTGCGAGGTAAGTTAAAGTGTTTGGGACCTTTTAATATTGTTCAGCTTTCTTGTTATTGCATTATCTCACTTTTACTGTGTCTATGTGCTTCTTCAAATAGCGTGTGATATAAAATTGAAATGTGGGTTATTTGAAACCGGTTCACGCAACAGGTAACACTAACAGGTTATGATAAAAGTTAAATAGATATCAAAAACAAAATGAACAATAAAGTGGAACACGGACTCGTATGTGTGTTACTGTGGATTGGAGGCGACTCATCTTCTCTGTTAATGCGCTTAACGTGGTTTCCCGCTGCCGAATTGTCATGGCACCGCATATGCTGTGATCACCTGTCTGGCTGTCCTGTCCGCTTTGATTGTGTCTGACACCAAACACACATTGATTTTTACCTCGGATTATTGCGTTTCATCCACATGACAGAATGGTGGGTGTGTTTTGGGGACTAATTTTGAGCAAATGTAATATTTGTTCACCTGTTGTTGACTTGACATACTTCAGTAGCCATCTATCATGTTAAAGATTAGCTTGAGACTGAGTTGAATTAACTTTTGTCACTTGATTTAAGTGTAGCCTACGTTTATATCACATTTGCAAATACACCACTCGTTGGAGTGTCGTGGCTTCAATGGATGCCAGTAGCTTTGAAGGCATTTATGCTAGTGTAACTCCTGAACGTTGTATGTCAAATGCTCAGTAGCCTATCTATAATACAGTGTAAGAAAAATACTCCATTTAAAGGAGTAGTTCACTTTTTAAAAAAAAAAAAATTTCTGATAATTTACTCACCCCCATGGCATCCAAGATGTCCAAGTCTTTCTTTCTTCAGTCGGAAAGAAATCAAGGTTTTTGATGAAAACATTCCAGGATTTTCTCCATATAATTGACTTCATTGGGAACCAAACGGTTCAAGGTCCAAATGAGAGTTTCAGTGCAGCTTCAAAGGGCTTTAAATGACACCAGACAATGAATAAGGGTCTTGTCTAAGACTCTTCGAGTCATGACACGAAAAAGATTTGTTAATTTTGAGTTTGAACAGGAGAGTCACGAATGCTCATCACAGAACAGAGCAAGGCGAGCATTTGTGCTTATAAAACTTAAACTTTTTTATTTAGTTTTGAAATGACCGATCGTTTCGCTAGATAAGACCCTTATTCATCATCTGGTGTTGTTTAAAGCCCTTTGAAGCTGCACTGAAACTCTCATTTGGACCTTGAACCATTTGGTTCCCATTGAAGTTCATTTTATTGAGAAAATCCTGGAATGTTTTCAACAAAAAACTTAATTTCTTTTCGACCGAAGAAAGAAAGACACGGATATCTTGGATGGCATGGGGGTGAGTAAAGTATCAGCAAAAGTTTTTTTTTAACTATAACTATACTACATTATACTTGTTTACTACACTATAACTGTGTTAAACCACATAGAGCAACTTAGAATAGTGGTGACTGCTTTTGCATGGCAAAGCACCACTTCACATTTCTTAGAAAATATAAAAGTCTAGTTAATTTATCAGTTCTGTTGATCTATTGTGATTTGGAATCGTTTACTGCAGCTAAATATTCTGCCCTTAGAAGTAAATAGTATGTAAACTTGAAATTTCCAGTGACCAAATGCATGCATATGAGCATGCCATCCATTTTAGACTATGTATAGGAGTTTCCTCTCTTTATAAATCCAATACAATTGATTTTAGTTTGTCTGGACGAGAGTAAATTGCTGTTCTGTGAGGTCTTTTGTGTCACAAAGATCTGTCATGCTGTCAGCCGTCGTGAGAGAGGAAGCATATACAGAAAATCAAAAGAGACTGACATCTCGATGATGAATAGAGAGATATTCTGGGATAACGGTACAAAATAAATATGATTTGCTCTCATCATGAATGCAACAGTGGATCATTATGTTCTGCCTTTTCTATCAGCGCTCTGCTCCGGGCCATGTTTTACAGTTAGGTTTTTTAAAAAGACTGAGAAAAGGGTAGAGCTTCAGATTTGATTTGCAGTGTTTTGTGTTGCTTTGGATTGTTGAGAAGTGTTCATTTGTTTAGAAGTTTGATCTCCACATATAGAGAGCAAACACAGGCAGTAGGGGAAAGTGAAGTTTGATGGATTCAGCACGATGCTGGTGTTGGGGGGAGGGATAGAGCTTGTGTGTAATCCTCCGGCCATCTGGTGCTGTGTGGATCTACGTGTATGAGGCCGCCGCATCACATGTGTGCATGCCAGTGGTAAACTCGCTGTAGCCTCTGCTTTTCTAATCTGACCAAAAATTGCAGTCAAATCTTGCCGGATATCTAGTGATATCTTTCTTGTGTCAGATCTGTGCAGATAGTCACTATGTCGTTTTAACCAGGAGTTCTGCTACAATGTTTTAGAGCCTGTGAATAATGTAAAGCCCACATCGAGAACGATAACTATATTAGCACCACGCCAATGCACAATATTGTTCTGTTTATTATAAGTGAGCGCTGTTTTGCCTTCTGCCACTTTAAAAGGGATAATTCAGCCAAACATTAAAAAATTGTCATCTTTTACTCACTCGTAAGTTTTTCCAAACCTGTATTTCTTACTTTTGCTGAACATTAAAGAAGATATTTTGAAGAATATGGGTAACCAAACTTGGGCCCCATTGACCTCCATAGTATTTATTCCCACTCTACTATACTATGGAAGTCAAAGGGGCCCATCGACTGTTCGCTGTTCGGTTACCCATATTCTTCAAAATATCGTCTTTAATGTTGTTCTCTTGAACGACAATTGCTTACTTTTGGGGGTCTTGACTCTTGCGTCAGCCGAACAGCTCCTATTGAAATGCAATTACATGTAAATGCTAACACTTTCTCCAGGTAGGCCTAGTGGAAATCATTTGGGAGAGGTGTAATAATTTGTACTATGGGCCAGCAAATAACAGGTTTGGTTTGTTGGGATTAAACTTGCTCTGGACATTTGTGATAAAATCATTTATGTGTTTTGTCTGTATCTGTATTTTGTACCTTTCATCAGGTATTGTATTACTGCAAAAAAAAATCTCACTTTCCTGCTATTTGTGGCTTTCACTTATTTTGTGTTTTTTTCTTTCCTTTTCAGTGAAAAAGGCCAAACTACAAGGACCTCCAGGTAATGGACTGTTTGCGTCATACATGAAACAGTTGTGGCTCTATAATTGCCTTAGATTTAATGAGGAAAAAATAACACCTTATTCAGTCAATTGTCATTCAGATGAGTGTTTGCTGTTAAAATAAAGTGCTTTATGGCCCAGTTTGGCATGGACTGGACTGGAGAGACACAGTGAACTGGTTTACTTGTTAGCCAGCAGGCAAGCACTAGACTATCAGGGGATTTTCACTCTACTATCACACATATTTCACTCTTTACTCATGAGAGATACAGACATGCACGTATGTATGCCTTACAGTGACTGATACTTTGAACTGCAATAAGATTTGTTG